TATACCAGCTGAAGCCTCCGAGCACGCGTGGGTTAAATTCCAGCGCTGGCCTATTAAGAAAACCGATAAAAACCCAATAAGCAAAGACTGCGAAAGAATAAAACCACACGAAGAAAGTAATAAGGATTATACGTTCATATGTTCCTTGCTGCGGGTATGTGGCTGCGCTGCTTTCTTGCTAATCGATTTTTGTTAAGTCTGCAAACTGAACATTCCAAGCTTTTTTTTGAGGCATCATTTCTGAACATATTTTTAAGGTAAATCTCTTATTGTTTAGACAGAACACTAGGGTTTTGTTACTGTGTTCTTTGTTTGTTTTTTTTTCGTATGTTGCACATATTTGGGTTTTTTGTTTTAGACACAAGGGGCTTAGGGGTTTAGGGGTATCTGGTTTTAGGGTCTAAGGTTTAAGGTTGAAGTTTTCTTCTTTACTAAAACTAAAAAATCACCAAAAAAAAACAAGCACGAAAATTAAAAATGATACAAAAACATGGGCCAACATCCAAAGCTCTAATAGTAAATAATAAAAGATGATGAAATATTATAAACAAAAACTGATCAAGCAAAAAACTGATGACAAAGATAATAGAAGATTATACAAGATGATTAAAACAAAAGGATTAACCAAAAAAAACAAGTATTATAAAAGATAATAAAGATAATAGCAGACGATAACCATAGAAGATGATTAAGATATGGGTGCTGTCCAAACAAAGTCCAAAGGATGACCCGATTAAAAGATGATAAAAGATGATAAAAGATGATAAAAGATGATAAAAGATGATAAACGATGATAAAAGATGATAAAACATGATAACGATAGAAGATGATTAAGATAAGGATGCTTTCCAAATAAGGTCCAAACGATGACCCGATTAAAAGATGATAAAAGATGATAAAAAAAGATGATAAAAGATGATAAAAGATGATAACGATAGAAGATGATTAAGATAAGCATGCTTTCCAAACAAGGTCCAAATGATGACCCGATTAAAAGATAATAGAAGATGATAAAAAAATATAATAAAAGATTACAAAAAAATAGTGGTTTTTCGGATTTAATTAATTTAATTAATTTAATTGTCCAGAATTAAATTAATTAAATTGATTAAACTAATTAAATTAATTAAATTAATTTAATAGGGTGAAAATCTGGAGCTGGAGCCAGGCCCTTGAAGAATTTAAAGAATTAAATTAATTAAATCCGAAAAGTGGTTTTTCGGATTTAATTAATTTAATTAATTTAATTCTTCCAGGGGAATGGTTCTACGCCAGGATTCCTGCCCTATTAAATTAATTTAATTAATTTAATTAATTTAATTTATTTAATTAATTTAATTGTCCAGAATTAAATTAATTAAATAAATTAAATCCGAAAAGTGGTTTTTCGGATTTAATTAATTTAATTCATTAATTGTCCAGAATTAAATTAATTAAATTAATTAAATTAATTAAATTAATTAAATTAATTAAATTAATTAAATTAATTAAATTAATTAAATTAATTAAATTAATTAAATTAATTAAATTAATTAAATTAATGTAATAGGGTGAAAATCTGGAGCTGGAGCCAGGCCCTTGAAGAATTAAATTAATTAAATTAATTAAATCCGAAAAGTGGTTTTTCGGATTTAATTAATTTAATTAATTTAATTCTTCCAGGGGAATGGTTCTACGCCAGGATTCCTGCCCTATTAAATTAATTTAATTAATTTAGTTAATTTAATTAATTTAATTAATTTAATTAATTTAATTAATTTAATTAATTTAATTGTCCAGAATTAAATTAATTAAATTAATTAAATCCGAAAAGTGGTTTTTCGGATTTAATTAATTTAATTAATTTAATTGTCCAGAATTAAATTAATTAAATTAATTAAATTAATTAAATTAATTAAACTAATTAAATTAATTAAATTAATTAAATTACTTAAATTAATTTAATAGGGGGAAAATCTGGAGCTGGAGCAAGGCCCTTGAAGAATTAAATTAATTAAATTAATTAAATCCGAAAAGTGGTTTTTCGGATTTAATTAATTTATTTAATTTAATTCTTCCAGGGGAATGGTTCTACGCCAGGATTCCTGCCCTATTAAATTACTTTAATTAATTTAATTAATTTAATTAATTTAATTAGTTTAATTAATTTAATTAATTTAATTAATTTAATTAATTTAATTAATTTAATTAATTTAATTAATTTAATTGTCCAGAATTCAATTAATTAAATTAATTAAATCCGAAAAGTGGTTTTTCGGATTTAATTAATTTAATTAATTTAATTGTCTAGAATTAAATAAATTAAATTAATAATTAGATTAATTAAATTAATTTAATAGGGGGAAAATCTGGAGCTGGAGCCAGGCTCTTGAGGAATTAAATTAATTAAATTAATTAAATTATTTAAATTAATTCCTTTCCTTAAAGGCAAGGCGGCACGCAAAATAGACCCGAGAGGGCTCTCTCTCACATATATATATATATACATGCTCTTCAAATGCCCTTGCATCCCGATCTACGGGAAGAACATAAGGCTGGCAGACTGCAGACAAGAAGGGAGCTTCTCCCCTAGGACATGTAGGAATATGTTCTTTTTCAAGAAGTTTTTCCAACTTGAAACTGCACTCAGATCTTTTCCCTTGCCTTCTCCCTTGTCCTTGCCCACAGTGTTGCCCTTCTCGCCCTTCTCCTGGCCTTATTTTTTTCCGACCCGCTCCTTTTGCCGTGGTATGCGCTGGATCTTCGCCTTGTTGGCCTTCTGAAGTTCCTTTCTTCTGTCGGCTGCCTCCTTCACAGTTCACACGCGAGGAGTTATTGTGAACCTCAACGGAGTGTGGCTGTCGAGGTCGATGTGTAGTGGGATTTGTTGGTATTGAGCAGCCACTCCGAAACGTTGATCCGGAACTCGGACTCGTTCGGATTGGTCTTCAAGGCCCAGGCATCTGCCGAAAAGGTGTGATCCCACTCCAACACAGGCAACAATGCAGTCAAGTGAAGGAGCGGCGTTCCAGTCCACGTGGGGCGTATTCTTAAACGGCATGCCGTTAGCCATCCCAACTTTCATAGAACTTTTCGATTGCTTAGCGTTTGTCGACGCACTTGAACTAACTTCTATTTGGAACTTCCCTTGGCTATTTGTAACTTCCGTTGCAGAATTTCAGAACGTTTCAAGGCTACAGAACATGTGGAACCTCATGCAAGCGGCAAAACTTCATAAACCGCAACTTACCCCTCCAGAGTTGGCCATGTTCGACGAATGCAAGGTCCTGCAGACTGCGAGTCACATGCCTTCCGTTGATGCCACGGCACCCTGTCTTAAAATGAAGGAGCAAAGCACCTTATATGGGCTTGTGCGAAGGACCTTCAGGGGCTGGTCAAATAGTAATTTTGGTTGCAAGGGTGTGTGGGAAGCGGTGGGGCTCAGGTTTCAGGCAGCACTGTCATCAGTGGCCAGGGAATGGCCTACGTGCGCTGCCCTTGGGAACTGCGGGCTGTTGGTTTTGGAGTGCCTGCTGTTGCATCTTGGATGATGTGGAAAGGGTTTCCTTGCATGTTTCCTTGAGTTTTTCAACGCATGCCATTTCCAGCCGTGAGGAAGGCAAGGAAGACAGGTTGAAAGACAGGACAGCCCCAAGCAAGTTTTGACAGATTTTCACGTGTTCCGTGGCTGGCTCTTTATTGCATGCGAGGTGTTCCCCCTTTCAAGTCGGTAAGAAAGAAATCAAGAGAGGCGAGAGAATGGAGGACAAGTAAGTTGAATGGTCAACACACACGGTTGCAAGAGTGTGTGTGTGTGTGTGTCTGTGGGATTGCAAGGGTCGGTAACACTTGCAGGGGCTGTCTCGGAGGTGCAACTGAGCTGCCGTAATGCCATAATTTTCCGCTGGAATTGTTGGTATGTTGTTTGTCTCCATGTGTGTGCGGTTTGATGCACCCGAAGCGACATGTTCATTCATTTTGCAGGGCACCAACGAATTCTGAAGACCCTTCCCGAACCTTGCGAAACGTTGTACGCTCATCGTGGACAGCTGGAGGGGCCTTTCCATCACATCGATTTTGTGCCAGAAAATGGTGTTTGGCATGCACACGCTACAGAATCACTTTCATCTGGTCTCTGTCAGTTCCTCCTGCAGGCGCACGTGCTAAGCAAGTCTTGTCCTGCCGTTAGTCCGCATCCTAGAACCTTGTGCAAAGTCTCTGTCTGTGTGTGTGTGGGGTGGGAGGGGAGCGTAAATTCTGCCTTTGCGTCGAACTCAAACTGACAGCTTTCGAAGCAAAGCATCACACCCCTCAATGCTGCAAACCGAGGTCTGGCTGTGTTTCTTCCTAGCTGCGATTGGAGGCTTCAGTGGCGCTGGGTTCGCATCTGGGATCGAGCCTATGATCCTCCTAGATGCTGCCGCCTATGGCTCCTTGTTGGGGGCAGCAGTATCTCTGCCATTTCGAGCTGCTTGGCAGTTGGAACGGGTGAAAGTGCAGGAGTTCGCAAGTGGCTTGGACAGCTCTTTCCTGGCTTTCCTTGCGCAGGATTCAAATGCCTTAATTGTCGCCTCGGGGATTCAGGTCCGCAACTGAAGTCGTTCGGGGTCCAGACGCGCTAGGCTCTGGGCTCCAATTCCGTAAGGAGGGCGGCTTCGAACGGGAGTGGGCTGCGGGCTTCTCTTTCCCCCCCCCCCCTCCCCCGCTCGGCCGGAAAAAAGGGATCCGAAGAAGACTTCGTTCGTGCCCACAGGTAGGTCAAGCCATGTACCTCTCTTCAAAAACCCGCACTCCACACATTCGCCAAAAAAGGTGGGGTGAGGTGGAGGAAAATCAGGGGGGTCCCTATGGGAGCCCCTGATGCCCCATGGCCGGGGCCGAGGCGAATTTGCACTGACACAGCTATATTATACATATTGCACGGCAGTTTTCGCAAGTTGAAGGCTTATGCTGTCCGCCTCCGACAGTGGAAGAAGCATGCCCGGATCGCTGCAGTGCGAGAATATTCTTTACTTGGTGAAATGGAGCAGGCGATTTGGAAAGGCGATGGCGATGCTCTACATCGCATTCAGAAAGAGCTACAGTCCTTAAAGGCATGGGGGCCTCAGCGCTTCTCGTCTGCGGTGCAGGCAGTGGAGCAAAGGCAGAGTGAAGAGGCAGGAGTCGGCAGCAAAAACCAAGGGACCCCACAAAAAAGCTCCTAAACCAACTCCATCCCCAGAATCAGAACTGGGACATGAACTTGGAACTTCGACAAACCCCGAACGCGAACGCCTTACATGCGCCAGGCAGGGGTGAGCGTGAAATACTTGCTCTCAGCCGAGTTCGCGCTGCTGGCGCAAGCTCGCAGCAAGTTGGAGGATCCGAATTTCTACGATCTCAAGGACGCCTTTTTCCTATCTGCTGATCCTATAGGAATTGGCAGTGATAAAATTTGCCCGCGCGATGGTAAGCTTGGATGTGCTTTGGTGGACGTGCTGGATCGCTGCCACCGCAGGGCATGTACGCATTTCTTGTCGTGGACCTGGGGCTATTCTTTGAACCTCGTGCGCAGCTCGATGAGGGCATGGATTGACCAAAGAAAGATCGATCCGAACAACATCTTTCTGTACATGTGCTTCTTTGTCAACAACCAGTATAGAATTTTGCTGGATCAGAATGGAGCTGGCAGCAGGAACTCCAGTCTGAAAGATGTTTTTGGTGAACACTTGCAGCGTGTTGGCCACATGGTCGCGCTCTTCGACCACTGGGATCAGCCAGCGTATTTATCGCGAATCTGGACGATGCTAGACAGTATCCTGGACATAGTGTGAACTTGTTGCTACGCCGCCATATTTCCAAGAACTGACCAGCTTTTGCTTAGCAGCGGCAGCAGCAGCCAAGGATATACGAGCAATACACCGCGGTTATGTTGGAGATCGAGGCAAATAGAGGGCATCCGGGAAGCTAAAGGAAGCTTGCAGACTTTCCTCGTAACCGGAAACCTGTGAAGCGACTTCTCCTGAGGTGACATTTATTCTGCCAGAGGTGTCTGGGGATAGCTTGCTCCAGGAGATCCGCAAAGGGGAGGAGGGCATTGTCCGGGGCTGAGGAGAGGTTTGAAGCTTGAAATCTGCCATGTTAAGAATGAAGCTGAATTGATGCTTTGTTGACTTGTGGGGATCGAACGCCGCAATCATCTCGTGTGCAGAGTGCAGACACTTGCAGCAGTCTGTAACTGAGGTTCGGGTGCGGGACTCCCTTTGCAATGTTGATGCCGAGATTGCCCGTGCATGGTGTTTGGAAGACGAAGTGCAAGTCAAAAGCATGATATCGGACAGCATCGGCTTCGAAATGGTGAATGCGAAGGTGCAGGAGCTTATGATTGCTTGGGTGGCCACGATGGTCAAGGACCTTGCATGAGTGTGGACATGCTGTGCGCAGACATGCTTTCTCGAGCCAATGCGAGGACTATTTGGGCGGACTTGTCGTGACTGGTTCTCGTCGCTTGAAGCGATCCGGGGCACAGACCCAGCTGCTTTCAAGCGGCACGCGGCTTGGCGAAAACTGAAGCCCGAACATGAAACGTGTACCACAAGGGCGCATCCCTAATTGGACGCTCCGCGGCGGGCAAGGCCAAGGCGGCTAAGGCTGTAAATAGTCAATATTCCTGCAAAAAAAACGTGTGGAAAGCTGCAGGGGGAGGATGCGAAGGAGTGGGGCAGGGAAGTGTGAGAGGGATTCGAAGAGAGAGGTGGGAAACATGGGGGTGGGAGGGGGGAGGCTTGCCTCACAGACTATCCAAGATTACATACAAGGGGTGCCACACCCACCCCAAACCCACCCCGATCCCTTTCTAAGGCCAGACCCACTTTATTCACACTTTGGGATTGTGATTACTTACTTACTTTCATACTCTGGAGATGGGAACAGGTTCGCCGGAACGTGGCACTCCAGTGTGTTTTTAGAGTGTTTGGAATGGGGTTGTCCTTGTTTCAAGCAGGTTTGATTCTTAGCGAGGTCGAGCTTAGGGTTTTTTTTTGTCGGTCTGAGGCGTTGCTAGTGCAGCTCTCAAATGCCCCCTGGTCCTGTTGCACCATCTGCTCCCTTAGGCAGAAAAGTATCACAACGGAGGGGATTAGAGGTGGGGTACCGGCTTCGTGCTGCCCAGATTCCTGTGGCCCGAGGCCTCAGGGGGGAACCCTGTGTCTTGCTTTTGTTGTGCGGGCGCGCCGGGATTCTGCAAATGTGTAACCCCCTGGACGTGTTTTGTTGTTGCTCTGCGGGTGCGTGGCGCCTTCTTAAGTGCGACCGTGCAGCAGGAAACAAAAAGACAACACAAAACGACCGACCGCACAGCAAGAGCGACTGCGCAGCAAAAAGACAAAGCACTGCGGCCCTTCTGCGGTTTTACCCACAATGCGATAACCCATAATTATAGAGACCACCAATAAGGGAAGCCCTAGTTTCGGAAATCCCTCAAATCGCAAAATCCCGAGCACCTCCATCACAGGACCATCGGGCACAAGTCAAGCTGCAAGACATGCGGAAGCACAGTCGCCGCTTCGATTTACAATTTCTTCTTTGCATCGTTCTTGTGCTTTGAGGCTTTGAGGGCCCAATGTTACAGGCGAGAGGTGCCTCAGTAGCCAGAGCAGAGCATGCGCCACTAGCTGTGACTCAAAAGTCCTCCTGAGCATCGTGCTTTTGCGACTTAGGGGTTCAAGTTGGTACTTCACAGCATTGCAAGGCCTTAAGGTTGGAACGGCCTCAGATGGCAGCAATCCAAGACCCAACATGCCCCGAGTAAGCAGCAAGGTGTCCTTGCAGCCACTTCGAGGTGGACAGCATGGTGAGCCTGTATGGGCAACTTACATGCACGGCTCTGAATCCACAAATGTGGAAGCCTTTGAGCCCGTGACTCCAAGTTGAAATTTTAATTAAAATTTTGCCAAGGAGCACAAGCCCTTGCAAGTGCAAAGAGAGATACGCATCATCAAATCCCTTGATGTGCGGACACTCCACAATTCTCGGTGTTCTTTACGCATGTCTAGCTGCGCCCTTGCAATTTACAAGCCGTGTTTCCTGATGTGTCGGTTGGTGCCTTCTACACCCACATGCCATTTCTCAGGCACGTGTCCGAAGCGTCATCTAAGGGTGCAACATAGTCACAGGCGTGTGCGCAGCAAATGTTCGCGGACGCACGCCATGAGTCTCTGATGTGCACCCCGTCTTTTAAAAACGTGCTTCGACCAGAGAGCATGTTTCTATTAGATGCTTGTATTCGTGCTAAGTTGTTGCGTTTTCGGTTGTCGCCAACACAGCATTGGCCAATAATGGCTTACATGACGTGAGACGGCATTGCTGATGGTCTATACAAAGTAGCATCGGCACAACAACAGGGCTTTAAGCCTTGCGGTTCTTCAATCCCAGGGCTGCTGAGAGTTGGACCAAGTAACATGCCAGCCCAGCTGTTGGTCGTCATGGCTGCAGAGCAGCCATGGTTTGTTGGCTTTTCGCTGTAACAATGAAAACAAGAAGCGTGTTCAAACACAGGGCCAGATTTATGCAGTGCTAAGCTGCGAGTTGATGATGCATGTGTGTGTGTGTGTGTGTCCATTTCTGAGCGGCGGAAGCCTTTCAGGCACCCTGGGGATGTGCAATCAACTTCTGCCTCAATGAGGCACGGTGAGCGCAGGGGTCCCTGAGCTTGGGTTTTGTGAGGCTTGACAATCTTCACATTGCTTGGCCTGCCTGAAGTTTGCCCCAGCACTATACACTCGATTGTCGTTGCTTGAGCTGGCTATAATATCGGTCTGCTCTTCACTTGGCTGCCCTTCGCGGAATGCAGAGCAAGTGCTCAAGGGGACAGTTGGCTTGTTGAGTCCAGACAGCTCCATCAACAACTCCTTGTTACTCCGAACTGAGTTTAACCTTAAGATTCCTTGTCTTCTGTCATCTGCCCCCCACGCCCGTGTTTCAGCCGGCAGGGCCGGCAACCCAAGAGGAGAAGGAGGCGCTTCTGAAGGAAAAGGGCCTCGGCCAACATGAGCCCAGGCTCAGGCACAGAGCGCCCTCGGCGCCCTCGAGGCCCAGCTGGATGGCGTCGCCGGACTCAGCAGAGCGGCGCGAGCTTCTAGCTGCCGCGGAGGCACTAGAGCTGGAGGTGGCTGGGGCTGCGTCCGTGCCCTCACAGCCTCGGGCATACCTGTCCACGGCCGACATCGATGTCCGCTGACGTGCCTGGCTTTGGGGAGGAAGAGGCATCGGAGCACCAGGAGGAGTCTGGCGAAGAGGAGGAGGGCGCCGGTGAGGAGTCCGGTGAGGAGTCCGGTGAGGCCTCTCCTCCGCAGGCACGTGCTTGTGTGCAGTGCCTTGGGGAGTCGAAGGCTTCGAGGGACTCCCAGGTTTCGACGGCCACCTGTGGTAGCTGCCGACGGTTCTCGGCCTGGTCGAGGGTGCTCAAAACTTCGCGAGCAGGCACGTTCGGGCGGTCCGCCCACGGAGCAACTCGGTCCTGGAAGCGGCGGCAGTGCCTCCCGAAAGCCTTGCGGCGGAGCTGCTCATCGAGCACTACCAGCAGCTCTCCCTCCAGCCGGGCATCGACCTGGAGCAGCTCCGCCGCAAGGCTTTCGGGATTGCTCCGTGTCGCGAAGTTTTGAGCACCCTCGACCAGGCCGAGTACCGTCGGCAGCTACCACAGGTGGCCGTCGAAACCTGGGAGTCCCTCGAAGCCTTCGAGCGGAGGAAAGGCGAAGATTACCTGGCCACCGTCCGCGGCGAGAACGGCCAGTACCTTGTCTTCAAGCCCAGTACAGGCAAAACCCTTCTACCCACCGTGGGCCAAGGTCTCGGACGCGCTCAAGAAGAGCCTCCTGGGCGGCATGTGCCCATCCTTCGTGTATGATGGCGACTGGGCTCCGCTCTTCCGGCCGATCGACCAGCAGAAGCAGCAGAGGAAGCGGCCCGCCGCGGCTCCGGCTCCGCCCAAGACGCGGCGCCGTGCCAAGACACCCTCCTGAGGCCAGGACTTCAAAGTGACTCCCTTTGCCCCCCCCCTCCCCCCCTACAAGAAAAGAGCGAAACGAGCCGCGAGATGCGCGAGATGGCGCCATCTAACGCATCTCGCTCCCGCTAGCCCGCCTGCCCCTCCCTCCCACCTAAGCAAAAGAGAGGCGCGAGATGTGTTAGATGGGGCCATCTCGCGCATCTCGCGGCTCTTTTCCCGTGACCGCCAGGAGCATCTGGCATCTGCGAATCGGCCCAATCTCTCGCGCCTGATCTGCTGCCGTTTCGCTTGTGAGCAGCAGATCCGAACTGTCTCAAGCCCAACTAGGCGGACTGTCAGACTGTCAGGAAAAAACCGTTTTCAAGACCATTTCGCGATCTACACTTGCGAGTCAATCGCAGCATGCCGTGCCGGATTGTCGAAGCTCCTGTGTTGCCCGTTGCAAAGGTCGTCAACGATTGTACAGCCGTGTTCAATGCAGTATCGATAGAAATTATAATATCGGCCCATCTCCCCATTTGGGCACTCACACGCTGTGACAGTGTAGCACGCTGTAGGACTTCCCATGCAAGTGGGTTACGGGCTGCGGCATCCCGTCCGGCCTCACCAGCACAAGAGCCTCGGCATAATGCCACCAACGACTCCACACTTCCTTTGGAGGGCATTCCGGCATGCGTGGTGACGGTGGTCTTGCTGAGGCCTCGCTTGCCTTCGAGCATGCATCGACCACGACGAAATGCTCAGGACTGTGATTTCCTGCGTGCAAGTCTCTAGTTTACTGTGGTTTAGAGTCCAATCGCTTCCCGCAGATCGACCTCAGACCTGTATGGAGATTCACCGTGCCCTGATGCAGCTCGGTTGCAGTCTGTCACAGATCTTGTGCCGCGTGGTGCAACTTGCTGACGCCCCCTGATGAGGTAGTTGCAAAGTTCGGATGCTCAGGCTCTTGATTCTGTGGAAGTTTCGGAGGGAACGTTTGTGCTTATCATCAGTGCTACTCTGTACTGGTCTGCAGGCGTGTGGCAGCCCATCTCCGAATTTTGTCCAGTCTCCTGCTCGACGACAGAGTGCCCGTACCGCTGTAATCGCGATGAAGTGGCCAACGTCAATCAACGGAGGCTTCTGTCATGAGGGGCAGAAAATGTTTCGTGTGCTGGCTGGCGGCCTGTCGGTTTTCGAAGCTCCAAACCTTCTAATGGCAGGGCATCTCAGGTGACGAGCAGAAAATTCTGTGTCGCTGATCCGGTTTCCTTACGAAAACGAGGGTTCAAACGAATTCATGATAAGGAGCCACAACGAGTCGCTTTGGAGGGGTGTGCTTTGGGCCCGGATCCGCTTTAATGGTGAGAATGTTTGCCCCCTTGCCTTGAGAGCCTCAAGGGGCAGGCGATCCAGCCTTGCATAGTCCAGACAGAGAGCCTAAACCAAACCTGCCCCGAACAACTGCAGCGTAGTAGCGGGCAACTGGAACAGACTTGGACACTTCATGAGCCCGGAAAGCTTTACATCGCAGCGCTGGCTTCTGTTTTACCCCTGGGTTGAAAATGAACAAGGCTTGAAGATGTGGAGGTTTCAGGACGTGGGGCATGTGCATTCGGCAACGCCCACTTCCGAAGTACAACCGCTTTCATGCTTGCGTTTGGTGTCGCTAAGATGTTGCTCACAAAACGGTGTTTCCAGGAACGCCTGTGTGTGTGTGCGAGCATGAGCGCAGAGAATCTGAGCAAATCTGGAGGTGCTGGCAGAGAGTGGAGCAAGATGGCACCAGCTGTGTGGATGCGATCCGTGAGGGTCAGGCCACATCCGGCTACTCATCGTTGCTTTTGTTGCGGTCTTGCTTGCACCTTGGATGGGCAGGATTGCCACTGCAAGTGTGCCAACATTTACTTCACGCAGAGTGGCGTCCAGGGACGTGCAGCTTGACAGTGTTAGCAGAGCATGTGCATGGCCGTCATGTCCGGGCCAATGAAAGATTCTAAGCTCTTCCTGCGGAGGGTGGGTGAGCACAGACACCGAGCAGATATACAAAGCCACCACAGGTCACGAAAGCTACCGGAACCGGGCTTGAGTTTCGTCTTTCTGTAGCAGCTAGGGCCGGACAAGCTCTGGAAAGCTGGGGGGGGGGAGGGGGGTGGAAGGGGCAGTGGAAACCTTCGGTGTGTCTCGAGTACTAAGCGAATTAGGAATTGGATCTGGGGAATCATGTTCAGGAAAAGATGTAGGGAGCAATATGTTTAAAGACAGTCTAGGGAACAAGATTTAGGGATTCAGGGAATGCGACTTAAGGATCCCGCACTTTAGGATTTTCCGAAAGGAATTGAGGTACGCGGGCTCACTTTTCAGGATTGGCTCCCGTCTTCAGGAACTAAGGACCACCCAGCCTTATTGCTTATGCCATAGGATATGGGGAATAGGATTAGCGGAATAGGATGTAGGGATCCCACTCTTTAGGGCTTAGCGAACAGCATTTCGGGAATAGGATTTGTTTTTTAGGATTTAGGGGCTTTGTTCTTTAGGATTTCAGTGGAATAGGATTTAGGGAATTTAGGGAGGAAAAAATGGATCCTGCTCTTCAGCATTCAGCGACAAGAATCAGAATAAGGTTAATTTATTTAGGATTTGGGGCTTGCCTAGGGGCTCTCCTCTTTCGGATTGGAACGAACTTAAGGGAAGAAGATCTCGGGAATAAGATTGAGGGATCTAGCGAAAAGGACTTGGTGAATAGGGTTCGGATTTTGAGAGTGCAAGGCTCTCCTCGTCAGGACTTGAGGACGCCCTTTGGGGCTTAGGGAATAGGACTTGGGGAAGAACATTGAGGGAAGAGGCTGTAAGGGAACAAGATCTCCCACTCTCTCGGGCTAAGCGAAAAGGATTTAGGGAATAGGATTTGCTTTTGAGGATTTGGGGGCTCTATTCTTTAGGGTTTAAGGACGCGCTTCGCTAGAGCTTCGGGAAAAGCCTTTTCACTCAATCCTAACGAGTGGGATCCGGCAATCGTATTCCCTAAATCTTATTGCCTGTAGTTGTTTCGACGTAGGATTCCCTAAGCTTAAATCCGTTTCGCTACATCCTAAAGAGAGCGGGACTCCCTGTCCGTTTAGGATTCAGCGACTAGCTAGATAGGTGGGGGCACGAAAAAGCTCAATCCGAGACGCGGCCCGATTAAGCACCTCAAAGTGCTAAAGATCGGCCCTAGCTTTACGGCTCGCATGTGTTGGTGTGCCTCATGGCCCCTCTAGGGGTGGCGACCCGCTGTGTAAACCCAAACTTCCATCTCCCAAAGCCACTCATAGCGCTTCACGTTGCCACGCGCTCCTGGGCTATCTGAAGTATCTTTCGTTGGCCTCGGTTTGCCTGAAGCTTTTGCAAGCGGCGGGATTGGGATTACCGCACAAGATTGTTCATTTTACGTTTCTTTTTGGGGGTGGGTGGGTGCGATAAGCATGCCTGAAACCGATCAGTGTTGACAGAGTTTGTGCGTCGGTATACCAGATGTGGCACAAGGATGCGTGGCTTTTCTGGAACAAGGCGCGGTGTCACAAGGGGGTTCATGCCTTTGGCAAACATGGCCAAAACACTGTTGCAGCGTTTTTGCTTCTTTCTCCATATTAAATCTTCACCATCTATCATGTTCATCTCCAGGGTGCTTTTTAGCCCTAAACCCTGACCATGCGCAACAGACGCCTTCAAAACTTTTCAGCGTTTCCAAGCCATAAACGGGGCGAGTAATTGATGCGGAGCGGAACCTCGTTTCATGTGGCATCGTGAGCACGCGTGGCCGTCGATGGCTGTTGAGCAGCTGCAAGACGACAACCAGCACACACTGTCAGACAATATCACGTTTCGTCACGTGTGCCTGGTCTCTGAGGCAAATGGAGGGGCGTTTCAGATCAGTGACAAGGTGGATGGCGTCTCCCTTGCTGTGGATCGAAAGGCAGGGTGTGGCGACGACCGTGCTGATAAACCGGCTGATAAACAAGCCGCATGATTGTGGCCTGCCAGGTCTTCGCAGGACGTGTGTTCACCATTGATTTCACTGGTGAGCGGATGCATGCTGACGACCCGGGCAACGGGCAAGGAGATACTGATTTTCTGATGACACGGCGATGAGCTTGTCATACGTGCCAGCCCAACCAGGACCACGCATGAAAATTGTCAAGGATGATCAGATTTGCAGTTCCTCGGCGGATCTCGGCAGGGCGGAATGGAATAGAACAGAATCGAATCGCAGATCCATGTTGAGAGTCAATAGAGCAACGCATTCTGCAACGCGGTTCTGCAACGATTTGGTGGGCCGGCTTGCGCCCAGCAAGGTCCAGGAATGATCAGGAACAATAGTGCTGGCATACTATGTTACTATGCTACATTGTAATGGTTACCTTAGAATGCTTGGTCGGTTCCATTCACTACTCTACAAATTTCACTCAGGCAGAGATCCTCTACCATCCAACCTTACGGGCCTGGAGTGCCCGCAACCGAGCGGTGCCGGACTTTCTGCAGGCTTTGTTGACGCATGACGTCAATGAGACCATTCCCCACAGTCCCCTTATTTTTTCGTGCAGGTTGGATATGCACGACGCCACCCTCATTGGCCACTGGGTTCATGCATCGCTGGGGTGGGATCACCATGAACGCCGCTTGACTTAAGCTTGTGCCATCAGTCACCGTGCCGGGCAATGTCCTTCGACATGACCCACAGTTGGAGTGATGAACGCAACCTTTGTTGAGAATCTGAGGCTTGTGGGAAGTTCACGCTTTGCCACTGCAATAGGAACTGCGACGTGCAGGCCAATTGGGTCCGTGCCGGCCATTTGGAGGTGGAACCGGTTCTGACTTGGGGCAGTAGCTGCCCCAGAGACACTCAGAGACTCTTTCAGAAATCTGCCTCGAAATGCTGTGGATACGCCGCAGCTGCAAGGTATGGGACAACCTCTTCCTGGATGCGAAGCATATATGCCCACCTTGCCGCCGCTTCCCGACCCTGTAGAGCCTGTGGAGCCTTGGCTAGAGTGACAATTGTTCAGTTCATGCAGTACTGTGTGGCACGAATCACCACCTCCCCATTCAACCACTGGGGCTGTCTTTTTCCCTGTCTTTCAATGCGAATAGTAAAAGGTGCAACGTGAGCAAACAATATTCAGGAAAGTGATCCGAGTGAATGTTAGGGAGCGGGAATGTTAATGGAGTTCCTGTGGCCAGGCGTGCAGACGTCGAAAGGACCAAAGAAGCGCAAGAGCACGTCAGCGAAAGAAACCAAAAAAGCGGAACGACAGCCCGGGGGGCCCCTCAAAGTGTCCGCACAGACTAAGCAAAAAAGAAGGCTCTCAAAGAGTGCGCAAGTGTTCGCGTGGTCGTGCGCACGGCTCACCTTTTGGAAGCGAATGTTTAAGCCATGTTCTGGCATCGCTTTGCATCAAAACTGTTCTTGTGGCGTGTTTGTGTGTCGAGTGGGTCCATGACCACGTATCTTTGCATCTCGTATCCTCCCTTTTGTGTGTGTGTGTGTGTGTGTGTCTTCGCATCACGGCTTCGTGTCGTCTCCACGTGCTGCGTCTTCATGTCGAGCAGTGTCAGGGACAAAAAAGTGCCAAACCTTGCGGTGTGGTCCTTCCTCCCTGAATTCTGCCGTTTCGTCTTTTCATCTCGTGCATCGCGCGTCTTGGGCCGGCGCTAGTCCAGTGGCGCACACAGGCTATTGTAGTGACTCCTATTAATTATAAGGTTTGCCGGTCGCTATTAATTATAAGGTTTGCCGGTCGCAAGAGGCCGCATGGTCCAGATTTTATGACTGCCTGAGAACAGGACTCTGTCATCTAGTTGGGGTGACTCGAACAAAGGACATGCCCTTTGTGTAGCATGCCTGATTCTCTCCAGCACGAGGATGCTCGAAGTGAGAGGTGTAAGAGAGGAGACAAACTGACGTTGCAGTTTGTGAGGAGATTATGCAAAAAGCTATTGTCACCACCTACGTCAGCATTGACGGCGGTCTGCGAGCACAAAGCGTTGTGATCGCGGCCATTGAGATGGCTTTCGCACGGTACACGTCCATCAGGTGCGCAGCGACGCAGCAGAGATCAGCAGAGTGCAGATATGAGCCGTGGCAAACCTCAGCTTGCAGGTCAGACCTGCTTGGCAAGGTTGTTCCAGAACCAAGCGATGTACAGATAGAGGATTTCGATAGCCTCTCGACATTCCAACTAGGATCTGTCAGATGGCATGTGATGCCGCCACGCAGCCTTGCTGATTGTTCACGGTGGTAAGGCACGCAGTTTCGCAGGCTGAATGCTGGCAGGACGAGGGGTTTTGCCAACTCGACACTGACGACGGCATGACATTTGACTTTGCCAGGAGGGCCGCCGAATGTGCCGATGACGATGCGGCTTTTGTAGCCGAGGCTGCAAAGGCGACGCGACATCCAAATTGCGCGTGGCGTCTGACAGCGCGTCGGGCGGCCAGGTTAGCCTGACAGTGACAAGTTGCTCAGAGGCGAGGACAGTGCTCTCGTCAGCTATGGGGTGCTTTGCCGCATCACCCAGGAGCTGGACTTGCTTCAGGGAAATCTGGAGCTGCTTTGCTCTGACCAAACCTTGCAAGCAGCTGCCTGGCACTCAGCTAGAAAGAAAGCGGCAGCTGTGGACCAACTGAGCAGTGACCAGCGAGCCTGGTTACTGGTTCGAAGATCCTGTTCCAACTTTCTGGAATCCATGATACCCATACTACTAGGTCATAAGCCGGCCGGCCAATCTAAGTGAAATGTGGGTCAGATCCGTTCGTTTCTCGCTTCCGTGGCGCTGCCATGCTCGTGAGCTGCTTGTGCTTTCTGCAATCGAGCAAGCTGACGCGGTTTCTGGCCTAGACCATGCTAAAATCCTATTGCTACAGTCGCTTTGAGAGACTTGTTATACATGTTCTTGTTGGGAGGCACCTCGGCTCACCAAGTGCATCTTGTGTAGGCCAGCCCTGATGGCCACATTTGTGGTCCTCCCACAGGCCGCCCAGGTGCCTCGCGAGGTGCCGCGCGTGGGCGAGTCCATCTACAGCCAAGGTGGTAACCCTGGACTGGCAGGCACCCCTACCCTGACCAGAGAGCTCAAACAAAAACGCATCGCACATGGTAGCAAAAGTAGGCCTCGGAGAGTTAGTTGTGTGTTGCGGTGTCGTAGGTGCGGATGTCTCCAGTTGGGTGACAAGCGCTACCTTGGCGACAGTGGCCGCGGTCTCTCTCTTTCGTGCCATGAGAGGGCGGAGCTGGTCTCGAGTAAGCCTGGGTCCCTCTGGCGGCTTCTCGTCACTACTAGTCATTGCTTGGTACCGTGGATCGGTTGTGATTTGCCTTGTGAACTTGTGCGCTTGTGACGACAGAGCCCTTTGCGACAGGCTGCTTCTACGAGTACAAGTTTCGTGCCAAACCTGGTGCCAAGTACAGGTACCGTTTCTCAACAGATGTTTGGACTCCCGAATGGGGTCACTACCCGAACGAAGAGAAAGGCCGCCTAATCCGCTATGGGCAGCTCATCAGCAAGGGCACCGTGCGAATGCCCATGCAAGACACTGATGATGACAACGATGGGTGGGGATTGTTAGGTGGTGCGTCAAGCGAGGGTGGGGTTGGAGCTCTTCTGCTGGACTGCGACGGCACCCTAGCAGAAACCGAACGGGATGGGCATCGCACTGCGTTCAACAAAGCCTTTGAAGAGAAAGGTTTTGACGTGGAATGGGACGTCGATCTTTATGGAGAGCTGTTGACAACTGGTGGTGGAAAGGAGCGTATGACTCGATACTTTAAAGAGGTCAATCCTGAGGCCTGGAGTTTCGCGGACGAGCCTTCCCCTGAAAATCCGGTCATCATGGAGCTGCACGAATTGAAAACGCAGATTTTCATGGACATTGTCTCCCGGCTGATTAGAAGCGCATGGTATATTGACATGCAAGAGGCCTGTCCAATCAGTTTTGCACGTTCTGCGCAACTTTGAATCTGAGGTGAAGTCAGGTGAGTTGCCGCTGCGAGAGGGCATCAAGGAGCAGCACGTCCCTAAAGTAATTCGCCCTTGGCAAAAAATCCGCTCCTTCTTTTTTTTTTCGGTTTTTGCAAGGCCGAGGCCATGCGAGGTTTGTTTAGCACATCTGTCAGGAGCTGATCTCTGCAGCAGATGATGCAGGTTGGCAACTCGCTGTGTGCTCAACCAGCAACGAGGCGCCTCCCCCCTCCCCCCTCCCCAAGCTTCCCCCCTCCCCTCCTCCCCCCCTCCTCCCCCCCTCCCCCCCCCTCCCACCTCCCCCCATGATGTAGTCCGTATAGTATAGGAAAGTGCGGAGCCCTCCACTCACAGGACGTCTTTGTCTTTGAGTCTGTGCTTAGACAAAATACTCGTGTTGGAGGAACTGCGTTTGCAAACAAGGCGGTGCAACCTCCGCCCCTGTCGAATACATTTGTGGAAAGTCGAGTCACGACAGAGTCCGGCTACTTGACCCTGTCATTGCCTCGTGTCGTTTCCCGTCGCCCCTGTCGAAACTAAGTGACTCAGCGCATGCGAAGCACGTGCGCGTGTTTAGTATAAATGTTTGTATATACGCGTAAAGGTGCATCCTGTATATATGTACGTGTAGGTTCTGCTGTGTTCAGGCCTCCGTCCGTGCAGTCGTGGAAACAATGTTGCCCGAGTTTGCTGACAAGATTCAAGTCTTTGCCGGGGATGTGGTTGCTGCCAAGAAGCCTGACCCGGCGACCAGACTGCAAGTCGACAATGTTGACCATGTTGACAATTCTGACAGTCAAACATGACATCCATTGCTTACCTTGAAACTTGGCCGTGGCCCTTAGGCCGTCTACAACCTGGCGGCACAAGAGCTTGGTGTTGCACCAATGCGTTGCGTAGTGGTGGAGGATACAGGCATCGGAGCGCAAGCCGGCGCGGCAGCCAACATGAAGGCTGGTGGGGAGACATTCGCTGTTGCCAAGGTAACCATCGGACATCTGGGTCAGAGTGCAATGTACGATAATGTACGTCTTGACTGCCTGTTCCAGGTCGTAGTCACCAAGAGCGTCTACTCGGCCAAGGCTTGACTTGGCTTGACATGCTGTGTGAGTTCCTTGCCATGTGGCTGCATCGAGCATCTCGCCATACGCGTTTGAGGAGTTTTTCGGCGATGCTGATGCCGTGGTTGAAAGTGCAAGCGAGCTCGACTTCGAGAAGGACTGAAAAGCGTTGAAGTTGTCGATGCATCGTCATCGTGAGCACGCAGCATCCTGCAGGACATTGCCTCACTGCTGCCAGTGCTAGAGATGGCATGAACTGTGTCACCTGATCAACGCCCACGAACCTCCAACTAAAGAGGTGACAAAAAGTGGCCAACTGAACCTCAGACCAGTAGTCAACTTCCGCGGCTGAGGAAAGGTCGAGTGCACATGGCAGTACTGTGCTTCATGCGTTTTGATTGGATGACGGTTGAAGAAGTGTCATGCACCTGCATGTTAGGTCCTGGCAGGTTGCCAGCTCACGTGCGGAATCTGCCAACCTGCAGCAGAGACCACCAGCACAGGGGCCATGCTCTCCAGCACGCTGGCAGCTCACACCTGAAGAAAGGAGCACTCTGTGTCACTGTAGCGTAGTGCGCTTGGCTGTCCCGGAGCGTGCAAGCGTGATGGAAGCATGGGGCTGAGGTCGGAAGCACCTGAGCTGGAGATCACTTGGCCTGGTGATAGCAATGCCTTGCGGCTTATCGTCCGCATCACCACGCGCACAAACCAAGTACGCACGGAGCTCATGACGTAGCCGCATGTGTGTTTCAGTGCCTGAAGATGGTCGATTGTGAGATGTGCTGCAGCTGTAAAAAGTCAAAGAACCTATGCAGCGCGCTAGCATCCGGGAAGACGACAGAGTTTGGGTTTTGCATTCGTCTCGGGCCTTTTTGTGTTTCTGGGGGCTGTTGGATGGGCCCCTGAGATTCCCAGATCTTGCGAGGCATGCAAGAATGGGTGATTTTGAACAACGATCGCTTGTAGAATCTACGCGTTCTTGGCCTGGGGCCTGGGGTCCTCCCTACGAAAGGTTTGGAACGGAGGTTCGGAGATCCTACGGGCGGCAGAGAGGGTCTGCAAAAGCGGTGCTCCAAAGACATGCAAGGATTACATTTTGCTTGCAAAACCCATTATGCCAGCGTAGATCCCCAGACACGAGGAACACGATGACGAGCAGCTCCCGCAGCAGCAGAGCAGGAGATCGGCAGGAGAGCAGCAGGCGCCCAGCACTAGATCGCCAGGAAGGAGACCACCAGGAGATGTCTCATGCAGCCACCTGCCGCCGGTCCGAGTCCATGCGCAAATACAAAATGGCGAAAAAAAGAAAGCACTAAACTTCAGGAGTGCGCTTCATGGGGTCACGAGGAACGACTGTGACTCCACTGGAGCTCCAGACGTCCTCCGCGTACTACATTTTGTACTACAAAGGTCGACTGTCGAGCTGTCTTTCAAAAACACCAAAAGCGACGACAGTCTCACATTTGGCGAACCCAGACATTCTAAGCGACGACAGTATCGCATTTCATGAACCCAGACCCAAAAGCGACGACAGCTACGAGGATGGCGACGCGACGTCGATGTACACGGCGCCTAGGCGGGAGCACGATGGGCGAGGAGTAGACCGGGAGAGGAGAAGAGTCTAGTGTAAAATCTAACAACCCCACGATGAGGGTAGGGAACAAAGGTCTTGACTCCCGATTCCTTCCGCAGGGTGCTGCTATCCCTCCGGGCCATTCAGATGCGATGCAAAGCCCTGGGCAGAAGCAAAGCAGCCATGTGCTTTGCCATAGCCATGTGATCAGGTGAGGCGGTGACCTACCACCTGGAGCAAGTGAAAGTTGACCAGAGTCAGCTCTTGATCATCATCTACGAGGAAACGCTGCAAATACTTATGCGAGCTGTTGCTGGCGCTGATTGAAGCTGTAGAAGTTCTAATGTGCCCCAGACAACCATTGGACTTGGGCAGCACACGATTTTCAGTAGCTGGTTCTGAATCCTCAAAGCCTCCCTTGCCAGAGTCTTCGTTTGGAATATTTGGATGACTGCAGCTTGGCCTACCGGGGCAGCTGAGCCTACAATTCACCCGTTCATCGGAACCCAAGGCATGCCTTTCGCATGGTAGCTTGAGCACAGTGTGTGTGGATCTGTGGCAGCGCAGGAGCTCGAGGCTGTCGGCCTTTCGGGAGCTAGTATACCCGGCTTGGAGCCCCAGCAGTTGCAGCCAGTCACACGCTGCACCTTTTACAATCTGCGACACGTTGTGCAGGTGGGCCTAGTCATGCCGGGTGGGTGTATGGAGGCCGCACAGCACCAGTACTCTGGAAGCGGCCGATCGGCTCAAGCCTCCTAGCGCTGGCCATGGCTAGCTGTGAACTGGAAGCTTCAGTGGTGCGCCTTCAACATCTCGAAAAGGTGCCGAGTGTGCGCTGCCATGTCATGGGTCTTGTCTACGTACTGCATCGTCTCGTATAATTATGATGCTGGATGCACAGGCATGTGTCGTAGCATCTCCTTGTGTCCCTGGCGGGACTTTGCCGTTTTCAACGATCCGATTAGGTGTTTGAACACAGGTCGCGGATATGAGGCTGATTGGTTCGAGGCGACTGATTTCCACACACGCAACTCTACACGTTGAATCTTCCTGTGTGGCGAAGATGGGCCCTGCCCCAAACACTTTCTCCAAATTTTCCAGCAGCAGTTGATAATCCGTTTTGATAAGTGAAGCCAGTCATCAAATGGCGAGGGCGAGGGCGGGTCACGCATGATCAGCCGAGGAGCGCAGCATCCATCTGTTGCATACGCACAAGACGCTTACCAGCACAAGCTCCCACATTTCTTGCCTTTACAGGTGGTGAGCCACCACGCAGAACTGAACACGCAACTGCGTTCAGAGCTGCAGCCTGGCTGCAACTGTGAACTTCTTTGCTCGAGCAAGTGCAGGTGTGCCGCACGTGGCTTTTCTGCACAGCTTCTTTCGTGCCATCGCATCGGGTGGAGACAAGATAGAACCGACATGACAGGGTGGTGGTCCCTGCTCCAGGCAAGAAGTGAAGGAACGCTTGATCGCTCTGGAGTGCGGCATTCGGATCACAGACGAGCCGAACCCGCCAGTGGAGGCAGCTGCTTCACATAGTTTTTGCTCCAGCCCCTTCCCCTCTCAAACGAAAACCTCCCTATGGCCCTATGTTTACTGAGCTCGGCGCCTGAGAACTCACAGCGTCATTCCTCTAGCCATTTGCCTCTTCCGGGTCCCCCAGGGACCTGGAGGCTGGAAAGTGGGGGTTGGCAGTGTTGAATTTGCGGTTCAATTCACGCACACCACGGTCCTTGAAACGTGTATCAGCTGGAGATGAAGTTCCTACTGGGTGGGAGGTTCATTCACAGTCTTCAGGCAGGGATGTAAAGGGTGCATCCTCTGGCAGCCTTGCCAGAAACGCCTTCGTCAGTATCGTCAGTCACAGCTGAGTCATAGCTACCTGTTTGAATGGCAGCGGCTCTGTTCAGCAACATTTGCTCTTCAAATGTCGCGGCTTCGTATTAAAGAAACGAAGTTAAGGCAATGAGTCCTCGCACGATCCCTTACGGTTGCTGTGTGCCCTGTATGCTCTTGGAAGGATCCCAGTGCGTGCGCTGCTGCTGCTGCTGCTGCGTGTCTGGAGGCAGGTGGTAGTACTTCTGAGTTGTTGCTTCAGGAACAATGAGTGACTCAGTGCCAGAGATGTTTTCGGTCATCGGCGATGCGGTTCATTGCCTTCAGGCAGGCGCCTGGCCCCCTATCGATGCCAGTGTGACAAAGCCGGCTGCTAAAGACATGTCTGTTAGGCAAGAAATCCCACGTGACGTGTGATTGCGTGAGCAGCACTGGAGCTCGACATCCAAGGCTCACAGCGGCCACGATAATTGACACGCAAACGCACCACTCCCTCCAAGAATCATTTTGGGATGCCTTGCTGCTCGCTGGACTTGACGAGATTGGACCGGCAGGAACGGTCATGATCATCATTGGTGTGACGGCCCTGCGGCTGCAACTGTTCACAACTTTGGTTCAAAACAGCTCAAAACTGTCAAAACTTGCTTGTATAGCTGAACCTCCCAATGCTAGCGGCTGCCATGCCAGTGGCCTTTTCAAGCTTGCGGCTGTCGGCAGGAGGTGGCCCTATGGAGGCCCCGGAAGCGAGCCTTTCGTTGACCAATGCGTTTTTCTTTTTAAACAAACCTTTCGTTCCAGTTGAGCAGCAGCTTTTGAGCTGCAAGCCGCGACAAAGCGCTCCCAAGTCGTGCAACTCGTAGTGAAAGACATGGCATGACAACACTGACAACACACAATTGTCTTTTCAACACGCCGGCATCGGCATCAGGGCAGTCACAGTGGGGTCAGGATAGCCGGCCTCTTACGGAGTGGACGTCGGCTCAATGTGGTCTCGAAGTAGTTTCCGACATGTTAATTGCTCAAGGTCTGTAAGATGCTGCACTGTAAGCTAAGCTGTCGATTAGATTGCTTCTTCGGTGGCAATGGTTTCGCCAACCAAGGTAAGCTTCTGCTTGCAGCTGCTGTTCTGCTGGATCGTGTGCACCTCTTTTCTCAGCGCTGACGCCAAGTATGATTTGACATACTTGAAAGAATGGCGCGTTCTCTATGGGCACTCTGTCAACTTGTATGACTCTGTGTCGGGCGCATCCCTGGTCAGCAAAGTATGTCAAGGGAGGCCCTTCGAACGAGAATGGTGGAACAATGCACTTCTCAGCGAGATAAATGCCTACCTAATGCCTGTCATCCCTGGTGGCTCAGAGAATGCCTTCACGGTGGGCGTTGTGTTGTCTGGTATGGCGCTGACCATCTGGGCCTGTCATATTGCAGCAGAACTGCAGAACGTGAGCAGCTTTGCGTCCTCGATCTATCAGCTGCCACGGGGCGTCACTCGTGTGAGGCTTTGTGCGGAGGACGATCGCATCTTTGAGTGCATAAGCTTCTGTCGCTTGACCATGCTCTCCTTTGTGGTCTTTGGGCGCTTTGGCATCGCAGTGATGCTGGGCATCTCCGGGGGTCTCTGGCTGTCGCTGACAAGAATCTTTCCTGCATCTTGCGCATGTGAGGCCACACTAGTGGTCACTAGTGCATGTGCGGGCTGGTCAGTCGAGTCAAGATACGCTCACAGTCGTACAGATACAAAGGAGACGTGACAAACATCATGCTGAATGCCACAGCCTCAGTTGCATGTAGTCAGGCAGGGCCTCTTGGCTTCGTGGCCTGGATGTGGTGTGCTAGCGCTGCTACAATAGTGACTGCTGGTGTAAGGCTGTGGCTTTGCTCTTCATTCTGGAGATTGATGATTTGCTGTACAAAGTTCTAGCACCCAAACATGCGATGAAGTACCTGTCTTCCATTCGTGAGTTCGAAGTCGGCCATAGGCTGCCTGTCAGCAAAACAGTGCTGGGACCCCTTGTATGGAGAATTTCGAGATTAAATCTTAGTTCCGTCCAGGGCTGCTCCTAGCATTCTGTTCACATTCCTAGCAGTTCAGGAGCCACTCAGAGTCACTCAGGAAGACGTGGGCTGGTGTGGACATGTCGAGCGTGCTGAAGTTCACAGCCTTGCTCATTGCCGTTGCCGTCTTCATCCGATGCGCGGACCTGAGTAGCAAAGGGTCCACAAGCCACGCGCAAATGCCCTTTCGCTTCTGCTTTATGTACTTCCGTGTGTATTTGTAAGACGCAAGCGGCGGTGTTGACTATGACAGGCACTGTCTGGGAGAATGCGCTTCAAGCCAGAATGGCTCGTGAGTTTTTGTGCGGTGGCAACCAGCGCTTAGGCTGCAGGATAAAGTCGCTGTAGTACAGCGACCAAGTTCACGCTGTACTACATGTGACATACCGGAACACTCTCTTTCGCAGCAGCGGGCCCCTGAAGCTGCGCGGCACTTCCCAGATCCCCAACTTTCAGTGACCTAAAATCAGCTCGTCAGGTCTCAGCCTAACATCAGCAACGTTTCTGAGTTGTGAGTCGTAGAAATTGAAGCAGAGCGGGGATGCTGCATGGCAGTCAGAAGACCTACCAGCTAAGGGACTTCGTTTATGGGTCGCACCCGACACTGGGGCCGATATTCGTAACTGACACGCTCAGTTTTGATCAAAGGGCCGAGAACATGCTTCCCGGAATGCGCCCGCTGGCTGCCTGGCCAAAAGCCGAGCTGCTTCTTGTATGCCCAGGTAATGACAAAGGAATCACGAAGGTAAGCTCTTTAGCGCTGTCTTCTCTTCTTGTTTGCATAATCTTCTTGATCGGCCATTGAAGTGCTTAGGGCGCAGTGAGGGGGAGCCCGGTGTTACAATACAAAGTACAAAAAGACCGGTATGAAGTCTGGTGCAAATAGGCCTTATAAGGGGTGGCCTTAGCTCCTACATAAAGTGCGGGGAGCCTGGCATCGGCGACAATCTGGATGCACCAATACGATTCCACACATGCCGATGCCCAAACCCGCAAAACCCCACATCATCGAGCCCAAAATGCCAAGCTGTCTGTTGTGGGGCGATGCCGGGTGGAATAAGTAGCTGCGTAGCAAGGTTGACGACGTAGTCTTCAACTACGACCGCAAGGACATGAAGGACCACATGTGGAGAAAGCACGTGGACGGCAGAGGCAGGGTAGCGATCAGGCATGTGCCATCGGCCAGCGACGCTTCTCACACATTGGCTGCGGCGGTGTCTAAAGGGTTGGGTGACCGAGTGGAGCGATCGCACATGCTTCACAGCAAGAGCCAAGGAGATGCAGAATTGGCTGCGGATGTCTGACGCAGAGGCTCCCGAAGAGACCGACTTTGGGAGCCGCAGTTATGGTACGCACCTCTGTCGCCAAGATTGCCCATAGTCTCCGTATCTCCGTTAGATCCTCACCGTACTGAGCAACTTCGTCCTTAGTAGCTTCGCAGCGAAAGATTGGTTTCTGACGAAACGGGTTGAAGGAGCACCAGGACTGTGTCCCGAATGTAAGTACTTCTGACTCACTGCTTCCTGGCGTCTTCTCGCGCCTCGTAGTGCTTGAGGAAGTGCAGGAAAATAATTCTCGGGGTGGCTGCCCCCCGCAGACTGTCGCAGTCCATGTGAGGTTCTGTCACGACAAAAATCCGACAGCAGATTGGTGGGAAACTGAATGGCTGTGGCCGACGCTCCAGGCGCTGACAGGTGCCAGGACCTGCGCCCAGGTGAAGCCTTTCTGCGATCGCAAAGATCTGCCGCTCGTGCGCATGGTCTGCCCCGAGACTCTCGCAGGCAGCCTATGGAGAGTGTGGCCCCCGATGGCTCTCGCCTCTTTGCCTCTCGTCCTCTCTCCCTCTCTGTCTCTCTCTTATTCGTTTTTGTCTTTCTCCTCTCTCTCTCTCCGCCGTCGTTTGTATGCTTGTCGTCCGCACTTCCATGTTTCGCTTCTGATGTTGTGAATGACCTCAGGACGTGTGGTTGCGCCAGGGCTGACAGTGGGCTGTATACCGACAATGGATGCCGACAAGCGTGCCAGAAAGAGGCGGTATTCCAAACCTCCGTGAACCAGTCTGGGTGCCACGATTTTGGGTCAGACGAGGTCCAGCGCCGGCAGTTATGGACACACTGGTGGAGCGGTTTCTATAACAATTCTTTTGGACTTTGGCTAGATGACAACTTCATGATGACATTTGCGCGGGATGGAGCGCAGGGAAACTGCTCATTCATTTCTTCGGCTGAATGGATCCCTGGTGTTGTTTGCAAGCACCACCCGAGCATCAGCCGCCCAGCATCGCTGCTGTGTCCTGAAACCTGCGGGTGTACAGCCGCTGCCTCACCAGGGGGTTATTGGTGCCCATCCAACTGCTCCGCGCGCACTGCATGAAGGTGCTCGACTGTTTGCCACAGGGTGACAGAACATCGGCGTTTCAGATGTGTACAGGCACTAAACTAAACCATCACAAATCTTTTTGTCTGTGCCCGAGGTCTGTCAGGGCAACGCTGGAACCAGCCTTGCCCGCATGGCCCAAAGATGGCCCTTGACATTGATTGACCTGGCACTTCCAGTGGCAGACCAATGGCCTGCCAAGCATATAAACTTACATGTACATGCAATGCATGCACTCAAAGAAAACAACAGATGGTCGAAAGCGGAGTTGTCCACACTATCGGCAGATTTGCAAGCAAAGTTCCAGCAGCTAGGAATTGGTTGGCGAACTTGGTCTGCCGACCAACCAAGGACAGATGTGGGTGCATGTGGCGCTGGGTCCGACCGCAGAGGCCGCAGCACCCGACACCACAACCACCGAGCCACCGCCCGTCTGGAGACATGCCTCGCACACAAGCATAAGGCTGAATGCCCTGGCCCTTTTGAGTTGGGGCCAATAACTTGTCGTGTTCGTCCAGCTCCGAATGTAAATCCTGATGCTTTCACATTCCCACGGTGCTGCAAGCTGTCGTTCACAGTAAGGACTGCCAGCACGACAATTGTTGAACCTTGATGCAAGCAGTGTGCTGGTAGATGCGGCTGATTGGCGGATGTCCTTCTGGTGTTTCTGTTTGTGCTTAGCAGCTGAGGTCATCCTGGGCAGTGCTTTGGGCTTCTCTGCGCTGGTTTCCTGTTGCGCAGTCGCCTTCTACATGTACTACCAGCGCCAGAAGCCTCCTGGCCTGAAGTCTTGGCGAACTTACGATTTCTGATGAGTTCTGGAGTCATGGAGGCATCAAGAAAGTGTCCAGGTGTTGTATGCGCAACTCAGGTATGCTGTTGCTGTGGGTTCAGAAGATCAAGAAATCGTGCAGAGATCAGAGGGCGGATACAGGATGAAGAAGATGCCTGATTGCACAATATTGCACTGATGGCGGCTGGAAAGGCTTTGAAGACCTGTACAAACTTTACAACCAAGGAAAATCATCCCTGGTCAAGCTCCAGACACACAGCCCAGCAAGCCTTCCTGTCTATCACGATGTCTCTCACGATGTCTCTAACTGAGACGCCGCTGAGGTGTCAAGTCGAGCTTGGCTTTGCAATTGCTCCGGAGACTCCTACAAATTTGCCCTCTGTGAGGTTGTGAGAAGCTATGCCCCAAAAAGCAAGTGCGACGAATAGCGCCGGTGACGCAGGTCGTTTGCACTTGCCACCACGAATTCCTGTATCTCAGTTGTCCATCTCTGTCCCCCAGGCCGGCAGCGGGGAGCTGGCTCTGGGTGCCCACGTTCGATTGATCGGGCTTTCGCAGGCACTTTTGGTAAGGGCTGGGAATTGCCATGAGCTGCACAGAAGACCTAGCTACAGACCTAGCGGCGTGTGCAGGCCCATTTTAACGGCCTGGAAGGCTACATAACAGGCCGGGGCCTTGGGCATGTAGCATGTAGAGTTTGCAGGGCTCATATCAAAGCAGAAGTCTGTCTGTGCAGAGGTGGGCCCAACGAGAAAGGCCGCTACTCTGTGGACGTAATCACTGCCGACGACGAGTGTTTGGACGGCATTCACGAGATTCTCCTCCATAACGTTGCCAGCTCTCTCTCTCTCTCTCTCTCTCTCTCTCACTTGCCATTCTTCATGTCAAGGATGACTCGTGAAATGCAGACTTTGAGCTTCAAGCCGGAGACTTGCCAGCAGTTTCAGAAGAGCCAAACATGCCCAGGCCACATTTGGCACGCGTGGTCATGCTGGCTTCAATGACCAGCTGCCAAGGACAACTTGCGAGTTCTACCGCCTCAGAACGCAACCAACCAGGCCGGGCCCAGCTGTGTGCATTTCCCGATGCTTAAAGTAGTGCAGCTTTTTCGGGGCTTCGTCAGACGGTACTGATGCAGTGCTAGAATGCTACAAGTACATGGTTATGTGATTCTACTGATTCTAATGAGGTCTTTGCGGAGGTGTGTGAGGGAAGATGCCCCAGGTGCCGGGTCCCGGACGAGGTCCAACAAGCTACCGAGCAGGTCCATGACCGGTAGAAACTTGGCTCGCCCAGTGTGGATTACATGAAGAGACCCTCAGTGCGTAGCCGCACAGAGATCGGCCGTGTGTTCGGATTCGAAGACATACATCGAGGCAATGATGATTCCGCTGCCGGTGGCTTCATTGAGCGACAGAGCTGACAGAGCAGCCTGCCGCCTCTTCAGGGGCCGTTGCCTCCCAGAGTGCACTCAAAGTTATATAATCAGTTGTCTAAGTTATACAAGCTATCTGATATATAAGTGATAGAGGCCAGCCACGTCACCGTGAATTCAATGGTAGGAATTGCAGAGGAACTGAGAACTGTCGAGATGGCTCTCCCCTGCAGCACTGCGGAATAAGCAGCCCCCTCGTTGAGCAGGTGCTGCCTGCCACCTCTGGAACCCTGTTCTCAGTTCTGAGGGACTGGCAGAGCCTCTGAAACAGATGTCTCTGCCAGCCTCGAAAGCTTTACAGGAGCGTTGCAGAACAAAGTGCGGAGAGAGCAAGCGATGGTCCCCTTGCGACACTGAGCGCACTGCGGAAGTGCATGCCTTTGTGCCTTTGTGCTTGCGGGGCTTTTGCGTAGCATTGTACGGGAGCTCCGGGAGTGGATGGGGCAGCTGTCGTGCGACGGAGGCCTGACGATTCCCGTGTTGCCAGTTAGTTGCGTTCCAGTGGAGCCAATGTAGGGGACTGAGTCTTCCGGGACTAAGGTTTCGGGCTTTGCGTAGAAGCACCAGCTGCGGAACAATAGGTGGAAGCAGAAAACCAGGCTAAGTTGACTTAATTGCCCTGAACCGTCGAAGTCCAGCAGTTCCCTCAACAACGCAGGTGGACATGCCAGGTCGTGGAGCCGAGGCACACTGTCTTTAGTGGCTGCAGTGGCTCCTCTTTCTCTCCCTCGTTCCAACGTCCCAAGCCGTCAGTTCTCATATGTTCTCATTGCAGTTCGCAGGCAGGCAGCTAAGCACAGACATGATCGAGACTCGACCCTCATGTGGTGCATGGAACATGATGGAACGGCAAAAAGTCACAGTCCAACCCGAGTCCACAAGTCGCACAGCACCATGCATTTGATTTCTTTGGGTTCTCCGAGAGGCTGATCGTTTCAAGGTCTAAGCTGTTATAAAGTCCTAAGCCCAGAGGCGGAGCGACTGAACAACAACTAGAGCTTGAGCCGACCCTCCTGTCCTCGGATCTCAGTACGAAGTGGAAGGTTGCATAGGGCAGCAGTGTACAGGGGTCTAAGATGAGGCGTGGGCTTCGTGACGCATTGTACTGTTCGAATTCTGATGTACAGGACACTTGTGTCTCGTAGCTTCGCTCCGTTCCTGCAGTGCCGTGATGCTGGAATCTTGTACCTGGCTGCAGTCTGCTGCCTGCCGACGGATTCAATCTTCCGGCAAAGAGCACACTGGGCTAACACCTAGAAATCCGGGCTTAGGGTTTTCGATTTAAGTCCATTATTTGCCTATATGTGCCCTAGTTGGTCACAGGGATAGTAGGATCGGTAGCGAAGCCGCATACGTTGTTTCCGTCGGTGGCTTCCGATGTCCTGGTAAGCAGCAGCTTCCGACCTGCCAATTCCTGATGTCTACCTTCCAACTTCTGGACTATCCAGAGCCCTTGTTTGGGGTTGCGGTTTCCTATTGTCCAGCCTCCTTAATTTTCTGAGTTGACTTCACCCCAAACCTCCCACTAAAGTGGCATCTACCCAGCATGCCGCACCCAAGCCATGACGCTCGGGGGCTCGCTGGCAGCTTCCACGACAGCACCGCCACCTGCCGAGGCCTGGCGGGTGTTGTTTCGAAGCTGTGTGTGTGTGTGTGTGTGTGTGTGTCTGCATGACAGAAGAATCAGGAAGTACCGGGGAATGGCTAGTATCATCGGGCTAGCGCGTAGAGAGCGAGAAGGGGCGGTGGAAGGTGTCACACAGACCACGAGACAGGGCGGGCGCGATGTCGAGGTTGACGTGGATCGACGGAAATTTAAACCAGATGAGCCCCCTTAAGCCCAGCAGAAGCAGAAGCAGAAGCAGAAGCAGAAGCAGAAGCAGAAGCAGAAGAGCAGAAGAGCAGAAGCAGAAGAGCAGAAGAGCAGAAGAGCAGAAGAGCAGAAGAGCAGAAGAGCAGAAGAGCAGAAGCAGAAGCAGAAGCAGAAGCAGAAGCAGAAGAAGAAGAAGAAGAAGAAGAAGAAGAAGAAGACATGGAGAGAGCGGTCCACTGAGCAGTTTGGTCAACTTCACATACCTGCAACTCCTGCAAGTTGAACATTTCAGCTTGAAAAGTCGGCAACGTTTAGGATGCTGTATAAATCCCTTCGGGAGCATAAACCCAGAACATCCCCATGAGACTATTTCCATGACGACTTGCCGCGAACAAGTTTGACTCAATCAAAGTTCTGAATCACCGCCGCCCTCATGCGCAGGTGTTAGGGTGCTTGCAACCAGAAGACCCTTACGCTAGAAGGAAAGAAGTGCAGAGGGCTTCAAGGCATGTCTTCTGCTTCAGGCTTAGCCTTGCTTAGGGTTGCTCCACGCTTCAAGCGCAGGCAAAATGAGGCAGAGTTGCGCTAGTTGGACCTCGCACTCATGGGCTCAGTGCGCCAGGCTCGGCTGCAAGCTCGGCTGCAAGCCGTGCACCAGTTCCTAGCTGCTGGCGGAGCCGAACGCTGCGATCTTCCTCGGCTGGACGCTGCAAAGTTGGCCGCGGTGCGGTGGGAAGAGTATGTGACAAACCACTGCAAGCCAAGAGTCATGGCCACAGCATGCCTCACCTCTGAAGGTTGCCGACACCCTGCGTGGACGCCCGGCTGTGCTTCGCGGTTTGTGGAGGAACGACCTTTGGACGAAAGCGACTTAGATGCAATCAGTTGGTGAGACGCAGCATTGATGTTGCGCTCATTTGTGCTCGGCAAAAGTCCAGGACAGGTTTCTCCGCAAGTTCACGTCTCACAGAGTCAAGACGAACAATGGGCACTTTGATCATCTACGCTCGAAAGAAGTATTATCTATGGAGCAGTATTTGGCGCAGAACGCTTCCGAGTGGAATGTGTTCTTTGCCGACATGGCATATTCTGTACACCGTGTCTCGGCAGTTGTTAGATCAGAAGGAGGAAGGGCGCTTCGTAAACGTAGTTCAGTCTGGACAGCCATGACCTTTGTCTTGACAAGAGTGCGTCGCCGATGGTCAAAGACGTAGAAGAGAAAGCAATTTCCAAGTATTCTATATACACATACATACATGCATACACACACACATATATACATATATGTAACATGTGTGTGTGTGTGTGTGTGTGTGTGTGTTTGTTTGTGATTGTGTTTGTGACTGTGGTGGCACATTGTTTGCAGGAAGCTGGGTCTGCTCTTCAATCTTCACTGTAGGTGAATTTTGGAATATGCTGGGCAGTGCAGCTGAGCCGGCACCGCTGCTGGGCTTTGATGCCCGGCCGATTCTGTCCATCGGGACGCAGGTGCTCGCCACTGGCTTCATGCCAAGATGACCCTCAACTTCTGCAACCTTGACGCACACGCACGCACACAGAGGGCCGGGTGCAAAGTGACAAAGATACAGTTTCATGTCATGTAATGCCTTTCACGCTTGTTGCACGAGCCGTCAGGCCTCCTCCACGCGTGCCCATAGTCATGCCGAGACATGGCAGCTGCTTCTTGGAGGCCTCAAAGCTTGGTGGCTGGCAAAGCCAGGCCCGCCACGTCTGAAGGCACACTTCAGGATGGGCCGAGAGTTTTGACATGACACCAGGCTCGGATCTCGATAAACTGCTGGGTGCTGATCCATGCGTGGCGCTGGCTGGCCTGGAAGGACGCATGACACCAGTGCCATCCGCGCAGTGAGGAATGTGCTGACATGTGGAGGAAGTGTTGACAATTGGACAGTAGGTGACAGTATTTGACTGTACTTGACAGGACTGACAGGACGCACAAAGAAAGTTACTCAGCTGGGCAAGGCCTCGGCAAATGAGGGCAGTTGCAGGATCCTAAAAGGTGTTGTCGAGGATGCTCAAGGCACATTGGCACGTTTGCAGGAGCCCTGGTTCTGCGTGCAGCGTCCGGGGGAGGCACACCTCCTGCTTGCATTCTGGGACAGCGAGCCGGATTTGGAGCCGTACTCAAGCAACAAGTAATGCATGTAGTCAATGGCCGAAATTGTTGAAACCTGCAGGCCATGTACTTTGGCGATCGGTTCCCACATGCGCCCTTGCGGAGATTGAGCCGAGTCTCAGTGTGTGTGTCTTGTTGGGCACTGCTTCTATATCCTGGACGGGCCTAGCGTCTGCAGTCGTGAGTCTAGTTGAGTGAGTCTAGCGGCAAGTTTCAATCGAACGAGTAGCAAGTTGTCGAGGCCACCTGCAATCTTGCACCGTTTGTGCTGGGATTCGGTGCACAGGCAGCGACTGTCAATGACGCATCAGCGGCGTGCAAGCTACCGTATGCCTGCTATATCGTGCCTTCTCGGAACTTCTCGGAACCTGTTTCCTCTGCAGGGCCGTTCGCAGAACTGGGCATCTGCCCTCCACATCGCGGCACACCGCAACAACCGAAGCGGCCTGCAAGAGCTCATCGAGGCGGATCCGTAGGCCAAGCCGCAGTGCGACACGCTTGACCGGCTCAGCCACTTTAGTATTTAACCCATGCTCGATGGAAGCTGCAGATTGGCGGAATCGACCTGGACGCCGTGGACGAGGATGGCGCCACTGCGCTGCACCGAAGCGTCGCTCGTGGGCATCGCGACTCCGCCGCTCTGCTGGTCGCAGCAGGGTGTGACCTTCGGCTGCGTGACCGGGAAGGCGCTCAGACTTTCTTGTTGCGCTCAGATTCGGCATATATTTCTGTGCTTTCTGTTCCGGCCTCGGGCAGGCAAGAATGCGGCAGCCATGGCTGCCGAGAGAGGGGACCTTCCTCTCCTTGAGCTCCTGGCAGAGGCTGGCACCCCCATCAAGCAGAAGGACCAGTGCCCAACAAGCCTCGAGCACAAACAAAGTCAAGATATGTCCGGAAGCTTTGGTATGAGGATGTTCCAGGGCTGCTATAAGATGCGATAAGGTTCGGCCCAGTACTGCTGGTGCATGTTTCATGTACTTCCATTCTTGTTGACTACCCACCCGCCCCCTCCACCCCCCCGGTACCCGCTCGCTTCTGCTGCAGATGCCTGGGTTTTCTGAGAGCTGTTTTGCAACTGCTGCTGCGCTGATAGCACCGTCGCTTCTGCTCGTGCCTGCACGCTTCCACATGCATCTGCAAGTTACAGGACGGTGGCAAGCCCCATGCCATTCATTGGGCTGCGCTCTCTGGACATCAGCTCGTGCTTGAGTCGGATTCTCGGATGTAAAAACCTCAAGCCATGCCAGGGCTTAGGAACGTCTCTGTTGCTAAGTCGGCGACACTGTTGAGGATTTGTATTTTGCGAGGTACTTACTGAAGCGGCGAGCTTCAGCGCACGCACAGGACAGCGGCGGTGCCTTGACGGCAATCTGCTTGAACATGCTGGGCTGGTATGTCATGCCCCTGCTTCAGGCATACAGCCGGTGCACTATGCAGCCTTGGAAAGCGATGTGCAAACCGTTGCTTTTCTTGTGGAGGCCGGGGTCATGCATGAAGAGGTTTTGCTCGCCATTTCTCGCCCAGCTCACCCTTGCAGCACCAGCGTGCCAACATCTCTGCGACGGGGCATGCTGGTGAGCAACCGCTTCACTGGGCAGCTGGCGTCGGCCACCGTGTGCCGGGAGAAGCACATAACTCTGCAGACTCAACTCGCGCCTTCAAGTTCACTGTAGTTGGCTGTGTCTTCCGACTGATATCGCTCGATCTGCGCGACCGCCAAGTACTTTAAAGCGCCTACATCTAAATACGAAACAAATAAGTAAATACATATGTATATACATATATATGCTACCCCCCCCCCAGCGACCTACCCTTTTTAGGCCTTTTTAGGCCTTTTTAACAAAAAATAACAAAGAAGGCCCAAAAGTCGCGTAGTTAATCACCGGGTAATGAAGGACAGTTCCTGGGACACCCACCTCACAGACCCCGATAAGCCAGCATTGGAAGAATCTACATTTTGAATCTGAAGCGGACAATGCTGTTTTTAGATGTTTAGATCAGTGTTTTTCTATGCAAATTGTGCCTTTCAAGGGCAATTAATGTGGTGTGGGGGCGGGCTGGGCAGAAAGGGCAGCAGTCGAGTCCCTTGTGAAAAAAAAGGGCAATTAATGTTTTGTTGAGCAACTAATTTATTTATACAATTGTGTTTGTACGAGGCAAAGTATTAATCAAATAGTGAAACATTTTTCTTGGCTCTATGCGAATTTAGCTACTAGAGTAATTATTCAGCAAAGAGCCCAATTTGACTCAAGTGAATACTATTTAAAGGAGCATACTCAACCAAGATACGAAATAAACACCATTCTCAACCAAAAAATGGCAAAGTGTGCGTTTAAAGTGCAAATACTGTATTTATACAATTGTGTCTGTACTAGGCAAAGTATGCTCTCTGAAAAGTCCACTGAAATACCTTATGTTTACATATTCATGAATCGTTTTTATTTTTGAAATAATCATTTTATGCGAATTTAGCTACTAGAGTCATTATTAAGCAAATAGACCAATTTGACTCAAGTGAATACCATTTAAAGGACCATACTCAACCAAAATACGAAAGAAGCACCATTTTCAACCAAAATATGGCAAAGTGTGGTTTAAAGGGCAAATAGTGCTTTGTTGAGCAACTAATGCATTGAAACAGTTGTGTTTATACCAGGCAAAGTATTATTGAAGTACTATCTGCAAAGTCAAATGAAACACCTTATGTTTACATGAAACAGTTTTTTTGAAGTATTCATTCTATGCGAATTTAACTACTAGAGGAATTCTTAAGCAAATAGCCCAATTTGACTCAAGTGAATACTATTTAAAGGATCATACTCAACCAAATACGAAATAAACACTTGCGGAAATGGAAACGGTTCTACCTACATAACAATGAGACAAAGATTGCTGAAGTATTCACTAAAGACCACTTATATACTATGTCTGAAAAACACAATCTGCATGAGCAAGCTTAAAAATGCACAATAATGGAAATAGAAGCGGTTCTACTTACATAACGATGAAACAAAGACGTCTGAAGTATTCAATAAAGACCACATATATACTATGCTTGAAAAACGCAACTTGCACAATCAGGCTTAAAAAATGCACAAGAATCCTAGAAAAGTACTTAGTGAAGGCCATACACAAGCAAATTCACAAATACATAAAAACATCCAAAAGCGCAAGCTTTTCAGGAGAATCTCTGGTAAAGTTTGGATTATAGGGTTTTGGGGTATTCCTGGACGAGTAGGCGTCACTTTTTAAGCAAACAATTCTAAGCAATAAATGCTTTTTCTCAAGACAAGTATTGCAAATGCTGCTTCTAGATAATTAATCGCATTTACCAGGCAAATATTATCCATGCGAATTGAGCTACCAGAGCACCAAGTAATGGCTGAATAAGGTCTACTACACTTGAGTACAACCAAAAGATGCACTAAACACTAGCGGCTCTACTTACATAATAACGAAACAAATAGTTCTGAAGCACTAGAAAGACCACTTGTATACTATTTCTGAAAAGCACAATTAGCATAAGCACACTTAAAAATGCGTAGTTGTTGCCTCGTGACAGTGAAGGCGAACCAAAAAGCCAAAAAAACCAAAACCAAAAAAACAAAAACACCAAAACCAAAAAACCAAAAAAACCAAAAAAAACAAAACCAAAAAAACCAAAAACACCAAAAAAAACAGTTTTCCGGGACTCTTGGAGAAGCCTCATAGGGATTTCCTGAGAGTCCCTGAAAATTGTTTTTTTTGGTATTTTTGGTTTTTTTGGTTTTGTTTTTTTGTGTTTTTTTTTTTTTTTGGTTTTGGTTTTTTTTGGTTTTTTTGGTTTTGGTTTTTTGGTTTTTTTGGCTTTGGTATTTTTGGTTTTTCTACTGTCCCGTGTATGCGATTTTAGTTGTATTTTAGTCTACGCCCTAGGAAATACGCTATATTGCACACCGCGTTTGCTTGCAGAGCAGCTGGGTGACTTGAGACAAGGCGAAAAAGGGTAGGTCACTGGGGGGGGGTACCATATATATATATATATATATATATATATACAGATGTATGAAACACTCCTGTGGGCAGGGGGCCGTTCAGCGTGAGTGAAGTGTGTGTTTCGATACGGTTGTGCAAAGCCGCGCCTTCGAGGTGATTGTGGAGTACCTACTGCGGGCGCGTGCTGATCCAAACGCCGCAGATCAGCGGGGCACCACGGCACTGCATTTTGCCGCAGCTCAGGACAGGTTGGAGGCGCATGGTTGTCATGTCGTTGCTCGCAAGCCTTTCGTTTCTATCTGAGTTCGCTGACAGTGGGGGCCGGCGACTGCCAAACCCATGAAGTGCATGAGTTTTCCGCGTTTACTAACCGTTACTAACCCATCCCCTCCGCCTTGGACGCGACACGCTTTGTGCCGCGTCGCCCCTTCGTTTAAGTCGAAGGCCAGCTCCCCTACACAAATGGCCGCTTCCTTGTATCTTGAAATTAAATGTAGTGGTGGAAATGCAGAAGCTCACTGCGCCAAACGTTGCCCCCTTGTTGCTGTTGTTGCCTTAAAAGCCAGGCGGCTCGTCAGCTGTTGGCCGCTTCTGCATCTATTGCGGCGTCAGCCGCCGGTGTGCAACCACTCCACGCAGCAGCAGCCAAAGGCGAAAGCATTACCTCGATGTCAACATTGCACTGAGGGACACTTTGTGAGTTCTCTGATGGTTTAGTGGGATGTGGGCTTCTCTGCAGCCTCGGGTTCTTTTAGCGGAAGGAGTTTCAACTCTTGACAAAACGACAACGACCAAGTGCCATAACAATGCAGAGGCCACATGCGGCTCGTCTCACTGCTGCTGCAGGCCTGTCAGCCAGTGATTTCTCGAGGCAGAATCTGGCAGCAGAGCATCCAAATGACATCACAGTGCGCGAAGGCAGGGGCCGATGCCAAGGCACGAGATCGTCAGCGGCGCGTGCCAGCAGATGTGGCCTCAAACCAAATGGTGGTGGATGCTCCTTCTGAAACGTCTTGGCATAGTGAGCATGGCTTCCATGCACCGGTGCTTGCCGGTATCCGCGGCACATGTGCCCCATGTGCCCCATACCGACACGATCTGCTGAGGATCTTCTTCGAAGTCAAGAGCATTTCGACGACCTCTGAGAAGAGCGAAGGAGATGTACAAAAACACAGTTGACATCATAGCGTATCTAGTATGTATGCTGAAAACAGAATGATGCTTAACAAAAGCTTCCAAGGGGTCAGCCCGAGAAGCAATGGCGCTCCTGGCTGAAAAACTTGGAGCTTTCCAGACTTGTGCACATGCAAGATCTGCAAGTGCTGTGCGTACTTGGCAGACACCTGGTGTGCCCAGCGATTCGAAAGGCGAGCGGCCAACGCCACTCGTCCAAACTGGCGATTCTGCAGTCAGCGCAACTATCTAACAAACTGTTGCGTTCCTGATTCCTGTCGGCTCAGCGTCTCACACCCCAGAAGCTGCAGTGACACTGAAAGGAACTCTCTTGCCCATCCATGAATTTGCCAGTGAGCCCTCGTTCGCCGTTCAAGATTAGACGCATGGTGTGGTTCGCAGGGACAGAAAAAGACGAAAGGTGAACAGGCTCTTGGATCCAGATAGTAATTTCTCTGTGCAACGCTGGGGCTGGAGACTTTCTTACGTGCTTTTCATTGGTGTTGTACGAAAGACAAGTCAAGGTCGTCTGCTTTCTTCCCCAAAGTCTGCCATAAGTACGAAAGACAAAAAACTTGCCAGGGTTTGAGGGATGTCCTTCCTTGTTTCCTGCATCATATCCGTTTATACGTGTTAATAAATGTATCTACAATGGGGGGCGGCAATATTTGGCAACTGCAAAGGAGACAACCCTTCCCCAACAAAAAGAATAAGAACCATTTCCTTAGGGCATAAAGGCACATGTTAAAAGAATTTAAAAAAGAATGTTCAAAGGAAAACACATGTGAGGCTTCCATTTCCACAGGAAAGATGTAGTCGCTTCCATCGGGAGAAGAGCAAATTCTCGCCTAGACGCACCAACCCAAATTCATCCATCCTTGGAACCGAAAAGCCACATTGGCCCCCATTATCCGACTTCCCTCCGTTCATGATGACATGCTTCGTTGCAGCAGTTGTGCAAGCAGATGGTTTCCATGTTTTCGTGCACGTGCATCTCAGCCGAGGAAGGAAGTCATTGATGCGCAAGCACTGCAAGAAACTGCCGCCCGCAGCTCAGAAGCGCTGCTTCAGAAAGCGTTTGCTATCCTAGGGGGGCACATCCTCCTAGGGTTTGAGCACAGACAGCCAGGCAGCGTGAGCCAGACTTGTTCGCAGTCCGCGCCGTGTTACTTGTAAGAAGATGACAAGGTTGTATTCCAACTCAAGACCTTTCCTTTTGTTGCTGCTGTGTTTTGCTGGAAGCTGGAACATACTGACTTGCGAAGTGCGGGTGCCAACGAAGACATGCCCCCATGGCAGTGAGACCCTGCGGAAGTAGAACGCTGATGTTCATTGCTAGAGCCTGCTATAGCAGCAGCCGGACAGTAAGGGCGGATCTTTGAGCACAGGCAGGCTTCTTGATTGTCTGGAACGCAGCCGAAAACAGCTGAACTGAAAGCTTAAGGCGAGAACTGTGCGGGGAGCACAGCAGCTCTTTGGCAACCTCACCGGCTGGGTCAGAGAAGCCAGGACCACAGACACGAGAGATGGCTGATGCCTTGGCATACTTCAGCGTTGCACATGCAGACACTTTCAGACTTTCCCAGGCGCAGACTGCCGTTGCTGACTCGTTTGCAGGGCTGGCAGAGGAGGGTGTAGGCCTGCTGCAGGGAGAAAAAGGGGGTCGGCACGTACGCGGCTTTCAGTACCTGCAGGCTGCAAGCCTTTTAAGCTGTCGTGCGTGAGGGCCACTGACTGCCGTGCGCCGACGTGCAGCTGAGCGCAATGCCGAGGCATGCTTTCGAGCTTCCATCTTTTGGTTCTTGCGTCGCATGGTGTGATGCTTGAATTTGAGTGTCATACAGCCATGTCAAGTTCTATCCCGGAGGCAGGTGCCAACATCTCGCCACGAGCCTCCAAGCGACCCTTCGTCTGAATGTGAGTCGGTGCTCAGATGTGCTCAGTGCCAACTTCAAGACAGTATCACGGAAGCACATGTGACAACAAAGCACGCAGGAAAGGAGGCTTCACGAAGCGATGCTGCGCAGTACTTTGTGCAGCACTCAGCTGAATGTGCGAATCTGATTTGACAGAAGAGAGTCCTGAGTCGGAGCTGGCTGTGAAGTCCTGCTCACCTAGAAATAGTATGAACAGTGTGCCAGGTGGAGTACAAGGGCCTGGATCTGTCTCTCCTTCCCCCGGAGTTACAAACTGGGCCTGCACGCAGCTGACTCTGATAGATGCTAGCAGATGGCTTCACGACTTGAAGTCTGTCAGCAGGATGAACTCAAGGAAAACAAGTGAACTCTTTTTTCGGGTTTCGGGTTTGGAGCCAGGGATGCGTGGGGCTTCTTTCAGCAGAAACTGCTTGCGCAAGAGGCGTAATTGAGCTGCTCAGACCGCGCGTTTTCCCACCCCTAGCGGCCCTAGCGCGCTGACGATGGTGTCTCGGGAGCAGAAGGCAAGCTGGGCAGCCGAGCAGATAGCCCTTGCGAAGCTGCGTGTGGAGGAGGACTGCTTGGATTGGAGCATCAGCCAGGAAAAACATGGTTTCCCAGGTCTTTCTCGCGTGGGTGGTGTGGATGTGTCGTTCTTTGCAGATGGAACCTATGCGATTGCAGCTGTGGTGGTGCTTAGCTTTCCCAGCTTGAAGGTGATTTACGAGCGCAGTGCTGCTTTTCGGCTATCTGTTCCTTACGTGCCTGGTTTCCTGGCCATGCGCGAGGTGCCTGCATTGAGTAAGCTGTTCCAGGACGTCCCGGCAGATGTTGTACCGCAAGTCGTCCTTGTGGATGGCAATGGCGCTTTCCACCCTCGCCAGTGCGGGGCAGCTACCCATCTTGGGCTTTCGATCGGCTTACCAACGATTGGTGTTGCCAAGGATGTACAACAAGTGGGCCAAGTGAATTCATCCACAGCAAGGCGCCTGGCAACAACCCTGTCTCATCCCGGACAGTGGGCTCCCCTTTGCAGCGTGGCAGCTCTACTAAAGACCAAAGGCAAATGCCTCGTGGTCAGCCCTGGGCACCGCATCAGCTTGCAAACAGCTGTAGCGCTTGCGTCCCATCTTTGCCACCATAATTTGCCGGAGCCCATTCGACAGGCAGATCTGCGTAGCCGACAGGCAGTGCGAGCATGGTATGCGGGCGTCGAGTTTGAGTACTTGGTGGCTCCTCGGCTGAGCCATTTGGAACAGATGCTGGAGATCATGTCCAGAGAAACATGCCACAGTCCAGCAGAATGCCGAAGCGCCCCAAAGTCGCGGCCCAAGTGGGTCATCAAGGAGCAGCCCAGGAAGTACTCTGAGGGAGACATTGCGTCCTCGACTGCAGCACCCAGCGAGACGGAGGAAGCCCAGGAACTGCAGGAGAATGTTTCCGGTGCTTCCTGGACTGGGCTATTATTTGGTTGGCTTTGCGTGTGCTTCACCAGGTAGGCGACCCCCAGGATGTTCCGCTCTAAGCTCACTAAATTTACTAAATCTTACATGTAGTTGCGAGACTGCACCGTTGTTTTGTACAGGCATTGACGATTGGACTTTCTGAATAGTTGCAGTAGCATAGATGAGCATCGTCACGTTGTACAGCGCATTTGCAGAACCGTGGCGGCCCAAAAAGGATGAGCACCTGACGCGAGCATGTCCAGGAGAACGGAGGCACACTAAGTGCCATGAAGGAAAAGGGTCGTGAGAGTCACTTGAGCTACTTGTTCAGTAGGCTTATACAGCATGCTTTGAACTTAGAACGGGTCGCGGCATGCATTGTCTCAGAGGTTCTAGAGAGGTGGCCATGGGGGTTTATTCAGAAAAGCTAGCTTGCAGTCTCGAACTGAACGCATGAATAGTTGTTCGGTATATCGCTATCATCTCTGGTTCACGACAGGCGCCGGGGTGCTCCTTCAACTGCCATCCAAGCTTTCGAGTGGAGGGGCCTCTCTGAAACCCCAACTGTAAGCACAACCCGTTGGCTCTTTGGAGCGGAACGTTGCCTTCTGATTCTGTGCTCATTGCATTGGTGCCTGTCTTAAACGGCACCGCAGCCAAAAACTGCACTGACATGGCAGTGACATGGCACTTTGATCTGCGATTGCTCAACCAAGCTCGTGCATGCCGTGACAGAGATGGCACTTGCATCTTTCAGCAGCCCAAAGCCTTCCAAATTCATGTGCATTTTTGCGGCATCGCATACTGGGAAAAGCTGAGTACTTGAGCACTTTAACTTGGCCCGGTTCCGACCACATGTAGTCAATGTAGTTTCCCACGTCATGGCGTCTCCGTTTGGAGCTTCAGCGCCTTCGCTGGTTAATCCGCAGTCTCGCAACCGTCAGTGCATGTCATTAAAAGCTACAAGCTTTCCTCCTCTTGTTTGCATGCACCATCTCTGCAGCCAACCTCTCGGTCCTGCTCTATGTTTGCTGTCAACATTGAAGCGCACAGCCAGAGCCAAATTGGCAGGATTACTTTTTCCCACCCAGCCTCACCCGTGCGCACCGGTTTTTCCGTGGAGATGCCCGTAGGGAAAGTACCGCTTTCCTTGTACTTGTGCAGCATGAGTGTCATGCATTCCCGAACCAGGAACGGGAGATGCCATCGGGACCTGGGGTAGCTGGTGTCGCAGTAAGTGACAGGACGCGCGGGTTCGGGGATCCGATCCGTGATCGGCTTCCAGCGCATGCCCTATCATAGGCTGCAGGTTGAGTGTTGCGGGAAGAGAAAAGATGTGTGCAACAATGTGCTGCATGTCTTTGCATGCAGTATCGCTGGTGCTGCTGAGGGCTCGAAGAATGCGCACCCAGCTGTTCAGGACCACGTGCCCGCTCTGCAAAGGGTCGGTTGTGTTCAAGTGCTGTGCGCAGTGCCGGCTTGACACATCGCTCGACAGACTGGCAATGACTGGGAGGATGTAGTGCAGCTGCAGCAACTCGAGCCTCGGGAAACTGCGCGAAGACTGGGCCGCCTTGCCAAGAATGGAATGGGAGCACCAGTGCGGCTTGTCCACAACAGGGTGTAGGGTTTGTCTGAACTTGCGCTGTGTGACGATTGTCAAGCTTCAGAAGCTTTCAGATATCAAAGGCTGGACTTCTTGGCCCTTTGGACGCCTTGGATGCCCATGTTATGCTCTACATGTTCCGGCAAGTCACATTTCCGGAAGTAAGCCAGTAAGCACGAGGAAGCATGAGTGCAGATTCTATGCACATATAAGATGGATCATACAACTTCCCGCATTTGCGCAAAGGCCTCGCTTAAGACACGCGAGTGCGAGGTCAATATGCAGCGTGGCTGAAATTCGGCAGCCCACGTTTTGTGCTTATGGCAAGGCGATTCACGATTGAAGTGTTGGCACACCGTGTGGATGCCCCAGGTTCCACTATGGCATCTGCATTAGTTCATGCGCCAAGAATGTTCTTTGGCAGTGCGCTCTTGATCTTCTCAATGGGATGGAGAGCCGTTTGGATGCAGCAGGTGTCAGACAGTGTTGATCCCAGCCACTCAAGCCTGGTTCGCCAATACCCGGGCCGTGCTTGCCAATCTCTTCAGGCTCAAAGGTGGAAAGAAATGCTGTGCACTACAATGCGTGCATGGACGTCTATGCCAAGTCAGCCCAGTGGGAAATGGCCCTTGCCCTGCTTGGCCAAGCTGGCTCCAAGGCGGCCCAGTGGAGCCCGTGAAGACCTAAAGACAAACGGCGTCTGGCAGAAGCGGAAACTCAGAAAGGGGTGTATATGGGGTGTGTTCCTCTCGCATCTCAAATCTTGAAACTTGACTAGGCCGGGGTTCTGGGCACTCCGTCCGATGTTGCTTTAAAATGGGGCGGGAGACTTCAACGCAATGAAGGCGAAGTTGTCGACAGGACAGAAAGAGATATGGGTATTAACCATGCCTTTGCTGGCTGGAACTGGTTCATCTTGATTTTGATGCCCAAAGCTTCGACAGTTCATGTGACCATTCACGTTCGCTGAGCTCCTGCAGGCCAAGCCGGATGCAATGCTCTTCAATGCTTGCATCACTGCTTGTGATAAAGGCGGTCGATGGCAAGTCGCGTTGCAGATCTTGGAGAAGATGCAAGATAGTCATGTGGATCACGACCTCATCACCTTCAACTCATGCCTCAGTGCTTTAAGTAAGGCGGGGTACACGCCGACAACTGAATGTAACGATTGAAATAAAGGCGCTGTGAGACATGCTGGCTGCAGGCTTCGGAATGGCAGCTCGCCATCGCCCTCCTTGCCTCAATGCCCGAGGCCAGGGCAGTTTAGTGAGCTCGAGAGGCGCGTGCGCAACGTTCCTACGAGGAGACTTCGCCAGACACCATTAGCTACAACGTCTGCATCAATGCTTGCGAGAAAAGTGGCTTCTGGCCGGCTGCACTTCTTCTTTTGGGGAACATGAAGTCGTGCAGCTCAACTTTGCACCGGGATGATTCTGCAACATCCTGTACCTTTCGGCATGCTCATTCTCAATTGTTTGTGTTTGTGATTCAGGTACAGTCCCAACAGCTACACGCACCTTCAATGGCTGCATCGCTGCCTGTGGGGGTTGTGCCTGAGCTGATTCGTACGAGCAGTCCTTGTTGAACATCTCCTGCTTGCAAACTCAACTCCTTTGGGAACTTGAGCTTGTCCACCCCCTGAACCGAAGCATATGAGCTGCGCTGTGGATTTTCCAGTTGCTTGTAGGCCCAGAGAAGGAGGAGGATTGAAGCACAGCCTGTCCATGTCCGTAGTCTGTTACCTCTTTGATCGGTTTACTTTGACTTGTTCGCTTGTTGAAAGCCTTCGTTACCATCTTCGCCATGGCTGTCAGCGACGAGAGTGGGGAATCAGAACTACTCTACTAGTGTTTTCTACACAAATTGCTGGTTCACATCGGCTGTTCGTTTTTCAGGATTTAAAGGCGTTGACGGCATTCGATGTCCTCATCTTCACTTGTGCTCTTGCTCGTCCGAACTCTCGTCCTCACTCTCACTGTCGCCTTCCGAATGCCCTGGCGTCCATGTCCACGCTCGGTCCGGTCTCGTTCAGTCTCGCGTCTTGGCCTCATGTTCGTTCTGTTTTCGTGTTTACGTGCTCGTCTCTCCCGAATCCCGAACATGCCTTGCTACCCGAAACGATTGAAGAGTTAAGCTTTTCAAGCTTGGGTATCGTCAAACGTCAGAGTTTGAAAGCTGCAAACGCCTCTCCAAAACGCTTTCAAACCGTCAAGCCCTCTCGCGCTTTACACTTTCGAGTTGAGTCGTTAGTCTTTGAAACTCCAAACTCTCGAACTCCAGGCTGTTGTCTTTTTCATTCTGTAAAGCTCTAATCTCCAAACTCCCGACGGTCATTTTGCCGCATCAAGCTTTCAATCATTCGGAGTTGAAAGCCCCTATGACACCTACAGGAATCTGTATGGGCATCTACGAATGTTGAGATCTAGGACCGCAGGACAAAACATCCAATCTTGGGCTCGTGCCCCAACACATGTCTGCTGCTCCGCCACGCCTGATTCTCCGGGGTTGCTTTTGGATATTTTGAGGGCGGGATTGGAGTAGGTCCCCCTTGGCATCTTTACTTGAGCGTTGGTATTTGGCTTTGTCTTTTGGTTGTGTGCTCTTGCTCCCATGGTGCCCTAGTGCTGTGTGTTTCAAGACTCGGCCATCGTCCCGAGTTGTTGGCGTGAACGTGGCGGGCGCGAAAAACATCCTCCCCAGCCCTAAACCGTAATCCCAAGCCTAAACCCTTAGACCCAAAACCCCAAACGTGCCCTGAGCACACATATGGTGCCCTCCCTCCTGGACCGACACGAGAAAGGTCTTGAGGCCGAGGACGTTTCGTCGAGGAAAAATCAGTCGGAAATAGTCGGAAGCTATTCTCGGTATCTCATGGTGGTGGTTTTTGTTCGGCAGTTTGGGGCCCCTTGAATCTTGAATTTTGGATCTGTGCCCAAAGAAAATCCTTGTTGGCTTCCCACGGATCTGAAGCAAGTCGCCCCCTCGCCCGAGTGCACAATCCAACTAACTGCAGTTAATGACGAATCCTTCCTGCAAAATCGTTTCCTATAAAAACTCGGATCAGCAACCCGGATAATCCGGATTCTTGGCGCATCAAGGAACCCTCTTAACTTTGGAATTGTGCTATCGTTCGTGTGGTTGAAAATCGGCTTGTGCTGGTCAACACATGTCGATCAACGAGGAAAGGCGGGGGCAGCAGGGATGCTCTATCGCAAAATCTCATGTTCTGGAGCTTCAACAGTCCACAAGTCCAAAAACCCACATACAGCGGACCAGTGGCACGCAGCCGCACGATGCCAACATTGATGCCACCCCAGTCTACTCAACACAAATACCAGATTGGTGGACCATGAATCGTCGCCTTCAAGCAGCTTCAAAACTTGATACTGCTTGGAGTATTCAATATGATTCAGCAAGAGCTTTAGGGTAGGTCCTGTCGGGCGGGGATATGTGTGTATGTATACGTTTAGTGGTACATTTGAAAATATTTAGATTGGGCATGGAAGTCTCGTGCGTCCCAGGCTTGGAGTGGCAGTTGGCTTTGTCACTGATGGCAGAGATGGTCGAGCGAAGGAGCCCTTGGCGAGCGAGATGTTGTTTAGCCGGCTTCCCGTTCAGTTGAACATCGTTGAACAGACCAGGAAATCCATCGACATACCTTGTTGAAGTTGTCCTTGGCCCGTGAGGGTGGAATACTCGGCTGTTACATACATGGCCGCCACTGCCGCGTGTGGACGCATCTTGGTGTGCTGATGCGGCGATCGAACTTGCCATAGCCTCTCAGATCCTTGCAGAGATTCCGCTGCTTTCAGGTAATTGGCAATATACACTGAGCCTTCTGTCTGACATGGCGTCTCGGAGCATGGCAGTTCCTGGGCAGAATGCCAGGCATGCGTTTTCAAGATATGACCTCGGTCGGCGTAGTGAGAACGAATTGTTTGGTGTGAATGTGTCCGCCACAAACTGTGCCTGTCGAAGGACCTTCCCACATATAACTCCTGCATTGCCCGTCTCAGCACAAACTGGCAAGTCGCACCTCTCCTGTTGCAGAGCCGCTTGACTGGAAATTCGAGGTGTCGAAGCGCCAAACTGGTTGGGAAGTGCATGATAGCTGATGACAGCACTGTCTGGAAGGTCCTATATAGTTTGGTGCTTGGCTCACGACTTGTTGTCCCTTTGAACGTCAAGTTAGAAGTTGACAGAAGCACCAAATGACAATGAATCCACGAGAGTTGAAAGATCCACACGAAACAATCTCTCTCTCGCTCTCTCACTCACTCACTCACTCGCTCGCTCGCTCACTCACTCACTCACTCACTCACTCACACTCACACACCCACACCCACCCATCCACCCACCCACCCGCACGCGGCGCAAACAGGCACGCACGCGGGAATGCGAGCAAGAAAGGAACGCATGAACGCACGCACACACGCAAACACAAGCACAAGCACCAGCACCAGCACAAACACAAACACACACCCCACCCACCCACCATCCATCCCCCCACCCCCGCGCACCCACACGCACGCGCGCACACACACACACACACCTACTCATGCACGCGCCACATGTTTCATAATCGCCGCAGCCACTTGCAACCTGCCTCCCGCACCTCAGGCATGGAAGAGCAGAAGCTCCAAGCAAATGAAGTGACCTTTGCTAGCCTGGCCGCGGTCTATGGCAAGGGTCTTCACTGGCAAGCAGCCTGCCGTGTCTTCGAAGATATGTCGGACCGCGAGGTTCAATTCCTGGTTTCAACACAATGTTTTCGCATGCGCAGCACGAAAATCGGGTGTTTTGTCATCTCCTTGGCATGCATGGAGCTTGCCCATGATCGGTTTAGCTCTTAGCACTGGCTGTGATGTGCATGTCCGATCCGAATGTGAGAAAGCCTGCTCGGAGTCCACATTCTATAGATTTTGTAGATGGTGGTTTCTATAATATGGTTGCCATGGTTTCGTGATGCATTAGTGCAGTAGCGACGGGAGAGCATCAGAAGCAACACTCCTGTCATCCTTTACTACATCACCGAGTGTCGACGGACGCTCCTATGCCTTCCGTGATGGTTTGTTCGGCTTCTCGAGTGGCGACTCGTTCACGGGCTCTGGAGTTTGCATGCGGTCACATGCCTGATGCAAGTTGTTTACTTCGCATTCTGGCACCACTGGGGAGTGCCCAACTACTGGTGGTGCCCAACTGGAAGGTGGCCCCCCCCCCTGACCGGCCCTGCATTTTGTCTCAAGCCGTCGTACATGGCCAAACATACCAAAATGGGCGGGGCTGCAACATTGCTCGCCGACATCTCCTTTTTCGTGTGCTTCGATTCGGTTGCAACTCCGGCTCCCACAACACCCCCTTTTCAACCGCCCCTTTTTCTGGTTTGCGTGCACGGCAGGGGCTGAGGTTGGTAGATTTCTGAGTTTCGTATGAGGATGTTGAAGGTCGTTGTCAGGACTAGGTGCACCGAACCGCTCAATTTGCCGAAAGAGCAGTTTGGAAGCAGGTATTTAGAACCACGTGCATCGCCAGGTGCTGGCGAACAACGTGGTGTTCGGCGCAGTAATCAGTGCCTGTGAGCAGGGCAGTTCCTGGCAATCTGCACTGAAGATCTGGCAAAAGATGTCTGCTCAAGGAATGCAGCACAGCACCATCTGCCCTTCGGCTGGATGGAGTGTGGTCCTATGCTCCCAAGAATACACCCAAAAACCGAACAGCTGAAACACAATAGTTTCCAAGTTTGACGGAGGCATGAACTCTTGCCTTGGCGCGCTGGAGAAATGCCAGCAATGGACGTTGGCTTTGGCAGTCTTGGAGGCCATAACATGTCGCAACGGCGAGAAATCGTATGGACACCTGCTGACATGCGCGAGAGTTTGCTGAGTTTGCTGCATAGAAAGAGAGAGGCGAGGAGGTCGAGAGGAAAGTCAGAACCTCAATGAGGCCCAGAAGAAGATGAAACAACAGAAGGGGACAATACCTTGGTTTGCGCCAGAGCTATCCGCAATTGGAAGCTATCCGTTAGCATACGGGGTCTAGGGAGATGCAGTGTGACGCACCTGACACCATCTCGGGGGATAGAAGCTTTGACTAAACGCCATTCCCACTAATATGCGCGGCGAAAGCTGGTGCTCAGCCAAACAAGCGGTGCAGTGACGGATCCTGCTTGCCTTTTTGGCGAAGACCTTATGCTTTCCGCGTCGAAAATCGTGGCTTTCACATTGGCGATGGTGCCCAATGCGTACACGTTGCGTGTGAACATTTTGTCGGCCAATATGATCACATTGACAAGCATCCGCCAACCAACTCGCAAACATAGCACCAAGTGAGGCATCAATTCCTTCCTTGTTTGGAAATTCGGCCTTCACGGTGTCCGACCTCTCCATGTTGAGTGTGATGGTCTTGTCCGTCAATGTTTCGCCGCACGTCTGCATGTCGCAAGGGAGACGTGGCACCACATGCAAGCTGCAAACCGAAAGTGTTCAGCCACCCCTCGAACTGCTTGGATTGAAGGTCAGAAAAAGGCGCGCACTTTCGTACTGGCAGCCCTGCGAAGTTCCGACTTGAACACAGGTTGAAAAGATGAAGATAGGAAAAGGAGAGTTAAAGAGAGTTAAAGAGAGTTAAAGAGAGTTAAAGAGAGCAAAATGTGGAAGGGGTGAAGCTGGGGTACACGGACGGTGTGCAGTGCTGAGCCTTTGGCGCCAGGCATCCCAGACCGCTGATGAAGCAAGCCACGCAATATGCATCAGCGCTTGCTCGAAAGGCGCCTCCAGTTGCACTTCAGCCATGTATGTGGTCTTGTTATTTGGGAACAGAATGTCGCCAGGGCGAAACTGGCTGGTTTCGCTGGCGCTGCTGCAGCATGCTTTGCAGGAGCAACTCCCAATCACCGAGGTGCGCTTGTGCGCTTGCCTTCGATTTTGATGACTTGTAAGTCGAAAGGTCAAGTTTCGAAGTCGCAACCAAAGGCTGTTGCCATCTGTTGTGGCAAAGGCCACCCTTGGCGCTTGCATCAAAGCGGGCGAGGAGGTGCACATACTGAGTTGTGATGCTGAGCGGGCGCCTTCGCTCACACGCAGGACAAGGAATGGGAACTTGCCTTGGAGATCCATCGCTCCGTACTTGATGCGGGGGGGATGTGCGCTGCATCTTCCTATTTTGTGACTTGGCAAAAGCACGTCCTGCCCGCCTTTGTCGTACATGTCATACGTTTCCATTGTTGCCAATTGCATTCCTTCAAATTCAACTCCAGCACAAGATCATCGAACCACGGAACTTAGGTGACCATAGGTTCCTGTGGCAGAAAAAGCTGGCAGATGGACGCTTGCACTTGTTGGCCACTGATGTGATGGCATAGTTTTAGGATGCACTAGATTTCTTGCACCCCATCAACTTGATGGTGAAGGGCCATCCGCAGGGATTAGTTTCCACATACTGCCACCATGAAGAGTCGAGTTTAGGGAGTTTAGGGGTTGGGGGCGGGGCTTGAGTAAGGCACAAGTTGAAACCTGGGGTAGCAAGGGCACCGCTGCTTTCAAACCCTTCCTGCCACCCTGAAGACCCAAAGCGGGTACGCAAGCACAACACCTTTCCTGGAGTCCTTCGAGCATCGTTGTCCAAGAGACTCCGAAACTCAGGCTCTATCTCTTTTTCAGAGTGCGAGAACATCCAAGCTGCTGGATGCCTTTATTTGCAGCTACTCTTTGGCACATAAAGAGATATGTCGGCATCTGCACAAACAGAGTAACAGAGTGTACCAAAATGAACATCCGCCATCTGACAGCACAGCACGAGGTGCAGCCATCACGGCATGTGAGCGACACAGGATGTGGGTCCCTTGCTGACATATTGGGTTTTGTGGAGCTCTTCTCCACACTGGCATTGAGCTTGGCCTCTGCTCCCAGCTGGCCCTCTAAGGATCAGGCCCTGCACCTGTTCGCGCACATGCGCACGTGGCACCTCGAGATGAACGAGATGTGCTGTACAGCGGCGATGAGCGCGTGCGAGAAGTCTGGTCACTGGGAAACGTGTCAGAAAGACTGCGTGATATTTTCAACTTGATACGCCCATGTTACCAATGTCTCTCCAGCAGCCGAATCTGGCCGAGTGTTCATGACCCTGCTTCCCTCCGAGGAATGGGCTTTGCACCTTTATCATTTGTTTGAGTCGTTTGCGGGACAACCTGGTGCTGTAGCTCGGTGCTTGCTCATCGATGCCTTCTCGGCAGCCAGCCTCTGGGACCGGGGCCACGCTTGGCTCTGCATAGCTGCTGTGTCCTTCATGCGGCCTTCGCAGGAGCACGCCTTTTCAACATTTTCAACATTGGTCTCGATGGGCTTTGAGGCAGCCTCTGGCTCGTGACAGCTTGCTCATGTGCACTTTGCCTTTAGGATGATGTCTCGGAGGCCGACGCTGTTGGCTGCAGTGCTGTTCTGGGTGCGTGTGAGCGCCGTGGGCAGTGGCGCCAGGCTGGCCGTTTGTGAGTTCTGTGGCGCATGAATCGCGGTGATCCCGATTGAATTGCTCTTCCAGGTTTAAGGCAGATTCAGGTACGTTGCACACATTCGCACACCCCCCGAAAATTAATCGGTCTTGCCGCACATGTTAGACTCTTCTTTGCCTATAGAGCAGCCGAACCAGCGCGCGATTCCTGCAGAATCTCCGCTCTTGGCATAGTTTGTCACAGTTTAAATTTTTGTAGGGGCTTTGGGAGAAGCATGTGCTGGCCACAGGTGCTGGCTCTTTGGCCGCAGCTCCAGGACTTGCAGTGGCTCATGCCTCAGACCCTGGAAAAAGGCGAGCTCGGGAGATGTAGCGTTTTCGTGCGTTTTCTGAGCCTGTGAGGAGGTCAGTGACCATCCTTGCTCGAGGTGGCTCGAGGGTGGTGTATACCCTCGAGCAGGAACCCCGCTGGGTCCTAAAGGTAGGCCTCCAAGATTCCCAACCACTTTGAGTGGGAACTTTTTGCGCTGGCTTTCGATTCCTGGCCCCAGGTCTGCCGGAGGTTCACCCTCCAGGTCGAGGTCCCTGGGCTCCCAGCCCAGGACCTGCGGGCCTTTGCAGTCGAGCGGATGGTGGCCCCCATTCGCCCGACACCGGACGGTTCATTCCTCCAGATGTGCATTCCTCCAGATGTGCTTCTGGTGTGGACTTCGCCTTCCGGAGGGGTACCTCCATCCCCGCGACCAAGGGGAGCATAACTGGGGGTACCTGGGAATGGCCAAGTACCACCGGTTGACAAGTTTGGATGTGGCCAACTGGGGCACCAGAGAGCTGATTGGCCAGGCCATTGCCTCGAGCGCGGCTGCTTGCTCGGTGTTGAGGTCTGCCGGGGGCTCCTGGTCCTGCTCCTCCACGGGGGCAGGCTCTGCACTGGCTTCGGAGGTATCACCTCCTGAGCTCTGGGCCTGGTCCAGTCTCGGGAGGCTCCGCAGCTGGAGGACCACCCTCCGGACCAATGCTCGTCCCCCCATTGCTGCCATCCCTCCCATTCTTCGTGTCCCCAACCAGGTTTACCAGCACGATTGGCTGGCAATGGCCTGGATGAAACCTTTGCTGGCCGTCTTGCCCGGCCTGTTGCTTTGGGTGTGCAGGGTGTAGTCATCTACGTACCTCTGCGCCGGGGTCCTGCGCTCCAGCAGGAATTCTCCCTTGCCTTGGGCTTTTCCTGGGCTGCCTGTTCGGAGGAGGAACCTCCCTCTTTCGACTCTCCCAAGCCTTATCCTCCGGAGGCTGCCCCTCCCCTTCCGGTGCTGCGGTTGGTGGCTCCTGGTTGTTTTCCTCCTTCGCCTCGGCAGGGGCCGCATTTGAGGAGGCACTGGCTTGGGAGGGAAGCCCCTCCTGAGTGTCGGCGCCGGTGGGGTGGTTCAGAGCCGCTTGCTCTGGGGAGGCCCCACCCTCCGGCTTCTCTCCTTCACTCTTCACGTTCACTTCCGCCATTGCGCACAGGGGGGGCCCCTTCTACTGGCTTGGTATCCTGTGCTGGCTGAAAAAGGCTGCGGATGGAATTTGTTGTTTCGGGCTTGAATTGCGATTTACACCGGGGGTCCTTTTTGAAACTACAAGCAGCAGCAAGTTTTTGCGAAACCGTTTGGGTTTTTAGGGACAGCTGGCCACCACAACCCTCACACACCCAAAGTTGCCTAGTTCCCAAAAGCTTCAAAACATGCGTGACATGAACCCCTTCAAGCGCAACCCTCCCTTGCTGCGCACATTGGTGTGCTGCCAGTGCCTCCAAGGTCTTGCGGTTTTTGGTGTGCAAAAGTTTTAGCTGGCACTGAGCACGCCGGAGGTTGTGACCTTCCCACTCCCAGGCATGTACGGATTTGGTCCGGACCAGCTCCTGGAACCATTCCTGCTGGGTAGTGGTGTGGCCGCGACCTATGTTGGCTCCAATACGCTTTTTGCAGGGCCTGGCAGTGGCCTCGTGGTTCTTGCGGGCCTGCTTTTCCTGCAGGAAGAGCTTGTACACTGGGTGCTGATTCACGGCGGTGAGGATCTTTTCAGCCCTGCTCGCCAGGAACTCTTGAGCCTTTTTGCTGCAATGGTCCTGGTACTGACTGGCTGCCCGGGTATCAGGGTGGGCCAGCTCGGCCGCTTTTTCCCCACACAGCTTATCCGCCAGGTCATTGACCTGCTGTCGCCACGAGTTTTCCGCACCCACCTTCCGGAGGAACTCCTCCTCTGAAACATGGGACGGAACCCATTTCATTTTGAGGCGGTTGACATCTGTGGCTTGCAGCTCCCACCAGATGTCACCGTGGGTCTTGCCCGGCTTTGGGCTGCGGACTCGTTTCGGGACACCAAGGCAATCCAGTGTCGTGTCAATAGGGCCTTCGGTATAACGGGCCAGTTGCAAAACTGCATACATCTCCCCCCGAAAAACCGTCTGTGGTCCAGGGACTTGGCCGACGATTGCTCCGACCTGGACGTATTCCTGGCCCTGTTTCTTGCAGGCTTCCACTGCGTATGCTACCTGCCGGAGTCTCGGGTCCGCCGTGAAGGGGCCACCACTAGCATCTGTGCCATAAACAAGCTCCGGGTCGCTGAGGGGCTCTTTGTCAGCCCATTTTCCCAAAAAGATGGGATTGTCTTCCTGAGGAGGTTGTACCTGCCATTCAGGTTTGGGCGGGAGGCCCCTGGTCCACAGCGATCTCGGGCCTTGGGCCCTGCCTTCTTGGAAGCATGTTGGCGACTCCCAGTTCTGGGCTTCCCACCAAGCACAATCCAAGAGCACATGCTCCCAGTCCGCTTCCTGGTGGCACCGGGGGCACACCTTGACAGCAGAGTTTTGGCTGCACACCAGGGCACCCTGCCAAACACACCTCAGGGCAGCTGCTTTCGTGGTTCGCCCTTCTTTCTTAAAACCCCCCAACAGTTTCCTCCCTACCGTCCAGTCAATTCCCTCCTTTAGCTCAGGGGCAGCGAGGCCGGTGGCGATGCGGCGGTCTACATCTTCCTGATAAGTTTGCTGGAGGAGGTCGAGGACACGACACTCCTGCTGTGGGGTGTGCATGGTGTGCCTGGTGCCCTGGGTGTCCAGCCACTCATCACTGTCTCTAGGCTGCCAACCCAGGTCAAGCAGGTATGCAACTGTGGCTGCCAGAGACCCCTAAACCAGTTGCCACCGGGCTTCTTCCAGCTTTTGGACTGTGAGGCCCCAGGTTCTTTCCAGCAGATCTTCCTTGCCGGCCCACCTCTTCTTGAGCTGGAACCAGGCTTCAACTTGCTGGACCATCATGGTGCTACCCGGATCCTGGTACCTGTCTCCTACAGAGGACAGAGCCACCTCTAGGTTGCCCATTTTCTGTCTGCCACACTGCTCAGCCAAGGCAGTCCGGAGCTTCTGTTTCGGGGTGGGTGGCATTCCCTGGGCTTGGTGGCCCCAAGTAAGGACGGAGGCAACCCCTCCTCTGAAGAGGCGGACCTTGGCCAGCACACTCGGGACTCTCAGTTGTTTCAACTTCTTCTGTCGTTGGCCCGCTTTGTGCCTTCGGGCTCTTTGCACATTGACCCTTCGGACCCGACCCAGGGCACAGTCTAGGCCTAAATCCTTCATGCTATCACAAATAGCCGGGTCTCCATCTTTGCGCAGCTTCTGTAGCTCCCTTCTGGCTTCTGCAGTGGTGCACAGGAAGCCTGTTTTCTTAAGGGACAGACGGAGGTCGCTACCTTCCAGAAGCCGGCGAAGGGTTTTGTAACCTTCATAAACCGCAAAAGCTGCCTGCTCAGGATATCGTGCTTCGAAATCCGCTCCGATGTCGTCTACCCAGGTGTCCAAGGCGGTGATACTGCGGAGCTGAGCGGCTTCGTGCATTATCGGCTGGAGGTAAACCCTTGCCATCATTGTTGCGAAAGGGCACCCCGCGAGGATGCCCCTCGCAGGGAGGATCCCCTCCGAAAGGAGATCCTCTGCCACGAGATATCTCGTTCCCGGTAGGCTTGCATGACCAGGAGGGCTATAGCTGGCGGGAAGCCGGTCGCCACTATCCGCTCCTCCAATTTGGTCCAATTAACACTGTCATAGAAAGTCTGCAGGTCCAACAGGACCGCACAGGCATGTTTGTTGGCTGCTCGGCTAACCTCTCCTCTCAGGAGCCTCTGCATGCCTGTTTCTAGACAAGTGTTACCCGGGGAGGCTTTATCCCATGGGAACCTCTCTGCAGTTTCTCGCATCCATTTCTTGACGACCTGTGCTCTGCAGAAACACCAAAGCCGGTAGGTGATGGATGTGAGGGTTATGGGCCTTTCTATGTCAGCATTTTTGGGCAGGAGTGCCGCATGGTGCGCCTGCCAGTGCTGTGGCGCCACGCCTGTGGTTTCAGCCAAGTTCAGGACTTGGGTGAGCTGCTCATAGGCCGGCCCAGGTAGGTTTTTGAGGGCAGCATAGGTGAGCCCATCAAGACCTCCTGCCTTGTCGGTGACATTCTTGAGGATGGCCTCGAGCACCTCTGCTGTTATTTTGAACAGCGGGGAGGCTTTGGCTGCATCCAGCAGGGTCTGGCCTATCGGGGGGGAGCATTCTACCTCTCCCCAAATTGCGACCCACTGCTTCCTCCTGGCCCCTGGGCGTTCTTCGCCTGGGAGGTTTTGGAAGGGCCGATCTAGGACTCTCTCACTCTTCTTGAGAGAAGTATAGACAGGTCTTATTTCTTTCGCCAATCCCGTTTGTAGCCAGTCCTTGTATTGGGCCTGCTGCTCCTTGGCTCTCTGCATCTGGAGGGCCGCCTCCTTGTGCCTGGCAGCGACACTCAAAGACCGCCACTGTGGTTCTGTTGCTGAACATTGCTTGTACAGTTCTGTGAGGAAGGCAGTTCCTTCAGCAATGTCTTGACAGGTTTGGAGGGTGCCTAGGTCCGGTAGGTGCTGCTGGGAGGCGGGCACTTCCTCCAGGATTCTGGCCATTCGTGCCCACCAGCCCACTTCAGAGCCTTTGGGGGCAGTGGAAGGGCGCTGCAAGACTAAGGGTCCCCATTGGGCCTGCACACACCAACCTCTGCCAGTTCTCGGTGCTTCGTGGCAGTGCTCCAGGCTGGCCGCCCAGGTCGCCAGTTGCCAGGTGCTCTGATCCTCTTGGGCACAGGTCCTGTCCATTATGGCGAAATGGGAGGGTTGGACCTCTCGCCATTCTTGGTTTTTGAGGTCTGCTGTGAGTTTCGGGAACTGGGGAAGCTTCCAGGACTCCCATTCGCTGGCACCGTCCTTGACTTTGAGGTGCAAGGCTGCATGTGGTTTCCACGGGACTGCCCAGGTCACCGACAGATCCACCAGGGCTTCCAGGCTCCTACTCACAACCCCAAAGTCCAGTTCCGCCCCATGGTTGCATGTAGCCTCTCCAGTGGCTACCATCCGCCCCCTCATCAGTGCTGTGTCCTGAACTTCGGTCGGGTCCAGGTTCCAATCTCCCAGGATCCGGGAGGGTTCTTACGAAAGCCACCAGAGAGGATAGCACCTCTGCATTCGTGGGACCGTTTAGGCCTTCCGTGTCCCTCAGGTAGAGGGACACAATCGTGTAGTCCCACCGTCTTTGTCTCAGACCCACGACTGTGTAGCCTGCCCCTTTGCATTGGTAGGTGGCTTTTTGCCACACTCCGCTATTTTTGGGAAAGGCACAAGCAGTGCCCCCCAACCTTGTGCCCTTGTCCGACAAGGAGGCCGGCTCAGCATAGAGATCCCATCCTAGGGATTGCAGTGTGGCTCTCCTGCCATGCAGCAGTTCCGGTGTGAGGTGGGTTTCCTGCAGACACACCACCTTGGCTTTGGAGGAGGTCACCCACTCCAGTGCCCCGTTGTTGAAACTGGTGACATTGGCGCTCATGATACTTAGATACTGGTCAGGCGAGGCGGAAGGTTTAACCTTCTCATGGCTGGGCTCTTCTGAGTCGGTGCCCTCGCCGTGGGTAGGGTCTTCCTCTCGTTCCTGCTGACCCAGCACCTGTTCCGGTGTCAGGGACTCTTCCTTCTTTGGGAGCTCAGAGGCTATCACCTCCTTTGCTTGTTGAATGGCTTTCCCGGTGACATCCTCTCCTTGCTCTAGGGACCATCCTGCACCAACCCCAGGCCAGGGAGTCCTCCGCCATCACCTCCTCTTGGGCTTCGATGAAGCTTAAAAGGGTGGCTTCCTTCGCCTGGAAGGGGCTCGCTTGATCTTCCAGGAGGCTGACCACCTCCTGCCATGTCATCTCCGAACCCAAGTCATCTGGGCTGCAGAGGGAATCTATCACCTTCTGGGCTTCATCATTGCATTGTGGCGGGGGGGCGCCCTGGGTAACCAGAGGGTCCCCATCAGGGTTCACCTCCCACGATGGCTTCATTTGTTCGCCGTCTGCTGGTGCCATCCCGTGAAGCTCAAAGAGGCTCAACAACGTTGCGGTGAGCTGCTATGGGCCTCGCAAAGGTCCAGACCCGATTTGTCGTATGCCATGGCGGTGATGTCTTCGACGGTCTCGAAGGACCCTGGGCGAGCGGTGGAGCTGGGAAAGAAAATGTTGAACTACGTCAAGGACTCCATCGATGCGAAGATCCACTACCCCAAGGTGGTCGAGAACCCGGGAGACCTCGTCCTGTACACGGATGCCAGCTTCAGCCCGCAAGGCACACGCTCACATAGCGGATACCTTGTGGTGTGGAGAGGGGTGGTTGTGGCGTGGAAATCGGGGAGGCAAAGTATGATCACCCTATCCTCAGCGGAGTCGGAGGTCATTGCAATAACGGAAGGGGCACAAATGCTCAAGGCGGTGGAAACGACCCTGAATGACCTCAACATCTTCCCGACAAGATTGGTGATACGAATCGACAGCACCTCTGCCATTTCGGTGATGAGTGGAGAAGAAGGAGGGTCGTGGAGAACACGACATTTGAAGCTTCGCTATCACTGGATTCGGGAGCAGGTGATGAACTCCACCCTGGTGTTGGACCCTGTGATCGGAACGCTTTCTGGCGACTCCTTTCCAGGCCGACAAAAGTGGCTGGGCTTCTGCCAGCCTTGCTCACAACCACTGCTATCTGCAGTAAGTTGTTTCCCCAAGGCCTCCCTCAATCTTTTCCCATGTAGATTGATGTGAGCACCTCGCTTGTAATATTCAGCACACGCAACTAGGAACTGCTGAGCAGTTCGCAGCATGTGTTCCAGCCCTGGGCTGGGGTCGCACATTGGCTCTGCGGGGCCCTTGCTTTGGGGCTCCAGGCCCCACACGCCGAGTCCCTAGGCCACCGGGCCAAACCCCGGCGGGGCATTTGGCATTTCCGGGAGGCATCCCCTCCTGGGTTTGCTCCTCAAGGCCCGGAGGGGTGGGGACCTCCTGTGTGCGACGCCTCTTAAGCTTCTCTCTCCGCTTTAATTTCATGGTAGTAAAAGCAAGGTGAGCGCCTTCAGGCTGTGATCTATTTCGTTCCGCCTGAGGCGCAGTCACGTCTCCGATGGCTCGGAGGGTTTTCAACTGCATTCTGTTGGCCCAGTTGAGGTGGCAGCCTCAGTGGCCATAGAAACGCATGTAAAGCGCTGTAGCTTGCGCCGCGAGGGGTCCTAAATACATGCGTGAGCATGTCAAGTCCCGATTTGCCGCTTTTTGGTCGCAGCAGAACAAGCACAGAATATCAAAGAAGAGGCAATGAACCAGCAAAGATCTCAGTTCGACGTGTTGCACGGCCCGGCCTCTCCCCGTGACCTGCATGCCCTGTGCCTGCCCCAAGCCCTCGTGTTGGTGTTGTTGTGGGGACCTTCGCAAGAAACTTATGGGGCCTAAAGAATTGGATGTCTCTTGTACACGGCCACAAGCCCTGCTCTAGAAGAAGGCTGACTACAGGCTGCAGTCAGAAGACGTGAAGCCGTGTTGATTGCTAGAGCAACAGCGTTCGCACACTTGTCATGCCAAGTGATGCCGAGGTCACAGCCTGCCTGGAGCGCGCGCTCGTGCCTTGCCTGCCCTGCAGGGAGTCAACGAGCAGAACTTAACCTGCCAGCACTGGGATATTCTTGTAGCTGAAAAACGACTTTGCTCTGGCATATCTACCTGTGGGGCTCAGCTTAACTGCTGCATACCAACGGAGGAGGTTGCTATATCCCCCTGTGGTTCCCTTGTGCCGTTGGAGGCACTGGAGCGGACGTCCTAGTGCATTCTTACCAAAAGTCGCCTTGAATCACCCTGACGGGCACTCCGTGCACGTGCTGCAAAAGGTGACATGTGAGCCATCATATAACTCTGGACCTCCGCCACGTGCTAGCAAAGTCGACTTTCGAGCCGTTCACGATGGGTCTATATTGTCAAGAAATTTTGAAAGATGATGAGGCCGCAGATCCATGGACACAGGGCACGTGATTTCGACCCAACATGTGTCCATGGACAAGAGTCAAATGCCGGAACAAGTGCACCGCCTGCGCATGCAAATGCCGGTATCAACTAGTAGCAGCCAATCGTTGCAAAATTGAACGGTTGCAGAAGCTTCTGGCGCTGGATTTATATGCCCCTAAGTAAGGAAAATCAATGGCTTCATGGCTATCCTCTACTACCTCCAGGAGAAGACCAGCTCACACACGGACTGTGACCCAGCCGCCCTATGCCTTGCTGCTGCGTTAGTCGCGGTGCGTGGTGGGGCCATGAGGTACAGGTACGTTGCAGGAATGCAGGCGATGGCGGCTCGAGAGTTGCTTGGCCTCGTGGCGGAAGGTTGCTCTGTGCTGGATCCCTTCTGTGGGTCCGGGACTGTCCTCATCGACCTTCGGCGGAAGTGGGAAGAAACTCCTTAGGCTGATAGGGTCGGTCAGCCTGTGAAACCATGCTCGGATCCGGTACTGGCTCTACCATGCCTAAGGAATCATGCCTTTCAGGAAGGTCGGCAATTGGCTGTGCTACCCAGCTGCAGTAGCCCGCTGTTGTTTTTATGAGGGCATCACTTCGGCTCCATCTGGGCTGTTGCCCACAACCAGAGGGATGGATAAAGGTATGGAGAAGGGTGGCCACATCGCACCGCAGCCGGAATCTGTTGGCACTTTAGGACCTCTCTCCGTTGGCGGCCTTTGTTGCGGCTCAACATGCAGATGTAGAGGACACTTTTTGAGCGTGCATGTGAGAATTGTCGGGCTTGGACTTGTGGAGGTTTGTCAAGGAGTGAGGCAGGTGGGCGAGAAGGAACCGATAACCGTTTAGTTTTGTTGCATAGCAATGCATCAGTTCTTGGACCGCCTTCATCATATGTTTGTTCACCTTCAGCAGGCTTTCAACATCGGAAACAGCATGAGGATGTGGTTTCAAGTAGAATGACTGCTGCATTTGCTATATCTCAGGGAGCAAGTGCAGCAGGCCGCCCATCGGTTTTGCAATGCCAGGACATGGATTTGCAGGCATTTGAGGCCGCAGTGGCGCAGGTGGTCCGCGGCACTGCCCGGAGCCCGTGCTTCGTCTGAAGAAGCTAGAGAGCTCTTTGCTTGGGTGCAGAAGGAATTCCAAAAGTTTCCAGAAAAGCGTGCGGAAAGCCTGAGGCTCCTGCGTGAAACCCGATATGGTAAACCCAAGCAATGGGTGCAGTGTGTTGCCGTCGGCACATAAGACAGACTCCAGACACTTCGCCTGCGTCCACGGTTTCTCGATCGTTTTGTAAATCGCATCGGCCCACCTTGACAAGCATGCCTGAGTTTTGTGAAAATTGCGAGACGCCACCTCAGCAAACGGAACAAGCACGTCAGCTGCTGAACAGACAAACAGGTGCAGGATTGAGGCTGGAAGCAGGCTGGACGCAGACTGCTGATGGAAACCATAGTAGCAGCATGTAGCAGCCTTACAGGCTTTCAGGTGCTGGACGCTGCCAAACGTTTTGCCTGTCTCTGCGGGCTGAGTCCGGTCAATTCTATTCGCAGTCTGCACGCCATGTTCGCAAGATTGCACATGATTTGACTTCGTGTTTGGCATGTCGTCCAGACTCCGAAAATATTCGCTAGTCACGAGTCACTAAGACTACTGGGTCCTGGTGATCTGGTTGTCGAAGTGCGCTAGGGTGGCGCACGGATGTGCCCGGCATGGTTGAGAAAGATGGCCAGGGGAGATGTGACTCTGGTTTGTGTCTGTGTCAATCAGTGACAACAGTAAATAGGTCTTTTGGAGTCTTGGAATCGTGGCCTACATCACGTGACGTGTGGCCTTCACAGCCAAGGAACCCATGGCAGCAGTTGCGGGAAAGTATTGATGCATTTGGCGACAATGCCTAAAGCTCAGTTATGATGCAACCGTATGGCCTGCCACCATGCTACTGCATTCAGAAGTTGCAGTTGAGGCCGTGCAAAGAGGACTGCAATTCACTTTCTTGGTTGCTTCTCAAGCGTCCGGAGACGAAAAATATTTGCAGTCAGCGAGCAAGCGGCTCGGCAAAAGTGGCAAAAGCTCCAAGCACATGAAGCCTGCAAAGGAAGAGGGAGACCAGGCACTGTGAGGCAAGCAGGTGGCTTTCCATCAATGTTCTGGCAGGCTCCGACAGGCTCAGCCTGAAGAAAATGGAATGAATGCAGCGATGCGGTTCCGTGGGACGGCCCGCCTGATCATGGCACGCCTGCGGTCATTGAGGGCGCAGAGTCGGGGTCGGGCGGAGGTGATTCAGACAGACTGTCGCGCAGCTTGGCACCACGGGTTTAAGTCTAAGCCTTCCATCCCTTGAGGCATGACAGAAGCAGGATGTGTCGGAAGGTAGCTGTAAGTAGTAGACTCGGTGGTCTGCAAGAGGAGCTGAAAAAACGCCATTGCCAGTGTCAAGGACCTGAGTTTGACAAAGCCCGTCCAAGCAATCATCACGAGTCCTCCATACCCTGGCGTCTACAACTACTTGACGACAGCAGAGTCTGCGGCGCACATCTTGGGGTCCAGGCGAAACTGATGGGCTGGACCAAGCACTATTCCAGATGATATGGCGTGCAGCATCATGGGCAGAAGCCGTAGGCGACCTGAATGAAATGACTGAAAGCTAGAGCGAGCCCAGAGCATGGTGCAGGCCAACAGATGCTGAGAAGAGCCAGGAAATTGGACGAAGATCTCGTTGGCGAAGCCAAAGCTTTGAGGCCACTGCTCAGTGGCCGAATTGCCAATTATGTGACAATCAGGGTCAGAATGTACCGGGCAGGAGTTTGCGGCATCATGGCAGCGGGAGCAAGAGCAGTGGCTCCAAGCTGCTTGGAACTAGCACAGCCTGACTTGAGACTTGCCCAAGATGTCCCCAACATTCCCAGAAAATAACTTCATCATTGAATTGTAAGATTGCACATGGGCATGTGATGATAAAGGGGGGTTCGCTTTTTTATTTGAGGCGTGCCACCGGCTCTTGCTGCCGGGAGGACTTGCGCATGAAGGTTGTTGATGCGAAGAGTGAGAGTTCATTCTGTTACGCATCCACCCACTTCAAGCGGTTGGCACGGTGAGCAATGGTGTTTGGGTCCTGAACCCCGACAGGAACGGCCACTCTTATGATCGGAGATGGGGACAGAGATGCACCCGAAGATGGCGGCAGTCTCAGTCATGAATGCATGGGCATAAGGCAATTGGCCCAGCCGCTGCCAAAAACAGCAGTAGCCCCAAATTTTGGAACTCAAAACAGTGAGGGCACAGGCCATACAAAGCAAATTTGACACCCAGCGAGACCTGAGACTCGACGGGACTTGGCCTCGCTCTTTGCTGACACATGAAGCAGCTTCTTTTGTCTTGAAGAGCATGAAACAAGACTGGCTAGCAGGTGGCTACAACAATTTGAAGTCCACAGCTGATGCCGCAAAGAGAGTCGGCTTTCGAGTGATTGCCACGTCTACCATCGCTTCGAGACGACACCTGGTGGCACAGTGTGTTGCCGCATCTGTCCACCATGTCCACAATATTTCCGTGCCAGATATTCACAAGAGCTACAAGTTCAAGCCCAGGCACCAGTCCATCAGATCGACCAAAGGGCAGGCGACGGACGGAACATATCATCCACTTGCACCGGCCACGGAGTAGGTGAAACATAGGGCAAATAAGACTGAGCCTGTGGGACAGACCCAGCAAGTGGTTCACCCCAATGCTGAGAACAAAGTTGGCGGCCATGCTTGCCGAGCGATTGATGAAAAGAACCTCGAACGCGCGGAGAAAAGGTATCCACCGTCAAACTTGCGCGCTCTTCGTTGGGGTTTGTTGCAGTTTCCTTGGGTCTTGTATGTTTTTGAATGAAACTGCCTTGAGGTAGCTGCGATGTTGATATGCGCGTTTGGGCTGTAGAGTCGAGATGAGTCGAGAGTTGATTGTTGCCTTGAATCTGAGTTTGTCTTCCAGTTTGATTTGGGCTTAGGTCTTGCATTACCTAGTGTTTGTACTCTTGTGTGTCGTTAGGCAAGCCGGCAGTGTCCAAATGAAAGATAGAGTACAAACCTAAACTGGGGCCAGCTAGCATGCAAACAAGAAATCGATATTGGAAAAAGCACAAACAACGAAATCACGCGCAAAGCCACCGCAAGGCATAGCGTAATCAGCATTCAGTAAATGTAACATGCATTCAAATGCCAGGAAACGACTCCCATTTTCTGAGGCAAGTTGGCACAAACACAAAGGAGCACGTGTCAGCTGAGGCCACGAGATTCCGACCCGACATGCACAATCCTCGTGGCTGTCAGCACTTCTACAGGGAACCACCGAAGTCGTAACAACTTCTTGTTGATCGCTCCCCACAACACGGGAAAGTAAAACGCGTACTCATAAGATTGAGCGGTCACAGTGCAGAAGTCGCCTTTTGTTCTTGCCGAACAGAAGCCCAACTTTGGTTGTATCTACTTCTGATGAGTACTGCTTCACAATAGTGGAAGCAGCCGGGAGGGTAACATTCAGTTGGGGTTTGACACAGAGACGTGTGCTGTGGTTCCTCCTGTTGTCTGCATGTGGTTTGGCTTGGCGCTGGGCCGTAGCACTGTGTGAGTGGGGTCTTGTAGCCTGGCCACTCCAAATTGAAAGTGATTGCCTAAACAACACAATCAAGATGGACGTAGCGTAGTAACCTCAGGAATTGTAGCAACGCACGCAAGAGGCTTGCCAACTTCAGTCGTGAGTGTGCGCCTTGCTGTTGGCTCCTTTGCAACTTGCAGTAGTGCATTTGGCCAGCGTGTGAAGAAACGCATCTGCTTTCAACAGAGCAGCATCTGCGAATCACCCTTTGTGAAGCGCACGAATAACCCATCGGGTACTACTGTTGCCGGGCCGTGCAAGACGTGTAACGGCACAAGGCCACCAGCTGCAGGTGCAGAACCTTGGCACACACGCTTGAACTCGCATCGCGTAGACATTGCCGGGTCCGGCAAGTGTGTCATGACTTCTGTTGGTTGTTTTACTTGGGGAGGTCGACTTCTGGAGCATACTTTTTAAACAGCGGTTCAATGGGGATGTTGGGACTTTCTCAGTTATTGAACCGTTCGCTACTCATTCGGTGATGAAATCCTCATCGACGAAACCCTTCATTTGCCGCGCATGAACTCTTGCAAGCACGTACTGCTGCTGGATACAAACGCAAACGCTGGTGTACATGAACCACTCTGACCACGCATCGCTGCACATGACGTGCTTTGAACATCCACTGATCCGTAGGACTCAAGCCCATTGCTCATGCCAATCGACAGGCAGGAAATCGGAGGGCGTATGCGCGTTTGTTCTTTGCTCCCAATTTGTTTGTTTTTGGGGGGTGGGGAGGGGGGGGGGGCGCCCGGTCTCTGGGTCTCGTGGTCCCCGGGTCCTGCGCTGGTCTCGTTGACAGAATGAGCCCACTGCTTCAGTTGACTGATTGCTGTTTGCTAGATGCATTTGGCTCAGACTGGACCAGGGTACGACTGCGCAGAGCTGCCGGTAGGGATTGCCCATTTCCTGTGTGTTGTGGATTGTTGTTGGGGACAAGTTGATTCTGTTTAGAATATTCATTTGTATTTGTAGAGAAGTGAAGGTTGGCCAAGGCAAGTGAAGCGGTATGTAGGACTGCAGCCACGTGCGAAGAGGGATGGGCCAAGTGGAGCTGTCAGCAACTGCCATCACTCATTCTGTGATGCTTACAATCATCAACAGACTGGAACGTATGACCATCAGCTGTCATGGTTTTCTACACGACTGGCTTAATGCTAACTCAGATGATTGACGATCGGTTCTTCGAAACGAGATCAACACGTTTAGTGAAGAGTACGTAGGCATCTCATGGCGCCCAGTGCCAGGAAACCTCCAGACCCGTTGGGGTTTGGAGCATGGAAAGGACAAGGCAAGTAAGTCCAGGAAAGGTGGACAGGCATGTTCAGCAAAGGAAATGCAAAGGCAAGGACGAGGATGCTTCATGCGCGGAAACCCAAGCTTGACCCTTCCCTGAAGAAGCCCTGAATGAATATCGCAACATATCGCAACACTGCTCCAGTTGACTGACTGCAGAATGCTATATGCATCCGGCTCAAGATGGGATCAAGTACGCTTGTGCAGAACTGCCAAGAGTCTGCTGTGGATTGTTGTTGGAAACGAGTTGGATGTGATTGGAAGACTGGTCGGTACTGAGTACCTTATTTTCAGGATGCATTTTGTGCTCGTCGTCCACTGGTCCCCTACAGTCCCGTGGTCGTTCGCTCTTCTGGAGCCGTGCCTGATGTAGAATATCGGGCCGTCCGTTGATATTCCGTTTATTCTTTTCAAGACATCTGAATCCTATCCCAAGCCATCGTACGGTAGTACGAGCATTGGCCCCCTCAACCCCCCGGCTTTTTCAAGCCGGGCCAAACTTGCTCCAACGAATGTCGCGCCAATCCAAACTCATATTCGCATTGAGTGTGCACACGGGACGCACCTCCCGCAAGCCCTCCGCTTTTTGAAGCCGTGCAAACTTGCCTCAAAGCATGTGACATTCTTTCAGCGTCCAGTGAATCTTTCCAAACATACTGCGAGCAATGCGAGCGAAGGCAGCTCAAGCTGTAACAACAGTGCATCAACAAGAATCATGCGAATCCACTAGCCAAAACGAGCATTGCGTTTACAACTGGGCGCGCCGCCGTCCAATCCCATCACGACGAGACATTTACGAGCATGTGTTTACAAGTGTGTAGGGAGTGGGAGGAAAGGCTTTTGCTTTTCTTTGTGTTCTAAAACATTATCGTCTCGATAAAACAGTTATCCCCACCCCCTTAACCCTTGAAATTCACGCCTTGAAATATTTCAGGCGGTTAGCTGGACGCCGAGGCATGATAAACCTGGGGGTGGGTGCAACAGGCTGAAATTTCAACATTCGGGGGGTAAGCGGCTGAAAATAATTTCAGAATCGAATTCTGGACCACAACCGTCAGGGGAAGGCAGAGGATGTCTGCAGACCATTAACACAGACACACCGAAACAAACAACAACCCACGAAGCACATAAGATCACATAAGTACACATAAATACCACCTCTAGAGATTGTTGGAGGTTCTGGGGCAGTTGCTGCCTGGGCAGGCCGTCCCGGTACTACGTCCCCAGGGCGTTTTTTTTTTTAGGCGGAGAACGTGACAGACGACAGACTCAAAGAGAGAGAGAGAGAGAGTGAGAGAGTGAGAGAGAGAGAGAGAGTGAGAGACTCCCACCCATGTATTGAGTAGTCCCCGGACCCCTTGGGGAAGCTTTTAGCTGGTTAGCTGTGGAATCCTGAGGTGGCTTTGCGCGCCAACTACATTGGCCTGGGCGCGAAGAGAGTGAGCGCGAGAGCAAAAGCGAGTGAGAGCGAGAGCAAAAACGAGCGAGAGCGAGAGCGAGAAAGTGAGAGTGAGAGTGAGAGTGACAGTGAGAGTGAGAGTGAGAGTGAGTGAGAGAGAGAGTGAGAGAGAGAGAGTGAGAGAGAGAGGGTGAGAGCGAGAGCCGGGGACGTGGTACCATCGGGACAGGCCATTGTTCGACCTACCTACCTCCCCTTCAAAACCCCTGGCTGAAATTTCAAAGACCTTGGGGGCCCACCAGGCAACAGCAAAATCCTGAGATTTTTTCATGCTGGCGACAAGGGGGGGGGGATAAACAGTTCAAGCCCACAAAGTGCCCAAAACAAAACGCACAAGCAAAGAACATTCATACATATTCGAGTCAACTTTTCAATTAGTTTAGGGTTTAGAGTGGGCGCCATGAAGAGAATTGCTCAAAAATCATGCAATCCTTTCGAGAAGCGGTCATGCGAGCATTGCGCTTGCAAACCTGAGGACACAAAGGTTTCTTATTAGAAACGCAGAGGGAACGATGATTGCTTTTGAATCCCAAAAAAAGCTCAAGGGAGCAAACCCCAAAAAAAGCGGTTGCTGTGTTTGCCAGACGTTTATTGCCTCCTTACGTTGGTAAGATCTTGTGATTTGGGATCGCATGTGCAACAATACCTGGTTTGTGAACCGAGTTCTGTCCTCTCGTGTTCATTCTTTAGACAGGCAACACAAGGTACATGGAGACAAGCATGCAATCTCTCTGGTCTGCCACCACCATGGCTCCAGCTCCAGGTAGACATGTAGCATCATGTAGCAGAACCAGTACGTAGGTCATTCTTGTATGACATTACATCAGATACATGAGCCACCCTGCTCAAATGCAGCAAGGACAGCATGAAAGTTAAGGCCCCTTTGGATCTGCAGGCTCACACAAGATGCTCAAGAGTCCCAAGAGTAAGTTTCAGTCATGTGGAAGGCCGTCTTGGCACAAGCCACTGAGCACAGAAGCATTGCGGTTGGGCAAGCCTAACTTGTTATAATTCTCAAAGAGACGGAGTCGCAAACCACCTGACAACAGTCCAGTGCGACAAATGGTCCAGTTTACAAGCAGTGCACACCTCGGGTGCTTTTACCATATTGCATGTGTGACAGACGTCTCATATTACAGCAATTTGCAGAAGCTTCGAGCTGAGACTCGCAGACTCAAGACGCCTCAGGCTGAGACGGCTAAGTCTGGCGCGAGGGTGTGCCTCGATGCACCGATCCAAATGCAGGTGTGTCAAGACCTCTGCCGAGAGTGTGTGGAGCGTGTGAGCGCTTGACATGCTTGACCTCCTTTGATCTGTGATGCTCTGAGGTCAGGAAGTGGAAGCTGAGCTGCGAGAGCTGAGCTCCGTGGCTTTGGATTTTGCATTTTGCGCTGTTGCACGCCGCGCAATGACTTTCATGGAGTGACAAGCAGCAAGAGCACAGAACAACGATGCGCGGTTTCTAGGGTGGTCCAGCCCAGGCCAGGAGTGCAGAAAGAAGTACCCCATCATCAAGGCGCCGAGGGTCGATGGGCTTTTCCGGCAGGAGAATATGTCTGAGAATCGGAAGGAGTACACAGACAGAGCCATCTTGAAGATCCGGCATCACCGAGAAGATGCTTCAAATGGCCATGGCTCAGGTGCTTAAAGTGCCATACACTGACACGTGGTCAAGTTTCCTCCTGTGCTGGAACAGGCACATCATCTGACTTCCCATTGGACGAGGTACTGCGAGCAATTCTTATGGCGAGAAGCTGAGCTCTATGGTAATTATGCGGAGGATGTGTGCAGTCCGACCCAATCCTTGTGCAGTGTAAATATGTCGGTGTACGTGGAAGTGGTGTGTCGGTGAGCCCTAAAAGGCCTGCGAGACATTTCACAGCAAGATCGTGATGATTTCGTTGTCCTGCCTGCAAAGGCAGCGTTTTTGTGACAATGGACCCCTTCCTTTCCTCAGCTCAGATTCCGAAAGCTTGGTGAGGCTGATTCACCGAGAGGCGCTCAAGGAGGAGACAGTGGCTATTGTGGTAAACCTCATGAAGGAACAGGCAGGAGCAGAGGGGGAAAGAAGAGGGAAAAGGTCACCAGACGGCCCAGCTCAGAGTAGCAAGTACTAGCCAATTCGTAATCGAATCGTAGTCTTTAGCAAGGCGATCTCTGAGCGCTCAAGATGCGTCTTAGGGATGTTTGCTCGAAGATGCTACCAGCCCGATGCCTTCGTGGGCCAAATGCTTTCATGCCAGTAGACACGGAAAGAAAGAGGCAAAGTAGCAAGAGGCAAACGTGGACAAATCTTGGGGTTTTTACGCTGATACACTGGGAGCAGAGGCAGCCAATGGCGATGAGACCGTTCTGGCCTCAATTCCAGCAGCTCGCGCAGCGTTGCGTCACGTTGAATGGCGTCGGCCGCATGCGTAGGCCAGTTGGGGGGCACAGGTGCAGCTCAAGGTTTTGCAGACCATCATGGCAACTCCGCACAAACCCGAGATGTGTCGGCATCTACTGCAACTGAGCAATTGCATTTAACAGCCTTCGCCTGCCATTAGGTCCCACATCAAGCTGCTGAATGAGACGGTGGTGGAGCAGCTGATGCAGCTTTTTGCTGGCATTGCGGATTGTTTTGGGCTGTGAGCGGCACAACGCCATCTATCCCGTGCTGAGGTTGCTGTACAGCCTCCACAACTCATCCAATGTTTGGGTCCTGGCGAGCGGTTGCAGTGAATCCTCTTGGAATCTTGTAAGCGCACATTGGAGTTGCATGGGAAGTGCATGGGCCGAGGCCAGCGTCCACCACACAGCTTGCAGCAGCCTCGACAAGCATGCGCATGAGGACCCTTAGTGTTTAGAGTGACGAGGACGACACGGGAATGAAGCTGCGGCGCAAGGATTCTGCACTTTCGAGTTGTCCAAATAGCACTGAGGTGCTGGTCTTCGACAGCTTGCGGAGCACCTGGCCGACCAAGCAGCCCAAGCAGCCACCCAGGCCTTCCGGGTCTATAAGAGTGATTCGGGCATATTCGCAGAAACAACCGAGCCGCAGATGGAGCTGCCACCTGCCGGCGAGTTGCAGAATATTCGTCCCAGACCCAGTGCAGGGAGTCTTCTTCACAGATCGCACATGTCTTGCCAAGCAGAGTTCCCAGCTCTAACGTCTCGATAAACGATGCGCATTTGCTGGAAGCTTCCTGCAACATGTGAATCGGGCTTGAAAGGACTGATGTCAACTTCAATAGCACAAGCCAAGCTTTGACAACACGCACGTATGTAATCGCTTCCCACTGCTACTAAAGGACCTCCCCTTCCCAGATCCAAAATGGCATCTGGCAAGACTCCATTGAAAAAGTTAGGGTTCCATTGTACGGTTTGGAACAGCCGGAACCTCAGCCCCACGGCCTGCTTGTTGCTGGGCGGGTGGCAAAAATGGACTGGGCAAAAATCTATAGACCCTACATGGGCCCTATCCCCCAACTGTCAAGCAGGTTAGTATCAGGCTGGGTTCGGGGGAGGGGTGCCTGTGATAGGAAAAATTAGAGGGAGCTTAACATGAGGGGGAAGGGCTTCCAAGGGCTTCTAGGTACACTTACTGTAAGCTGGACTCCCGACTTTCATGTCCTTCGCTGCATGGCTGCATGGTTTGTGCGAATGTCCGCTTCCTGCGGGACGGACAGCGCGCACACTGCGCAGCCGGCCCCTGCACAGCGCAGCACTTTCCGCGGCGGCGGCCATGGCGAGGCCTCGTAAGGGCCGACCTTGCCACTGTACCTGGTTGCCCCTGTTGAGAGGCTGCAATGGCGATCAGCCGCAAAAGGCTCCAGCGCTTTCCTTGCCGGAGTTCCTCCCTTTGGGTGTCGAAGGTGAGCTGCGCATACGGCCGCTCGGAAATGCAGCTCATTCAGCTGCGCTTGTGCATATGATCGACCACGGGTACATGTATTGATCAATGTAGACTGTCATTACGAGACAGACTTGAGAAAGGAGCGGCTCCATGGATGTTGTGGCAGCAGCAATGGAGTCCAACTAACTGGCACGTGCGAGCAAACTCTACTGACAATCATTTGTGTTGGGTTTTCGGAGCCTTTGCACAGCACAGTTTGGGAGAAGTGGTAGAGAATGAAGCGTGTGAACTGCGAACAATTCCCCTTACCATGAGATTGGCAACAGAAGGTTCTCAGATCAAAAGAGGCAGTGGGACCTCCAGCTGGAAGGACTCTGCAGATGCAGCTGCTAACGTCGGTATTCCTTCGGAAGAGCACAATCTAGCTGTCAAGAGAATGTTTGGAACCAGCTTGCCTCAGATTTGGCCCATGTTCGCAGCCAGACCCCAAACAAGGCTGTGCCTGGCATTGGCCACGCGTGAAGATGAACGAATTGCTTCCCAGCCAAGGGCACCTGTGTCCAGGGAGGCTGGGGGCAAACGGTGCAAGAAGATGGTATAAGATGGCTACAATGTGGCATGATATGGTGCAGGGCTTTGCAGTCGGCTTCAATGTGTATGCAGGTGGTTTGTTTGCCGCCACAGCGAGGGGAGTGGCAGCCGAGGCAATCTTTACGTCGCCAGTACAAAGGATGAAAACAGCAGAATGAGTGTGGCACTAGTGGCTGTTAGGAAGCAACTGAACACCTGGTTCGTGATCATTGATCAGTTGCATCTGTCTTGTATCACGCAAGGCAAAGCATCCCAATGATCCCTTGTGCGAGGTGGCGCGTACTTCGTGGGCATGATGCCCTCCCCGGGCAGGCCGCACCACTTGCACACCCGTGTGGAAAAAACAGGAACGCCAGTGAACATGGCCTGAGCAGTATAAGCAGGGAACCCGTGTGTCGTGTGTCGGCCGCTGTGATTGTGTAAATATATGGCAACCCCATTCCCCCCCACCCCCCCTCTCGCCCTGTGTTTTTGTTACTCTTCAGTTGGTCGCCGTGAATTTTTCCTGAAAGTGTAGCCGAGAGGGCGAAAGTGAGTGAACGAGTTGAGCCCGCGGCGGCAAAGCAAGAAAACATTCTGTGCCACCGTCATGGGCAAGAGGGCGGCAGTGAGTGAGTGAGTCTCAGGCCTGCGACAGCACAGGAAAGCAAACAAAACGCCTTGCGCCACCCTTGTGTGGCCGAGAGGTTGAAGCCTTGCTCGCTGTATCTAGAAGACCAGGAGTTGTGTTATGAAAACATGCGAGTATTTTCTAGACCCAGCAAGGGAGTGCCCCAACCCCCCTGCTTTTTGCAGACCCCCCCCCCTTAGTTTTTCACGCCTTGCAAGCTTTGAAAAGGACATCATGCCATAAAAGAGGACGTGCGTTCAGAAAGCATGACTCCTTTTTCCAATCACAGGATTTTGATTGCCTTTGTAGTTTGAAGGAATTCTTCCATGACCTTTCTGTTTCCTTCAGACAACCTATACTTCCCATTTAGGTTACTCGGAAAAACGTCTATTTCCTCTATATGTCCGAACAGAAAAACCTGTATTCCTGGAAATTGACTCGGAGAAGCTCAATTTCCTCTCATTACATTGTATACGACCTCTATTTCAGAGGAAACAACTATGCCTGGTACCTCTGGATTCTAACCAAAGAATCCTCGACCAAAAACATATGATCAAAGCCCAAAAGCAGGTCCAGCATAATTTCTGGCTCAGCCTCAGCCTGCACAGCAAAAGCGACTGCGCAGTACCAACAAAAATGGGGCTGGGCCTGCACAGCAAAAAGGACTCCACAGCAACGCCCCGGCCTCGCGTAGCAGGAAGCGACGGCGCAGCGAAACAAAATTGCGCACCTCAGCCTATCAGAATGAGGTTGTTTTGCTTTGCAGTCTTAGCAGCCACAAACATGAAGCAAACACGATGCCACAGCAAAAAATCCCACTTCGGCCCAGTAAGAAAGAGATGGAAAGGGAAGTACGCGTTACCAACAGAATAAGAAGTGTCATGGGCAGCTGCAGCATCCGAGGCTGTAATTGTTGCACGAAAGCGGTGCACCTCGGAATTTCCTGTCCGCACGGTCGGGCTGCAGATTTGGAATGCAGGTCGCGGAAGGAAACGCCGGAGAGCAGCCGACCGGTAAACTGCAGCATACATGAACTTGGGATGTGTATAGGCTTGTTGGAGGACCCCTGAAGCTTTAGCTGTTTTAACTCTTGCAGTGTTTACGGTCGCCTGCTTGTTGCCAAGTGAAGCTTGGACAGGGTGGTGGGAGCTGCCAGGAAATCAAGAAGGCAGCAAAGACAAAAACCCACCCACCCGAATCGGTGTCTCAGAGGTAACCCCCCCCCAGAGGTGGAGGTGAATTTTCAGTTTTCTTCGGATGGCAGGGGTGAGGGGTGTGGTCTGCTTGTTCTAGACGCCGGCCGAGGGCAGAGTTCTATTCGACAGTCAGGAGGTCACCATGTGCATGCAGGACGTCGGCAGACCGGCGCCGCTGTCCAAACTCGCAGATGCCAAGGCCACCCAACTGCCAACTGCTTCAATTGAAGGTTGACGAGGAAGGATGAGGTGAGGAGGTTGGCTTGGTAGGTACGAGCAGCTACGGGTCAGGTGTGCACATGAGAGGAATTGGTTTGATGCCTTGCAGATGGGTGAAGAGTGAAGAGCGTGAAAAGAATGTGAAGGGAGAGAGAGAGAGAGAGAGTGTGAGTGAGAGAGAGAGAGGGAGAGGGCTGGTGCACGCCTGTGTTGCGCGAGGCCTTTTGTGAGAGTCGAGGCCTCGCCGGCATCGTTTTGTTTGGAGGCGGGCCTGATGGCAAATGAAGTGAATGAAGTCTTCGAAGTATGAAGGTACAGTTCTAGTGTAGTTGGGACGGCATATTTATGGTCCGGTCTAAACGAGGCCTGCTATACCTGAGACCACGCGGGGCTGGAAGCCAGCTTCTCGCTGCTGCAACTCCGCAATCTGGTGCTGACCTCCTTGTGAGGCCTTGGCCACGATGTGAGTTCATGTATTTCTTGTTTCTCATGTCACGACTTCCCTACACTTTACCTGATGCTTGGGAATAGTATGTTGTTCGTTAGATTCTACCCGTTGCATGGTCCATGTGTATGGTCACCTTGGTCTACGACAAGAACACTAGCTACTTGCCTCGCTTTTTTGTGCGTCCTCAAGGGTCGCTCGACCCATCAAGTCCGCCCCGCGGGTGGCCTCACCGAATGCCAGTGTGCATGCGTCCACTCTGTTTCAGATAGGAGGCTGGTTAGTTGAACCTCAAAATTCCCCGAGGGTGTCCCTGGGGGGGCGGGGAGCCTGAAGGGTCCTCGCGTTTCTAGGGTTTTCGTGCCCCTCGCCCTGCCGGGACGCTTATAGGGGCAAATCTAGCACGTGAAGCCTTCCTGAACTCGCCTCTGGGTCCTTCAAGGTCTGTATCATTCTTTATTATACTGTTGTTTGTTTTGGTTGGGGGCTCTTCGAAGAGGTCCTCAAAAAAGGGTCCTGCGCGGTGGGTCCACCGGGGGCTTCCAGGAAGTCCAAGGGTCTTGTTACGAGTTGGCTGGCCAAAGCCGTTTTCGTGCCTGTGCCTTAGTTCCCCAATTCCCAGCAGTAAACTTCCAAGTTGAGAGGCCGGCGGATGGGGCGAAGGATGAGGTCCCTGAGGATGAGCCCCGGGACCCACCCATGGCCCCGAGATGTCTCATTAATTCAGAATGCACCATGAAATGAGTCTGAATCTCCGCGCTCCAGATTGTGGACAGTGAGGATCCAACGATGCTGCGGGTTGCCGTCCTTGCTACCCAGGCTCTGGGTGCATCCGCATGATTCAGCGCTTGTGCACGAAGCAGCTTTTAGCCTGCTGTGCTTGTGAACCATCTCTCGCCAACAGCACCAGGACGAGTTTGATGAAACAAGTCTTTTTGCCGTCTGCTTAGCCAAAACGGTGCGCTGAGCAGTAGTTCAAACAGTTCAAAGTTAGTACCGAGGCATTTCAGCCGTTTCGGTACTGCGCTGTGATTCAAGGACTTGGGCATGGTCTCCACGACTGGAAACGGCCGGCGCTATGCCGCACAGGCGCTTGGGACTTCCTCATGTCCTTGTATGCTCTTGTACATTGGCCTCAGGGGGGGTGAGTCTCTTGGGGGTTGGCCGAGGATTTGGGATGGTGTTTAAATTTTAAGGTTCAGCAAATTTCTGTTTGGACACCGCAGCAAAAAGTCACGATTGTTTTGGTCATGCTCTGTGGGCAAGTGGGGGTAAGGGGCGGGGCATGAAATCTTGGGAGAGGCTGAGGGCCCGTGAATTTGTTGAAAGCTTAAGCAATTTTTTCAAGGGCCACCGGTTTTGCATGTGAAGGCTCACGGTACGTGAGATTTTTTGGAGGGGGAGCTACATATCGCGCATAGACTAAAGATTGCTTGGACACCGTCAGAAGGCCGACTGTATTTCTTGGGGTGGCGTATCAGTTTGTGCAAGCAAGCCAACATGCATGAAGACCGGATGACGGCAAAATGGTGCTGCTGGTGGTGATGATGAGGAGGGGGGGGGGGGGGGGTATGATTGGGGATGAGGGTGACGACATGACCATGGCCACGAAAACAAAGACGCACCAAAAAAAATTGCTGCCAGTAAGCCTGCATGGTGACTGTGGATGGCCTGCTGCCCTTGTTCTCTTTCAGCTGTGCAATCTGTGCAATGATGCCGACTGCGACTTTCTTGCAGGGACAACTTTACTGCTGTCGTCCTTGCTGTTCAACATGTTGCCTGATGTTAGTCATTGGTGCATGGCGCTCCATTTCGCGGCTTGGCACCGGCCAAGGCACTGTTGCGCAACATCATGTCCACAGAAGGTCTCGAGCTGACTGCGGTGTTGATTTATGCTGCCTGCCTTGGACTGAGACACTGGTAGAGGGACTGAGAAAGGGTTGAGTTTTGAGCGAACGACCGTCATAACCGTCACAAAGGGTACTGGAGCACAGGTCAAGTTAGCTCAGTAAGTTCCAAGCAATCCAAGCGCTGCCAAATTCATGTCGCCCATTTTTGAGCCAGATATGTCAGGATTGGAAGAACAACGACTCCACAGACTCCACGAGCTGGGCGGTGCCCATCCAGGGGCCAGAGCGCTGCACGGTAGCGTTGCGAGGTGGGAAGTCGGTCCGCCACTCGGCTTTTCTCCCCATCGCAGCTGTCGCAGTCCCTCCGACCCCCAGTCGGAAAGCCAGCGCCAGCAATATGGCCAACATGCAGATGCTGAATGCTGACAGCTGAGGTGACTGCTTGGCGTGGCTCCATGAACCAGCTGATGGGCAGCTCAGCTGGCTTAGCTGCAAAATCAAGCATGGCTCGGAGATCTCGGAGATGGTAAGAGCTTGCTGGCCTCGGGGATGTTGCTTCCAATATCTGTCAATGACCAGGGGCCAGCAAAGACATGGATACATGCAAACCAGAATGCGCTCTGCTCAAACTGCTCAACAGAAGTTGTGAAGCTTCGCTCAGGTGCATGTGCTGGGGATTTGGAGGTGGATGTGGCCGTCTCCATCCAAGCAAGGCGAAGCTGCCTGGAGCTGCTGAGGAGCCGGCAAACAGAAGGCAAGCGCAAGCAAGTAGCGTAAAGGCGCACGGGGCCTCAGCAATGCAGCATCATGCCTTTTGCAGGAGCATCCGTGCAAAGCAGTACGTGGCCGCGCAGCCAAAGGTTAATCACAGTTAATTACATGCTGCACTTGTTTCATCAACAAGCACCAGTCTAGTCTGCAGGAGCAAGGGCTTTTGTTCGCCTTGTGCAAATCCTTGCACTGGACTTTCTGAGTCTTCCAAGGCCATGGGTCATGACTACAACCTTCCGTTTGGACCGTGGGGCATGGAAGTGGAGCCGCAGTCGACGCTCGGAACTTGCTCAGCTGCTACGCACTACTGGAAGCATCTCGAAGCCGCCGGAAGTACTCAAAGAGCATGTCTTGGACAGCTTAATAGAGCTATTCAGCTGATCTTTGCGAGCCGCAAAATTCCAGAACGGAACGGAGATAAAGCCAGAAACGAGTTCGACTGCGTGCAAGGTGCGCAATTCCATGGACCCTAAGATATTGCGCAAAAAAAACACGGGTTTCATAAGGCTGGCTGTGCACCAGTCCTTGCTCCGAGACGAGCGGCTAGAAGTCTTCTGCACATCGCGCCACCTCCGGGACTTTCTGGAGCGCTTCTCGGAGGGCACCGTCCGGACGCGGCTCTGCTACTGCGCGGACTACGGTGCCCTCAGTCTTCGTGTTCGTTTCTGTGTTCATTCTCGAGCACTCTGCCTTACTCCATCCTTGAATCCTTTTCTGGGGCAGACCGGAAGCAGGCTACTTCGATGACACGCAGGGCTTCGTGCCTCCGGCCTATTGTGACAAGGGCCAGTATGTCGCAGACCCAGTGCAGGTCAGCAGAGTCTCGCAATAGCTTCACAGCTTCAATCCCCCGCAGCTCTGTACATCTTTGTGCGCATTCTGCTGGTGTCATCTGGCTCAAGCATGGCTGAAGCAACTAGTCCTCGTCGATTTTCCTCGTCTGTCGAACAGTGTCATGGGCAATGCTTCAGCCCACAAGCTGATTGAGGTTACACTCTCCATACCCGGCCTGTCAGCCTCGCAAAGTTCGCAGCTCATTGCCGAGGTTCACGTGGGTAGTGGGGGTGGCGACAGTGACACAACTGACACACTGCACCCGGGATGGGGCGAGGCCTTCAGCTTGGAAGTTTCAGAAGGTTCAGACGTGCGCATCTCCATCGTTTGCCTCCTGGACGGCTGCAAATCCGAACTCTGTCGGGTGAGACTCCCCTCGAACCTGTCATGTTTGGAGCCTGGCACGTCCAAGCTGATGCAGTTTGCCGTGGGCACCACCTCCCTCGTAGTGGAGCTGCGAGCCGTGGATCCCTCAAATGCATCAACGAAAGGACCGAAAGATCCGAAAGCTTCAGACTTTCAGTTTCACTTGCCTTCAGCCCGACGACAGGCGATCTCTCTTGAGCTGCAGAACGCTGAGTTGCAGAAATTGGCCAGGGCTAGACATGGAAACTGCCGCGCAGCACCTGCAGCACCTATGAAACACCGTCATCTTCTTGAGCGTGCCCAAGTGCCCGTCCTAGTTCATGTTGCTGGCTCAGGGTGCACATTTGGACGGGTTCTAAGCCAGTTTGAGACGGGAAGGAGCACGCATCGAGTGTTTCTAGTGTTTCTAGTGTTGTACCTCCGGAGCATGTGACAACGTCTGCGACTGAGGCAGCCAATGCCGAAATGCTGGAGCAGAAGCAAAGACTTGTGCAGAAGCTAGAGCGCGTGAGAAGGCAGCAGCGAGAAAGCTCACAACCTGAAGCTGAGCTGCTCGAAGATTCCGAAGAGATCCACTCAGGCCTAGAACAAGAACTGCACATGGCCATGGCAAGGCAGCGAGCCTTGCGTGAGACCTATGAGGCCAGGATCGCTTCCACAGAGATACAGCTTCAGCAGGCGATGGAGCAGCAAACGATGAGTGCAATCCCAGAGGCTGAAGCCCAAGCTTTGATGGCCATTGCAACAGGTCGGCGTGAAGAACTCCGGCGCATGTGCAGGGAATGTGAAGAGCTGAACTCAGCGCTGGCGGCACCTAACGGTTCGAAAGGCCTGGAGATGCTGACCGTGGAAGCCCCTGAGATCAGTGCATTGCAGAGACAACTGGAGACCCAGCAACGCGAGTTGCACAGATTGGGCAAGGAGCTTACCACGATTTCTCAAAGCAGGAACTACCAGGGCTGGCAGGAACACGAGGAGATGACCCAAGAGGTGCATTGCTTATCAGATGAAGTTGAGCATATGCGCCGGGGATGCCAAGACGACCAAGTTTGTAGCGAGAGTGAAATCTTAGAGCTGAAGCGGGAGCGAAGCAAAGCAAAGAACCGGTTGGACGATCTTCTCTCAGAGCTAAAGCAGCTGGAAGCACGAGCTGAAATGCTGAGGGTGGAGACGCCACAGGTGTCAGAGCAGGAAAGCACGCATCATCGCGAATCTTGTAGGCAAGCCGAGGCAAAACTCAAGGAGCTGCGGCACATGGAGGAGACAAAGCAGCGACAAATTCATGCTTTGGAACAAGATCAGGAAAAACTTGTGGAGCAGACCACGCTGGCCACAGCAAAAATGGTGGGAGAGGATGTGCCGGAAGCAAAGTGTAAACTCGCTGAGCTTGAGTTAACTACTAGCCAGCTCATGGCAGCAATCGAGGAAAAGCAGACCGCAGCGGCGCAGAAGCGTCAGCAGACGCAGCAGGTCCTGAAAAGGATTGAAACACTGCAACAAACCTTCGCTGAACTTCAGCGAACCTCGGATGAGCGAGTTCTCCGAGATCCGCAGCCGCGACAAACACGACAAGTGGCAATAACCATTTAGTTTGCAAACGCTCCTCATCGTGCAGGATGAGAATTTGTATGCTGCGAAAAGCGCAGGCATTCAGAGTATTCAGCGTGCGGCACGAAATAGGTGAGTCTCTTTCAGCCGTCTGGGTCAAGTAGGCAATTGCCTTCAATGATTGTCGAACTCATGAGGTGACCTTCATAAGCCCTTGTCCGGCGAAGGGCCTGGCAATTGTGCTCCGCTTGGCTTTGATGCATCTTGGCTTTATTCTCTTGGCTATCAGTTCGATGCAGAAGTGCAGTTGGTACAGCAGACCCATCGCTTGAGCAGGTTTAAAGATGCGCCCAGAATACCACATACATTGTCAGTGCACCTAGTGAGCAGTGAGCACCCAATTCTGAAACAGTCTTTGATCTTGGCAGGCTTTGGGTGAGCATTGGGCTTTGTATTTCCTGATCGTACCAACTAGCTACTTTCAGTTCGCTAGAATAGAATTAACTTAGGCCATGGGCTTACACACCTTTCTCAAACTAACTTCATGGCACGTTCACTTTAAAATAAGAAAGCTTGAAGGCATAATGTAGTGATGATTCTCATAGAGTTTTAACAGGATTCACGGCCGTGTTCTTTTAACAGGCCCATCTTAAAATGGGTGAGAAATGCCGCGCCTTTTCTTGGTCCCCAAGCACTGCCCAAACAGTACGGACGTCAAGGTATGGGAACATAAGCTTCTGTTCTGGTGGTCTTGCCAATGGATTGAACTTACAAAGTTCTCAAAGCATAGCACTCGTCTTTGCCGGAGAGAGCAGACATCGATGCTGTGTGAGCTCTCTATTCATTTTCCACTGGCATTCTGGCCCAGACTGTCTTAGCCATACATGAATAGCAACCTTTGCACACGGTTTTAAATTTAGTCACGAAAACATCCACCTGCAGGCCACGAAGTGAGGGGGCTTGGCATCTGGTGTCAGGGGGTGTGCATGTAGAGCACTGGGCTTCGCCTGCAAAACCGCACGGGATGTGCGCACGCTGCTAAGCCTGACGCCGCATCCCTGGCGGCAGCAGTAACAAACCATGCCCGTCAAAGGAGACAGGCCTGCAGAATGTTGCAGGTCACCCGCCCAAGGCAATTCCAATCGCGCGTCTTACCAAAAGCAGGGTTTCTTCTTATCCACAGGCTCCTTGCTCAGCACTGCGTGAGGACAGGTTTTCGCTAAGCAGGCCCCGGGCCCACTGTGTCGGGCCTCTTCGGCGCTGTGTCGTGCCCAGGGTTGCATCGGGTCTCGGCACGGCCACCAAACAATTCCAAGTCTCATATCAGTGTTTTTCACAACAATTCCAGTTCTCATTGTTTTTTGAGACTCATCCTGCTGTGTTCACGTGGTTCCTGGCAACACACACGAATAGTTAGTACAAAAACAGAGGGAAAGACTCCTCATTCTCCCATCCTGGCTGTTGCAGATTTGTACGAAAGCAAGTCAAAAAACAAAGTGCAGCAAGGGTTGAAACGAGGCTTCCCGGCATCCAGTTCCTCTGCGTGAGCACTGGATGGACGAAGACGTTGCATGAAGTCCAGTTGCGACTGGTCGGAATTCATTCGTTCCGTCCTGGTTTCTCAAGCTTGGGGCAGTCACAGCTGTTGAGGGACATGCAGCTCAGCGTAGGGTGCAGGTTGCTGCGCACGTTGGATCTCGTGTTGCTGTAGTGTCACTAGCGCATGTGCTGGCCAGGAAAGCACATCCCAACATCCGCGTGGTGCCCGGCACTGACAGCATCGAAGACATCTACCAGCAGATTCTTGTCATGCATGCTGTTCACACACGATGCCCAAGAATGCAGGCCACTACGCTGCATGCCGCTGTGAGTCCGTCAGTTGTAGCCCTCTTATTAGATGCAAGTGTTACACTATGTGTGTAAACTGCTTTGGTGTTGTCAAGGGTTGCCATCTCTGCTCGTACACCGGCACTTCAAGGGCACTTTTTGACTGTAGACTGTTTCGCATCTCCGTGTGGAAGCGCCTAGGACCGCTCTGCTGCTGATGCCTTCTCTTTGGCAAGAGTCTTTTGGGCTGGTTGCCGTGGAGGCATTGTGACAGTCTGGTTTACATTAGGATGCTTCAGCATTCAAACTGCAAATGCAAGTTGCGCACGTCAGGCACAGCTGCGTGGCATTCCTGTGATTAGCACTGCAGCCTGCGGCCTAAAGGAGGCCAATTTCCTGGAGGCACATCTAGCAAAGTGATGCTGTGTGGGGTCGCAAAGCGGACAGGTAATTAGGTCAGAAAATGCAATGAGTTTGTGGAGGTTCAAGCCCGCTCAAGCCACGAACTGCTGCAAGTGCATTACTGACAGCTGACAAAGCCGCAGGATCAGAGCAGCAGGCCAACACAGGCCAACCACGCCAGAGTAAAGTTTTGCCGCACGCATCGATACGCCATGGGAAATGTTCAGCTGCAATGCCTCCCCAGCAGCCAATGCAGCACATGTTACTTTTATGAACTTCGCGAAGAAGGAAATGAACAGTGCGGATCCTTGTGCGAGGCCGCTGCCACCACAAAACGACGGCGTCAGTCGGATCTGATCCTGGGAAAGACCTGCGCGGCTATGAAGGTTCTTCGCGACCCGGACTTCAGCGATTTCGCTTGCGACGATGACATGTTCGACATGCTTGAGCAGTTGCAGGGCAACTGGTATTGCGAGTCAGATGGGCAACTTGTTGGTTCAGTTTCCGGTTCCCTCATCACTTGGAGCAGAACCTGGACTCCCGGGACTACTGGCAAAGAGATGCTTCGAATGCCAGAAGGGCATGTGGCGTTGGAGCTGGATGGCCATGTACTCATTGGGCAAGTTTGCTTAGAAACGCAGAAATGCATTGTCTGGAACAACGGGCAGGTGTGGCTGCAAAAGTAAGTTCCAGGCGCATCCAGGTGCCTACAGTGAGGTCTTAATTGACCTATTGCCAGAGCTCAAAAGCTGGCCAGCCGTTTGGCGCTGCTCGATGCTGCTCTAAACTTTAAGAGTTGGAGGCAGCAGTTTAAAATTTCAGCAACCTCCTTGTTCTGAACACAGCGCACGCGAAGCACACAGAAACATGGAGGCACGAAAGCCGGCTGTGTCATTTATTCTCAGGATGCCTCAGGCATCGCTAGCATCGAAAGAAGAGAAAAGCTGTGTTAGCTGCTATGCTTACCCCATCTTCCCCCAAAAGTCTCTGTATGGGTTTCTTCAGGTGCACCCTCGCCTAGGCGCCGCGCGCATGATGTTGGGTCGACAGTTGAGCGCGCTCGTCTAGGCCCTGCTACGTCTATATTCGACCCTTGGACTACAAACAAGAGTTGCGCTCTCGCATAGGTGCCGTGCGCGTTCCGCGGTCCAATCCTGCTCCTGCTGTGGCAGTCCCGGGCGCCGAGCGCGCTGGCGCTTGAATGCAGTATCTCGGCGCTGCAAGCGCATGGCAGGGGCTCGGCCTGGAATTTTCGAAGGCGAACTCGAAACTCATGCGGTCGCTGGCACGTGCCTTTTGCCAAAGTGCAGAACTGTCGACGCTTTCGCATCCCAAGCAGTGCTCCCGCCGCAGCATCGCGTCACAGTCTTACATTGTTTGGGGTCGACGCTGCCTCAAATCTTGCTGCAAGCTGGAAGCGGTAAACCATGATAAACCCAGCGAAGATGGAAGGAGCTGCAGGTGCCCCAAGTTCGCCTGGTGCACGACTCCAGGACGGGTGATGCGGCCAGGGATCCGCAAGCGTTCTGTTGCAAGTGCTAGTTGCTAGCCCCTGTGTGGGTCTTGCCTGTGGCTGCTCTTGCACGGCTCGTGCTTTGTTGACTCTTAGGTCCCATGCATCGAGTAGCGAACAATGTATCCGTATCAAGGACTCGAGAGATGTTACGTGGCGTCACGATGGAAGAGGCAGAACTCGCCCTCGATCCTTTGCGGCCGGGCCACGACAGCACAAAAGGCTCCATAGCGACCAGCTTTTGTTGTGGTGTTTCGAGTGTGGCAGTCTGACGACCAGTATGGAAGTATGGAAGTAGGGAGACAAATGCCGACGTCATGTTGATGAAATCATCTTACAGTGGGAGACGATACGGTGACGATTTTTAAATGAGTGGAGGGCGGCCAACCTGGGGTAGGAAAAAAAAACAAGTTTGAATCCGCATGTTCCCTCCACCCCTCCACCCCCTCCACCCCCCCCCCTCCACCCCTCCACCTTTTTTTTTATGGGGGTGGGAGGGGTGAGGGGTGTGGAGGGGTGGAGGAGGGGTGGAGGAGGAGGGGGAGGAGGGGGAGGAGGGAGGAGGAGGGGAGGAGGGGGAGGAGGGGGAGGAGGAGGGGGAGGAGGGGGAGGAGGGGGAGGAGGGGGATGGGTGGTGAGGGGCTGGGTGGGTTTCCGGATGTTTAGAATGCTGGGCGGCCTGACGCCGCGCTCTATGGAGGTAGTATGAAATACCTGTTTGTCTGTTTACATGTCCGGGTGGTTAAAAACCGGCACCGTATGTCCAATGTCCTGCACCTGTGGAGGCAGCCGCTGGCATGTGCACGTGGCTCACACGATCGTGGCTTCAGATGCTGAGGCGGCAGGCTTTGCCAGGCTGGTACAGGAGCTCGCACTTCGGCTGCAAATCGAAGCTTACACCTTATTACATTAGGCTCACATAGGCTCACACAGGCCTTAGCCATCTGAGTGACGATAGTATATGTATTGTGACCTGACCAGGTTACCAACTCCTCGAAACGTCAATGCCTTGGGCGTATTGCCCGAGAGCGGCCGGCCACTCAAAGGGGCCAATCGATGCCCATACTCGCTGACTGCCTGCTGGCCGAGGGCAATCCAACATGTCCAGAGCCGCAGTGGACACTTTGGAGAGGCATTGAAGGCTGGCCGAGCTTAACTTCCTCAACAGGCGAAGCCATGAAAAGCAAAACCTTGTAGACTGCAGAGATGCTGCAGACTCGCGCAGATTCTTGGCAGGAGTTGCTCGCCAAAGCCTCTGGAGGATGAACTTCCACTTCGAGATACTTAGAGAATCCAAGCTGATCGTCCTGGGATGCAGAGTTGTCCCGCGGCAGCTCGCAATCGCAGCAGAGTTCATGCCCAACGCCCAAGAGCAGCATTCCAGCAACGGCCCGTGCATGCAGGCTGATTGACACATGCTTGGTGTCACCTGGTGTTGCCATAACGCCGTGCGCGGTGCTACGAGGTCAGAAAAAGCTGACAAAAAGTCTTAATCACTGCAAAAAGCTAACAGCAAAGTCTTAATCACTGCCAAAGACGGACATGAACAAGCTCGGCTCCGACGCACATTGCTAAGAAGACCGTGAGGTTCTGTCATGCGCCGAACGCCTGCCGCAAAGCTGCCAGAGCCTCACGACTCACGACATCCTTACTGCTGTTCTACATCGTCGTGCTTTTGCAGTGTCGCGTCGATGCAGTTCATGTTCCAAAACAAATGATGACTCCAGCGCCTGGCCACGACCAATTAAATTCACTCGGCGATCCGAACACACAGCAATCAGCACAGTGCCAGTCACCCTTCTCCCAGCAGGGATGTGGAGTTTCGGGCCATCACTTGCTGCGTACTTGCCCTTGGGCCCTGATAAGGTGTAAGGCACAACCAAAAAGCGCACCAACAGAGGGTTGCAATGGGGATGAGGGTTTCAGACAGCACGATTTGCTGTGCAGGTGTAGGTTGTGTCTGGGTGGTGGGGTTCTGTGTTTCAGGCTTTCCTAAGCTTGGCAGTGGCTTGGGTCCTTTGGTAGGGTTGGCGCCCTGGTGTTCTGGCTTTCTTGTTTAAATGACACCACCCCCCCATGTCAATGCGTGGCTTTTTAGTATTTACAAACTACGAATATGATTGTGAGGGGCGGGGGGCGGGGTTCTAGCAAATCCGAAAGCCAACCCACGCAAAAGAGGCCCGTGTTAAATGTGCTCCACCCGTGAGTGCATTAACATGTATACAGTTTGCGCAGTTCATTCTGGAGATACGTGAACACTTAAACAAGCTTGTATTCACATGGTGTCTGCACGCTGCTGCACCTTACAGCAACGCGAGCTTGTTTGCAATTGCGAGAGTCCTGAAATTGCCGCAATCAATTTGTAGCCGAATTTTATCAATTTTTGATTTCCGGCGTGTTGGGCTTTTGACTCCTAGTTTCTCCTCTTCGGGGATGGTTTCAAAAAACTTCTGCTTACGCTCCTTCGTGTTTGGCTACATTTGATGTTTGATGCGCCTTTCGCCGTTCAGAGTTTCATCGTGGGGAGATGTGCCTGTCGCAGGGTATGCAATGCTATGTAGTGCACGTTCAACCTGACAACGATACAAAATCGAACGTTGCCAAATTCCTGAGGCCGAATGTGGCGCCGAACCAGGCACGACAGTTTGGCACAGGTGGTCCCATGCTACACAAAATGTGCCCCCGAGGGTATGGGCGACATGCATTTATGGATCTAGACAGAAGGAGTCCCACGTCAGCACAGAGCTACGGAGTTTTGCAAGGCTCCAGATGGCCTGAGAGGACCGCTTCGGATGTCAGCCGCTCAGATTTGTCCGCTCCCTCGGAAGCCCACACTCAGCCTGCCGACAGACATCGACGGACGATGCATGCCAACGACTTGCAGAGTTGCCTGGAGGTTTTACATCTTCGTGCAGGATCTTTGCGCCAGGTGCTTGGCAAAACGCTCTGATAGTATGCTGCTGATGCTTTATGTAACAGGATGGCTTGTGGACGACTTGGAGTTGAAAAGTTGAAGCATGTCGAAAAGATCCACGACTAGACAACATTGAAGAACTCAGGGGCATTTGCTGTCCGAGAGTTTTTGCAAGGGAGGAAGCTGAGGTGATGGCAGACTACGACGTCTCCAGCATGCAGTGTGCCCAACTGCTATGCATGACGCCATGATGTGACCGCAGAAGGTCAATTTCATTTACGCGAGCACATGACAAATGCGGCAGTCAGAAATACACCCGAAAGTGGCCACAACATTTGTATATGTGCAATATATATGTATATATATATATATACACATGTATATTTGTATATTCGAGAACTTGTAAACATATCTGTAAAAATGGCTATTATATACATAGAAAAACACATAGATAAATACAGAAATAGTTAAATAAATAAATATAAATATAAATACATATATATATATATATATTTATGTATATATGTATATATGTGTCGGGTTTGGTTGCTGGGTATCTAGAGTACGAACAAAGCAGTTGCAGGGAATGTCCGCCACCTTCACCTTTTCAGTAGAGACACGGTTGGGATCGCCCAGGTCGACCAGATACTCTATGGACCCGAGCGAGAGGATGCGCACCGGAAACAGAGAGGATGGGGCAATATCTGGAGTGGGTCCACGATGTTCCACTTGATATCTGCGACTAGACGGGCACTGCACTGGCATCTGTGCAGAGGGCTACTGGCTGGCCAATGTCAAGTTTCCGCGGCCTCTTTGTGCAGCGCTCATTCCTGGATTTCTTGGATTTTTCCCATGCAAGTTGAGGCAACTATGCACAACCATTTCAGGGGCGCGAGCAACGGCAACACGAGCATGAATCCAGGTTCATGGGAGCAAACATATGAAGGCTACATACATAAGCTCAATATCATGTGAGAATTGAAGTCAAACTGCTTCGATATTGGCAAAAGGGCACATGAAAGAAGGCGAACCTGATCAAGAGGTCTGAAAGCGGTTGGAAGCAGGAAATATATTTCGCTTGAGGGTTTTCGTTTTGTTGATCACACACGAGTGTTGTTTTCACCTTTGTCGTAAGGTTTGAGTAAGAAGTAAGGGAGGCAACAAGCAAGGAAGGAAGGAACATCATGAGGAATTTCTTCAAAACCCATACAGCCCCGTTCCCCCGCCCTCTCCCCAAAGACTCCGTGCTTCTTATAAAAGCCGTGCAAGCCTGCGTTCAGCAACATGCTGCCGTCCAGAGCAATAGCTTCAAAACCCATCTGAATCCATTCGACCCGACATGCAAACATTGTTTCAACATAGCTGCATAATTTTCTGCGCGCTGATTAAGTAGAACCTGGGCAAACGTCGCTGGATTGTGCAGGGGCATACTTTTGGGGCTTGGCACATTCCGGGAGATGCACAAGTTAGCACGTCGAATTCGTGAATTACCAAGCCCCCCAAGCCCCCCGTTTGTTATGTAAAGAAGAGCATTCCATGAAGGGAACCTGCACAAAAACACGAACCCTTCCCAAACCTGTCCTGCGAGCATTGCGTGAGCAAATTGGGGATTGGCTGCACGAGCCTTGCCGAAACCCGTCATGCGAACGAATGCATGTGAGCAACCTAATTTTTGTGTGTTAATGTTCAGCCGCTTGTAGTGGGAATAAAGATTTTTGAGAAATGGTTTGGGAGTTTTTGATTGGGGAAGAGGGATGACCTTGCCTTCAAAACAAAACAAAAGGAAACAATCGAAAAGACCGCCTCCTGCAGCCCCCCTACAAGAGAGAGGCTTCCCGCCCACCCACCCCCCCCTCCGCCCCCAAATACAGAATCCAAAGATCCAAATTTTTAGGGAAACTTGTCCGTGCCTGAAAACTTTGGATTCAAATCCCTCGACAATCTAAGAGTCAACAAATCCAAACTTTGCCAGAGGTTCTCCCAGGGTATGGGTTTGTATTTTCAGACTTGCCCTAGGAACGGCATAACAACCACCAATTTGGCCATAAGCAAAAATTTGGGCACTTTGCCAAATTTGTGCGTTTTTCTGGCTGAATTTGCGCTTTGCGCATGTTGAAAGATCACCCTTCTAGCCTTTAACGGTGATATGGGCTAGCAATACAGGGAACGCATCAGAACATGTATTGCGTAGCTTGTTTATTGGGGGTGGGGGGTGGGGGCGGGTGGGCGGGGGCTGACCGTGTGTACATGTACATGTGTGTATATATACATGTGCTGCATACTGTGCAAGAGTCAGCATCTATCACAAACATGCACTGCAATAGTTCATGCGGAGTATGTACTCGTTAACAGCAAGTATGTAGCAGTTAGCACTTCATAGTTTGTGCTTAATATATAAGACAATCTGCAAGTTGTATCTTTGCTTGTACTGCGCACACGCACAACACTACAAGGCATAAAGGGTGACGAAATGGAGATTTCTGTTTGATCGTCAGAAGGAAATCGAAGTATAGAGCGGTTTCTGTCTTAAGCATAGAGCAAAAAGGACATGTAATGATGAATTAAGAAGATAGATGAGTTTTTGTCAAGAAGAAAGGAATGGCGGTCGTCGAATGAAGTATAGAGGAACTGCCAGCTTCATATTCAAGTAAAGAGGATATAGAGATTTCTAAACGTATATAAGAATACGTTGAAATATGGAGAAATTTCGACACGGGCATGCGGAAGTGCCGAGAGCGTCGCCGTTCGCGCGGCGCCACTCAAAGCCGAAAGAAAAGAATACCCCATGAGAATAATGACAATCGCAAGAAAATTCGAGTTCAAACAATAACCATAATTCAATGGTAAGAATGTGAAATTCGAAAAATACCATTCAATTCCGCAGCCGATGAAAGCTGTGTTTTCGAGGCTTGGAGCTGCTGGGAGCGTGCATCTCCGCGTCGGAGTCTCAGTAGGCTGGGGTTCTATCGGTTCTTTCAGAGAATTCTGTGCTTGTTCCTCAGGCATCCATCCATCTTCAGGGCTGTACCTGCTTGCTTTGCTCTGCCTGGGCCCTTTTTCGGAAAGAGTGCTGCTTCACCTTGTTTCTTGGATGTGGCTGGGTGCCGCCAACAAGGTTGCGTCACAATGTTTGAACCTCAGAGCAATGCAGAGTTGACCAGTTTGCCCGTTCCAGACTCCTTAGGAGTTCTGCCCAAGGTTTGCGCAGCCCTTCTCAAGAACTTGCGCGGCTGCTTCGACTTCGCGATATTGCGCGGTGCCGAGCCAGTCCAGCCACTGACGTTTGCCGTAGCGGTTGCAATTCTCGTTGCTCTTGTAATCGGTAGGATCCGGAGCGTGCAGCTGCTGCAGCAGGAGCCGAGCTTGTGTCTTGAACACCCGGAGAATGAAAGCATATTATATCATATGCTGATGTGCCTATGCTTTCACATTCAGCATGCTACTTCAGAAGCGCGCTGAAGAGCGACATCCGTTTAATCAAGGGGGGACGAGAGCATGCACCCAACCTTGCTCCTGTGTGGGGTCCGGTATGCTGTGCCCGGCATTGGAATCGGTTTTCAACACGCGCTGTTTGCAGATCTTTCGTCCTGCGCTGGCTGCGGACATGCTGGCGGAGCTTCAGGTGGATTCCTTGGCTTGTCCCCTTTTGGCCACGATGCCGTCGCGATGTTTGCAGATCACCGTATCTGAGTCGAAGGTGTTTCTCCACCTCATGTTGGATTTAACCAATGCCGAGCGCTCCCTGTCCAATTCTTAACCGTGCTCAATCAACATTCAGCTGACCTGCAGCTTTGCATAGCTTTGCCGTTGATTCTTGTTGGCAGAGGTGGCAAAGGGCGACTTCACTGGAGTTCTTGAGATCCGTGTGCGAGGCCTGTCGTTTCAGATTTCGCTGCAAGGCGACCATAGTAGCCCATGGCTTGCCTCAATCCAAAAGGGCAGCCCTGATGCAATTGCTGTGTCGCAGAGTGAGTCGCGGATGGTCAAGCGCCCGCCCGGAGCCGCAATGGTTGCAGCAGGATCCGATGACTATTGCTGTCCTATACAGCCAGGACCTTGGCAAATTCAGTGGTGCTTTTGGGATTGTTGCGGCCTTGCTGAGGTAGTGAAGAAGCCAGCCCGGTTGGACGCAGCCCGTTGAATGAAGGCACCAGACAACTACATGCAGAGCCTGCGGAGACTGCAGAGCTTGAGCCTGCGTTGCACTTTCATCTGTGCATATCTCTCCGTCTTTTCGGTCCCACGTCTGCGACGCTGCGAAAGGCTCAGAAAAAGAGGAAGCACCCAGGCTCTTCCTGGAGTTGGTCAACGCTTTGCGTCTTGGCCGCACGGTTTTTCTTGCCCTCATCTCTGCACACGGTTTTCGGCAGCGGCGGTGTGATCCGTGATGCTCCGCATGCAGGTCAAAGCTGATGCACCAAGCGTTGCCCTCAGCTCGCGATGGTTGCGAGGGTTGCCAGCGGCAGTCGGTGACTGGGCCACTTGCAGCGACAATGCCTGTATGTAGCGAGCTTCCACATGTCGCGCGACGTGTCACGCGACTTGCGGCACGAGTCGAAAGAGTCTCCCCTAGGGCCGAGCTCAGACATGAACCCGATTCAGCGTCTAATGAATTGATTGCATCGTCTTTAGGAAGGCCATAGCAGCTGCAGCGAAGCAGTGGCAGAGTGCATCTGAAAGCCCCATTCTCAGGTTTGCTTCTCCTCTGGTGGCATGGACTCTGGTGCTGCCCCCGTGGTCGACTTCTCGAGAACTCCACTGTGTTGAAGCGGGGGATTGGGCTGAATTCCTGCGTAGCGTTGCGCTCGGTTTGCGATTAGCGGGCACCGGGTGCGAACTTAATTAGCTTAAGGCCGGCGTTTCCTCGGCTGCTCCTTCTCTTCGTCATGCAGGTGGGAATGATTGGGATGCCACGGGGCATTGTCATGCCTGTGTTGACCATCTGCCATGCCAGGTGAGGGTCGGTCAAGCCTGCAGAACGTCCCCCTGGCACAGTTGGCATCGGCCAATAAACAGCACAGAGAGTGCACGGCAGTTGCGCGATGAAGCTCGCTGCATGCTCCGACTCTTTACTGCTATTATACGCGCGCGCGCGCGCGCGCGCGCTCGCGGGTGTGTGTGTGTGTGTGTGTGTGTGTGTGTGTGTGTGTGTGTGTGTGTGTGTGTGTGTGTGTGTGTGTGTGTGTGTGTGTGTGTGTGTGTGTTTTGTCTGTGTGTGTGTGTTTTGTCTGTGTGTGTGTGTGTGTGTTTTGTCTGTGTGTGTGTGTGTTTTGTCTGTGTGTGGTGTGTGTGTGTGTGTGTGTCTGTGTGTGTGTGTGTGTGTGTGGTGTGTGTGTGTGTTGTGTGTGTGTGTGTGTGTGTGTGTTTTGTGTGTGTGTGTGTGTTTTGTGTGTGTGTGTGTGTGTGGTGTGTGTGTGTGTGTTTGTGTGTGTGTGGTGTGTGTGTGTGTGTGTGTGTGTGTGTTGTGTGTGTGTGTGTGTGTGTGCGTGTGTGTGCGTGTGTGTGTGTGTGTGTGTGTGTGTGTGTGTGTGTGTTGTGTTGTGTGTGTGTGTGTGTGTGTTTTGTGTGTGTGTGTGTGTGTGTGTGCGTGTGTGTGCGTGTGTGTGCGCGTGCGTGCGTGTGCGTGCGCGTGCGCGTGCGCGTGCGCGTGCGCGTGCGTGTGCGTGTGCGTGTGCGTGTGCGTGTGCGTGTGCGTGTGCGTGTGCGTGTGCGTGTGCGTGTGCGTGTGCGTGCGTGTGTAAAGGGTTGCCAGCAGTCGAAAAGAAGCAGCCGCATTTCGGCATACTGCACGCACAGAACCTCTTGACAAAGGTGGGAAGGGGTCGAGGATGTTTGTTTTCCTGAAACAATGAAGTTGAAGAGGGACTACAATCAAGCCTGAAAGCAGGATTGACGTGCCTGCTGATTTCATGGTGATCTTTTTAGGTCTTGTGCACTGTCTTTGTTTGGCAACGGAACGAAATGAATGCTGACGTAGAGTTTTCATGCTGAACTCCTGAGAGAAGTGCGTGGACGTTGGAGCTTCCCCAGGAGAAGGTTGATGCTGCGTGCTATATCCAGAAGAGTCGGTTCATGCTTATTTCCTGGAGAGTGTCGTCTGGTGTGTCACCTTCTCGTTGATGCGTCGATAAACCGGGCTTCAGACCCATGATGAGACAGGACTCAAGTTCAGGAATCTTCCGCTCCCGAAGCCTCCCTTGACTTTTCTGTAGCTGCACCGATGAGCTTGACTGCTCATTTTTCCTCGACACAAAGTGACTCTCGCTAGCTGGGATTTCTTTGCCAGGGGCAGCATCAATCACAACATCGCTGATGCCCTCAGCAAATTTATCAACAACATCTACGATTTTGGCAAGGCTCATCATGGAGCAGAGCAGAACATTGCGGATGCTCTTGGAGAGCAACTACTCTGTGGGTTCAATGCTGCGAAACCGATGAGCAATGGAAAGTGACGGGGTTCTTTCAGATCAGACTCCCAAACTCCACAGCGATTCTACAACTTCCACGTGTTCTGGGATGCCTATGAAACCTGGGGAAACCAAATGGGGGGCATCTATTAGAATGCTCGCGAATGCTACACCTCGAACCACTGAGTCGCGCAGCTCAGTCCAGGCTTGCGGGTCGAAATGCTAATCTCGTGCCTGATTGTATCGTCAGCCCTTTGGACCTTGCTCTGGTTCAAGTGCTTGACTCCAACCAGCGCGTTCTTGGGGAACAAGCGAAGCTGCAGTCAATGACGCGGCAGGGCGAACACCGCCTCAAACAGAACCCTTCCGACTTACCGTTCGGAGTGATTCCCCTTCTGAAGATCTCAATGAGGGTTGGCCACGCTTGCCGAGCAACAAAGAGCTGCAGATTTAGAGCTGAGCTTCGCAGCAACTTTGCACTGTCTTTGGTAAAAGTGACAGCGGAGTGGAACTGGTGGGGTTTCATGCTGGTCTTTTGAGAGAATTGTTGACATACTATACCCAGATGAATCGCTTCATGCTTCCCCTCAAAAAGGTGGTTCATCTGTGTGCGAGTGTGTGTGTGTGAGTGTGTGAGTGTGTACGTGTGTACGTGTGTCTTGGAAAGTGTCTTAGACTCATCGACGGCTTGGTAAAAAGAACTGTTTAAAAATTTTGCCATGTAAACACCTATGTACTCGACAACTCTCTGCGGCACTTTGAAACTACGACTGAGTCTGGAAATTTAATCCATGTCTCGTACGGTCATCGCACCAGGCCAACCTGTTGGACCGTTCTGGGCTGAGGAAGTGAGACACGCAATGAGACATGAGACGTTGCAATGTATTAACCTGCCATAGCAGATTTCCGAAATGCTCTCTCACACCCGGCAACCCCATCTTCCTTTCCCAGAACCTCTGAGGCGCCAGTTCTGATGGCCACCACCTTAGCAACCTTAGCATTGCATGCACACAGAGGGCTATGCGACTGTCTTTCTCGTGAGCACTCCGCAGTCGTATCGATGCCATGTGCCATAGACATTGCATGGTCTAGCCGAAGGCTCTGCAGCTCGAACGCCGCCTCGCGCGCTGGCCTGAGGATGAAGTGGAAGTATCCTTTCCCACGACTAACCCCCTTGAACCCCAAACACCCCGAATCCAAGAAGTTATTCTCCCAATTCCAGATGTCTATATCGAAAGAGGGCAAGGGACATGTGCTGCTTCGTGGCTCGAAGCTTGCCTGCGCCAGGTGAAGCTCTTGCTGTTGATGAACGAGACGGAGCCACCACCCATTCAGCCTGCATTCTTGGTCTCGCTTGTGGTGGAGCCTTGGAATAAACAGGCACCTTAGGGCCAAGGGAGGCTTGATGAGGCTTGGGTTTGTTTGGCAGATGTGGGGAATGAAAGGATGCAGCCACTTCAACGACAGTTCTCACACTTTGAACGGTCACAAAAAGGCGGCGAACCGCCTTAAAGGGCCTGAACTCTGGGCCGAGGCCTCGAAAGCTTGGTAAAGGTTGCTGGTTGACCTTGGTTAGGGATGTGAAATGAGCCTCGGCCAGAGCTGTTCTAAGACCGGATTCCTCTCGCTGGTTGATCATGAACCCTTGCGTGCCTGCGGGTGCAGGCACGCAGTTTATGCCTGTACCTACACCAAGGCGACAGGTCAACTTATGCAGAGGCGTCGAGCTACAGATTCGAATGACGGCGCTACACAGTAGTCGTACAGAAACTCGTATGTAAGTAAGGGCATTGTGGGGCGTTCTGCAGTTCAGAAGAATGGGCAACATACGACAACTTACGTTAGTGCGGCAGGCTTTCGTTCTGACAAACTGAGGCAAGGTGTTATGAATGGAGGCCGGGTTAAACATCAATGAGCCGAGCTTAAACAGCACAAACTGTTGCCAAGCTGAGGAATGTGTGTTTGCTGTGGCCGGGAGCTGAAATCAGCTTGTATCAGACTCATGGAGACTCCAAAGCACCTGTGCCCGGATGCAGATGTTCAGAAGCACATGTCCGGGCTGTCCAGAGGGCAGCCGACAACATGAGGTCTCCTCCATGTATCGCTTACTTCTGGAAAGTGAGGAGGCTGCCGAGATTTTGTGGACAGCGAGCTGGGATATTGATCCGGGAGCTGACATGCACCTGTCAACAGGACGATGCACTGGAGGACGCTGCTGGGGCCCTGTGCTTAGAGAGGAACTCGGAAGCAAGAGGTGCATGAACTGGTGACAAGTTTGCCGCAAGCCCTTCTGCTCGATTGCCCAGCGCTGCCACATCTGCGGATGGGAGGCTGGACGGTTAGATTCAGCTTCAATCAAAATCACTATGCACGAAGTCCAGCTCAGAACAACAACTGCCTTCAGACAAAGCAAAGTAGAACAGCTCCAGGAATAGAGGGGTTTTGCTCGAGCCCCCTCCTGTCATGCTGGCGCCGGCTGCTGGAGAGAGCTGCAGGCTACTTTGCCGATGTGAGCTGACACATTGTCTTGCAGGTGGGTAGATCACTATGCAAAACGTCTCACAGTTTCTCCGTGGATGCACACGTTCAGGACCCAGGTTCTTTCATGAAACAGTTCTGCACCTGTCGCAGAGCTCCTCACGAAACAGGGCTGCGGCAGCCTTCATTTCTGCATCTTCCAGTTACCGGTCAGCGTACGCCTCCTTAACCCGAAAGGCCCTTGAGCGACGACGAAACCCCAAAAACCCCGGCTAGTGAGTGAGAGTCGAAAATCCAGAATTGATGAGATTCGCTCGCGGGGTTGCACGGTTCCGTAAAGACATGAGGAATCGAATCGATGCAATAGGGGGCGGAGTTTTCATGCGGTTCAATTCGGTTCGTGCAGGCACCTCCACGAAAGAAGTAGCGAGGTTCGGGCTTGGGACCACTCCAAATCACGAGGTTCGGGGGAATAGATTTTTTAGGCACTTTCAGGGCTGGAACCTCAGCGATTGCCCGGTGGGCGGGCCCGGGCTACGGCAAATACGCAGGGAAAACAGAGAAATTCGACTTCGGAGGCAAACCTTAAGCGGCTCCTTGATCGGCACCGGCACGGGGCGACTAGGCTTCCATGTCCAGCGTGATCCACCGAGTGTAGTTTAGGGATTCCAGAGTTAAGGGATTTTTGGGGTTTGGGGATTTTCAGGAAGTCGGCTTAAATCGAACTGTATGGAAACGAACCGCAAGGAACCTCAAAAAAGAACAAATGAACCGAATCGAGCCGTAATGCCAGGAACTTTCAATAAACGACACGGATCGACTTGTGGAACTGCAAATGCTGGATAAAGCAGTTTAGAGCGTTTTAGAGTGTAATTGCAGGCCTCAAAGTGCCTATAAAAGGATTACCCCGTGTGCTGGCGGAGTTCAAGACCTGCAGTAGGCCATAGTTCCTCATAGTCATGCAGTTGAGGCGATCTGGCCCGGTTGCAGCCGGGTTGCAGCCTCGCTCCGGCAGCTTCAGCCGCACAGGCGTGCCTATAAGTTGGACTCCTTGCGCGAAGCTCAGGACACAGTGAGCCTTCGCTACACACTGCTTTGTGCAAAGTTCACCGGCAATCGCCTTGAAGCGTGAATGAAAAACTGCAGCCAAAGGATGCCCAAGGTTCAGGCAAAAGATGCGGTAGGACCCAGCAATGGTATAGACAGTCAAAGGCTCACCCATTGCAGAAATTCAGTGGTCAAAAGCCGCCTAAGTCGCGATCACTGCACCTCACAGACGTGAGGGCAAGACATGTGCCTACGGACCTCGAGCATCTTGATGCTATCCATCCTGCTGCCGTGTTGCAGCCCAGTTTGGGGGGAGGTTGACTGGGCAGCTCTGCTGGACAACATGGACCTGAGCAGAGACGGAACCATACACTGGCATGAAGTCAAGCATAGCATGGGCTTCAAGGGCTTACCCAAAGACGTGCGGAAGGGTTTCAAAGAGGCCTTTAATGCTGCAGACATCAACAATGACCATGTGCTCGCTCTGGAGGAGTTCAAGGCGTTTTATGCAAGAACCGAAATGATTGTGCAGGACAGGGATCGCCAGTTGGTTGAGCAGGCTCGCCAGCGCTTGCAAGAAAGGAAAGCGGCACCTCTCGAAGGAAGCGTTAAGTCAGAGCTGTAAGTGCAGGTTGGGCCCCCAGCCAGCAGCGACGCGGTTTGGTTTCCCTGCCGATGTTGCCGGCCCTGCTGGCCTTGCCTGAAGAGCATGAAGCATGAGCCAGATTTGATCGAAACCGGCGAGGCGGATGCGCAAAGAATGCGCTAGGAGTACGATGTGCTGTGTGCTGCTCGAAGAATCTGTCTTCACCGATCTTTGCGAGTGGAGCTTAAGAGCACGGTCACCAAGGCCAAGCTGAACACACACCGCACGCTCGCATGAACAGAAAACAACCTTGACTCATCTTTGACTCATCTTTGACTCATCTTTGACTCATCTTTGACTCATCTTTGACTCATCTTGACCCAACCTCCAAGCATCGCACGCTTGAAAGCCTAAGGCCATCGCAGAAGCTGCTAGCCTTGGCCAAGGCAGCGCGCCAGAAATGAAGCTCTGTACATACTCGAAAGATCTGGGAAGTCTGGACATAGAGGCAGCTAGAGCCATGTAGTTGTCTAGCATCATCACAGAGTCAGTATGGTATGGCTTGGAGTATGGCGCTCTGTCGCACATGTCGTCTGCACAGCACAAGGAATTGCGGAGTAGGGTGGCTGAATTAGCGCGGCACATGATAGTCTCCGGGCAACAGCATCTCGCACGGCGATTCGCTGAAAAAAGGAAGCTCAGAAAGAATGGGTCGAAAAGTGACTCTGGCTCTGCGGCGCAATGTGTTGCGTCCTTTCGCAGCTGTTGCTGTGCTGTTGCTGGCGTCGTCAGAGCCTCAGGAAACACCAGTTGAGCAGCGGATGGTGCGCGCAGGGGCCCAAGAAAGTGGCACTTGCAGGATCAAGCAACGGAGCTTGGAGCTGCCTTGCCTGTGAGAGAGAGAGAGAGAGAGAGAGAGAGAGAGGATCAAGCAACTGCACTTTGGATGCATTGCAGCATTTCCGGTCAGAGGGCTCTCAAAGGGTTTTCCAGGCGACGAGTACGCCGGATGGGCGCGCAGCTGAGACGTACAACGACAGCAGAGTCCGGTCGCGAAAGCTTCCTTACTTCTGCTTTCACGATAGTCTGTGGTGATCTTCGCCATGTGTTTTTGCATGGGGGGTGGGCTCTACCATCATTTACTATGGGATTTGCGCTAGCCACCGTGGGCCCTCCGTTACAGCTCCGTTACAGCACCTGCTACAGTTCCGTTACAGCTCTGTTGCATCTCCGTTACAGCTTCCACTAGAGCTCCGTTGCACCTCCGTTACACCTCCATTACAGCTTCCGTTACAGTTCCGTTGCAGCTCCGTTACAGCTCCGATGCACCTCCGTTACAGCTCCCTTGCACCTCCTTTACAGCTCCTTTACAACTTCCGTTACGGCTCCGTTACAGATCTGTTGCACCTCCGTTACAGCTCCGTTACAGCTTCCGTTACAGCTCTGTTACAGCTGCATTACAGCTCAGATATACAGCTCCGTTACAACTCCGTTGCACCTCCATTACAGCTCCGCTACAGCTCCCGTTACAGCTCAGTTGTACAGCTCCGTTACAGTTCCGTTACAGGTCCGTTACAGGTCCGTTATCAAGCTGCTGCTTCTGCTACGGCTCCGTTACAGCATCGCTACAGCCAGTAGCGCTCCGTTGCAGCCTTCCGATACGGCTCCGTTACAGCTCCGCGTCAAATCCGTTACAGCTCCGCTCCTTTCCGTGACAGTTTCCGTTACAAGCCCCGTTACCGGCGAGCATATCTGTCATAGTAGAGGCCTGCAAATGATGGTATAGAGCCCCGCCCCAATTTTTGCACCATCGCATCTGTCGCCAATGGCTGGGCACCACGGGGCACGCAGGCCTTTCCCTGGCGGGCGTCTCTCACCTCTCAGCCAGTTGACCCCAGACCAGGCCGTCCTTTGCTTCTGACAACCCATGTCTGCCATAACGGTGACGGACAGGAACGTTGCAGAGGCATGCTGACAGACAGTTGGGCGTGAGCCTGTCACGCTTGAAACATCTTGCAAGCGACATGTTGCAACCGGCTTTCTGATGTCTGATGGGTGACCAATCAGCATGTTGCTTTCTGTTGCTTTTGAATCTGACAGGCATGTAGCTGCTGTGTAAGGATCCGAACTCGCACCTGAAGCATGTTTCAGAATAATCAGACCAGAGTCACCAACGCATAGCGAGAGTCACACCCGGTTAATGAACGTGGCACCTACGCAGCGCAGGATGCTGGCTGCTGTAGGTGACGAGAGGTGACAAACACAGCAGCAGCTATGTCACTCATGAGGTGACCAAGGTCAGTCAGCAACATGCTGGCAACTGGGCATTGTAAAGATGTGGAAGGGAGGGTGCCGTGCGGGTCCTTTCTTGTGTTTCTTTCGGTGCTCTCGCGCCTTGTGTGTGTGTGTGTGTGTGTTTCTGTCTGTCTCTGTCGCTCTGTCGCTCTGTCGCTCTGTCGCTCTGTCGCTCTGTCGCTCTGTCGCTCTGTCGCTCTGTCGCTCTGTGTGTGTGTGTGTGTGTGTGTGTGTGTGTGTGTGTGTGTGTGTGTGTGTGTGTGTGTGTGTGTGTGTGTGTGTGTGTGTGTGTGTGTGTCGCACGTGGTGTATGGTGTGTCTGTGTGTGTATGGTGTGTATGTGTGTGTTCGTGGTGTCTGTGCGTGTCTGGGGTGTCGTGTGTGTGTGTGTGTGTGTGTGTCTGTGGGTGTCTGTGTGTGTGTGTCTGTGTGTCTGTGTGTCTGTGTGTCTGTGTGTCTGTGTGTGTGTGTGTGTGTGTGTGTGTGTGTGTGTGTGTGTGTGTCTGTGTGTGTCTGTGTGTGTCTGTGTGTGTCTGTGTGTGTCTGTGTGTGTCTGTGTGTGTCTGTGTGTCTGTCACTTCTCCTGGTGAAGTTTGGGGCGGCCTTTCAGAGCCCTGTACACCGTAGCAGGCTCTATAGCGAATAGTCACTGAGTAGTCCCAATGCTGTTCCAGGTCAATCCTTTCTGCCTTGTCGTTGCTGCTGCACGGGCTTCCGCCTCAGATTTTGCCTCTGCGCGGGCATCTTATGACAGCCTTCGTGTTCACGTGGGTGCGTCAGAGTGCCCCCACACAGGACGCAGGACACAGTGGCAGTGCAACAGGCTCGGGGGGGGGGGGGGGGGGGGGGGCGGGGGGAGAAGTGCAAAACAATGGGGGTTGTTTTTCGGGGGGCCACACATGCCTCCTGGATCCTCGGAGGCGCTCCGCTGCCTCCAAACTTTGCTGTACTGCTGCAGCAGGTGCAACAATGGAGCGTGTTGAGTTGGAGTGTCAGAGTGGAAGAGGGGGACTCTGAGATCATTAGTTGGCTCTGTGTCTTAGGTTGTCGTTGGATCAAGCTCGCGATGCCCAGAACTCGACGACATGGCATTCCGTTTTTTGAATGTCCGTGGTGAGTTGCAGAGGCATGCCTCCTGCAGTCCGACACCAAGTGCTTCAGCAAGTGCAGTCAATGTTTCTCGCATATTGCTCCAGACTGCTGGGGTAAACATTGTTCAAGCCTGGGGGGGGGGGAGCTTTCCGTAACTTGCTCTAAAGTCTACATCATGGCACCTCCTTTGGCGCTGCGGAAAAAGCACTGTGCGAGGCGACACAGCTGCAATCAAGTGCAAAGGACGACGTGGGAAATATGACGGGGACTTGGGTGACCACTGACAAGGACACCAACAGCGCGAATCTGAGAATGTGGAAGCCGACTTGGCGAAGGACGAATCGGCCAATGCCATGGCAACTGACAAGACACCCTGAGCAGGTACACCCGATTATTGGGGGGAGCAGCTCAAAAGGGCAGCCAGAACCACTTGCAGAATCCACTGCATTAAAGGCCACCGCTCACATTCGCTATGCAGGCAGGTGAAACTCCAAATCGTACAACAGCCCAGCTTAAAAGAAAAGAACGGATGTCAAGCATGAGGCCTGAAGGAAGTTCCTTGCGCGCAAATTTCGACAACCTCGGAAAACTTCCAGCATGCTCTAGCCGAAATTCCGAAGTATCCGACTCATCCCACATCCTCAATGACCACAACAGTGCAAGCGAGAGCGCAGCCCCTGAAAGTCTCAGCGCCGAGCAAACAGAGTTCAGGGAGAAAGCCTCGCCAATAACGTCGCACGCGATCACATAAAATATCCAAAGAGATTTATAGCGAAGAACGTGGCAAAAGATAAGAAGAACCGAATTATGAGCGAAGCGGAGCTTGCGGTCCAGGTTCTCGCGCTATGCATGGCCCTGTCACACCCGCGAGGCATGGGGTTGGAACAAGCGCATGGCCTTCGACCAGACTCTCACAGCATGCAGTGATATGCAGTGGCAAAACACTGCAAGATCAATTTGCCATGTGCCAATCATGCAGCAAGGTGTCTTAGACTGAAGATTTAAGATGACGCTGGAACAGCAGGGGCTTTGAACCCATGGTCTCTCCTATGGACAGGGTGATGCAGAGCTGCCTATGAATGCTGCAGCCAGCCTATTCCTCAGAGATCGAGAAAAGCACGCCTTGAGCAAAAATGGTCCTCGTCAAGGTCACTGTGTGTGTTTTTTTTCGGAAGAAGCCTAGGCTCTGTCAGTGGTCAAGCTGCCTTGCCCACGGCAAAAAACTTGCTGTGTTTCAAGGCTCTGACACGGTTGCTTTCTGGGGTCCGATTTCTTGTCGCCAAGTGTCGGCATGCCGTAGGCACTGGTCCACTTCTGCTACCGCTTCGGTGGCTTGTGGGAACCCCGCTTCGGCTATAATGGGCACTGTAACGAAGCAAGTCGAAACATCTCCCGAGGTTGGGAGAGCCTGGTTGGACCATTGCCTTGCGAGTCCACACCTCACACATGTGTGCGCCTTGGGAGATGTGCCGCCCTGGTATTCGCATGTGGGAGAGGCCTTCCAATGCCTGGAACGCACTATGCAGAAGGCAGCGATGCAGTCGGGAGATTCCATGAGGTGTCAAAACTTAGTAAACATGTGGCAAAAGTGTGACAAAAAGTATGTGTGTGTGGTAGGCAGCTCCGGTGCCCGGCTCGGACCTTTCTTCCCTGCGGCAGGCTCCGGACATGCTTGGTGTGTTTGATTCGCAGAGTAGGGCCCCATTGCATCACTGACATGTGTGCCCCCCACCCCCCACAGACACGAAATGTACTTGTGTCACACATTTGGGTTTCGTGTCGGAGCAATGGGATTTGGCAGCATAAGCGGCTCGAAAATCATTCCATCATGTCATGCCCTAGGCTGACATGTTTATGCAGACTTCATCAGCCAGAGCCAGTTGTCGACACTCACTTGCCTTTGGGGAAAAACTTCCAGCTGGATCTGTGCTTCCATAGCATTGCAACCTCCAGCGCCAGGGCAGATGTCCTTGAATCCTTTGGCAATGGATCCTGATGATTTCAGGGCAACCGTTGGACATGGAGCTGCATGCTCGATTGATGCAGGCGCTGTTCCGTTTGCGCAACGTGCCGTCCATGGCATGACAGCAACACGATGTTGGTCTCTGCAACGCTGTGCCTCAGTCCGATGAGCGGCTGAGCCAAGGCTCAGCAGACCTCCAGAGCTCTGAGGAGCCCTGAGCTCGCTCCCTCTATTTGCGCAGTGGCGGAGCAGCACCTCGGCAAAGAGACTTGTGGCTCTGCATTGCTGTGCGCTGACACATGTTTCATCATTGAGTCATTTTGTATCTATCTATCTGTGAGTGCTGCGCCGCTGCTGCTGGTTCTGCTGCTAGTGCTGCTGCTGGGGGCTGGTGGACTCAGGTTTTAGGCTGGGGGGGGGGGGCAAACTCGACTAGTCACTAGTCCTAATGGCTTTGTCGCCCGGGCTGCTGGTTTCCACAACCTTCCATATTGCGTACGAAAAGTCGCAAGCTGTCTCAAGCATTCGCCGCCCTGAGTCCATGCATCAGGGCTTCTAACTAAGGTGGTGGTTGGAGTTGCTGGTTTGGAGGGTTTGGTTGCCTTTAGGGTTCAAGTTCCAAGCACGAAACCGGAAGCAGCAAGAAGGTTTTACGGCGATTGTGGCGTGAAGTTTCGCTTAGGCCATTTCGTTTTCTGATTTCGTCTGCCTCTTTTCCCCTTGATTATCAGCTCACGTTGTGTGTGTGTGTTGTTCATGGGTTTTTTTGAACTCTTCGGTTTTCGATGCCGCCGTTTGCTTCATGATGTTTGCCGCTGTTGCTTGCTGGAAGTATAGTCGAGCCAACCTGCATGGGTTCTTAAGGTTTTGAGTTTGCTGCTTGGGACCGCGTAGGCCATAATCTACGCATTACTTGCAAGACCTCGCGCACTTCCCGTTCTGTTCAAGCCTTACTTGGCATGTATTCAAGCATGCCCACGTAGAAGGTCACAAGAATGCTGCCAACCCAAACCATGAAAAAGAAAGCGGAGGAGCTCTACTCAGTTTGATAAAATTGCCGCCTGCGTTTGAGAAGGCATTTCGCACGGCCAAATTCACGGGTGATTCGGGCATGAAGTGTTATTGTCTGAACCTTGGAAAGGCCGAATCACAAGGAGATTGTAGATTCGGGGATGGATCTGATGGTCACCTTCATTGAGCTTCGAAGAACATGGCGCTTCGTGTTTCGTGTGCCAAATCGTATTGGAAGCCTGGCTCCATGTAGAGGCCAGTAGTCGCTCATCGCAGGTCTCGCTGTGTAGGACGCCAACGTGCCCTGGGTTGGAATGGAGCAAAGGTTCGTAACGGCTGGGGTGAACAAGCTAGAGCATCCTCCACCTGCCCCTCGAACATGGCAGCAACCTGGTGCTCAGCCGGTGCACGGATTGCTCTGCTGGACTCTGACAGGTTTGTGAGCTTCTTTTCATGAGGCGGCATTTGGCTCAACCTTAGCACTGCGCTTGTGCAGGATCAACTTTGCTTTTTGGAATGCTTTAATTTTCGCAGGGCGAGGTCAGGTTAACATTCGTGGGTTGGGCATTTTCATAGTATGAACTTCGGTACGCATGTCCTGAAGCGAGGAAGTTGTTTCATGATTGCTGACAGAGTGACATGGCAACCGCATGATGGCTGAGGGCAGGTTTTTCGGCGCTGATCAATTTAACCCGCGGCTCATCACTACCCAGATCATAGTCATGCAGAGCTCTTTCTGGTTTTGCCTTGGTGCAGCTGTGGCTTTTGCAGATTGGCTCCTCAGTGAAGAACAGAGTGCAGCCCAGCTTTTCCAACCTGAAGCGTACACGTGGAACACGAGGAGAGGATTGATTCTGGCTCTGGCTTTGTGGTTCACTTCTCTGGTAATGGCTGTTGAGCTGCGCTTCGTTGTCCAGCGGGCTAAAAAGTGCTTGGATTTTGTGACAACGTACCACTTGTTTCACTTATTGGCGACATTCCTGGCCGAAGGCTTCCCTGCAAACATGGAATGGTGGATCATCCAGCTGCCGGCTCTTTTCGTTGCAGTTCTGCTGGGGGAGTACTTGTGCATGCAAGCTGAAACACAGGATATTAAGCTTTACAAGAAGCCGAAGGTGTCCAGACCAAGCTTCGACGAGATTTAGGAATGGCCCCGTGTAAAGAGAGCGGGGCAAGCGGTTCGAGGCAAAGAGTTCGGAGAAAAGGAACAAAAAGGGTGTCTGAGACACGTTCTGTTGGACACTTTGTCAGGAGAGAGTGCCGCAACTGCCCTGCACTTTCGCTTCTGCAAGTGCAAAGCAAAGAAACCAAGGAAGGGTTGTCGGCATTTGGGTGCCATGGTTTTCCGCTTTCTGCGCCTTGGCAATTTCTCACATCCCTTGCCATTGTGTTGCCGCTGTGTTACAATTGAAGTGGTGGCGAGACAGGCAAGAATCAAGTTTTCAGCTTGAATGTATTAAATGTAACGCCGATCCAACAAGAGAAAGAGGTTTACCTGCGTTCCCGGCTGCTAGCGCGAGACCCCTGAAGATCCGACAATGCAACCGCGGTGTAAGGAAGAGCAACAGTGATGAAACATCTCCGACAAATTAAGGTTCAGAGACCACACGATGTCCTTCCAGTAGAAGCGATGACACGGGAGAACCGGCTTCAATATTAGGATCCGGCGCGGGGGCATCTTCAACATTAAGATAAGCTGAAGTGGGATTTTCTCGCGAAAGTCAAGCCAGTAAGTATGTCCTACAATGAAGTTCTCTTTAAAGCCGCTCGGCTATTAAAGAGATCAAGCGCCAGAAGAACCCAAAACCTACGTCGACAACCTGAAAAGTCCCGACGCATCGATGGTTTCAATGCGGACCGCAACATTGCAGCAAACTCAAGCAGACCAAGGACATCAACTCACCAAAAGCGCATCCGAGCGCTTTGTTGAGAGCCTTGGTTGCTTTGCTGCCTATGAATCAGATGCCATACGAGCCCACTCTGATGCCGAGGAGGGGCACACACGGAATATCGCGGCATCAGCGGTTCAGCAGGAGGCAGCTCCAGGAGCTTCTGGCTGAAGGCCCTGACCATCCTTGGCACGCCTGTGATCTTGTACACCCGCTTAGGTGAATTTTGACGTCTTGATTCTTGAAGTATCTCCCAAGCCATTGGGCCATGTGTGGTGTAGTGAGCTTCATCTGGTGACTGTAATGTCCTACTCGTGGCTCATAGCTGTGCGCGATGACACGGCGGTGCAATGGCCTATTCACCTGCAGCCCCAAAGCTGCTTGGATTTCAAGTGGCAGCATGAGGACTCGCCCCAGAGAGTTCCCAGAATCAACCGCGTCTCAGCGTCTCTGCACAAGCCATCAGGCCAGTGCCGGATATCCTCGCTGGTCTCTACCGCGCTTCGCTTGAAGCTCCAGAGGCTTTCAAGGCTGAGTATGAGGCAACCACCTCACGCGTCCTGTCAATTCTCGAGAGCGGCTTGGACACTGAATGATTTGCCGGTGTTTGGCTCGTGACTGCACACATTCGGTGTCCTCGTTCTCACATACAGCGACCAGAGCTCCTAGCAGCTCCCCAGTCCATGCAATGCAGCTTGTGCAGCGTACCTTTTTCCATCCATAGCTGCGCTGGCTGCTGGTGTTGTGTCGACCCACGCAAGCTCACAGCTTCGCAGTCGCCTGCATGAACCCACTGCGTCAAAGTTCCCTTAGATCAACCTACATTACCTACATCCTAGGCCAGAGAAAAGGGCGATGCTCGACTACTGATACCGTATGGCTGCTACACCCATCAAAGCCCGCCTTGGCACGGCCTGTCAGCTTTTCTTAGCTAGCTATGCCTTGCATGGGCAAGCCAAACCCAGCAGCTTGAAATCAGCAGTCGCTAACCTGAAGCAAACCAAGGTTCTGCTAATCCCCCATCCGCCCCCGTGCTCTTTGCTTTCTAGAAGCGGTCGACTGCATTTGAACCCGACAGTGTCGCCTGCCTGCTGCCTGTGGAATCTGTCGGCCGCACAAATTGCGCAAAGCTCGTCCGCACCGCTTCCCTTGCAATGAGGCTGGCTCAAGAGGCTCGACTGCGAGGTTTTTGTGGGCCACCGTGAGGTTGCAGAGTACTCATAGCATTCATGACAAAAATGCCTGTGCTGGGTGCGTCAATACTTGTGGGCGCATCTGGGTGCCATAGCGGAGTTAAATGACAAGCCCACTTGCCCAACGGAAAGGCTTCCCTACATGAAAGCAAGCCTGGTTGTCTTCCGCTGTCTTTACAGTGGTGTACCGTCCTGCCGTCCTCGCAGAGAGGCAGCATGAAGGCAATGACGGCACCAAACAGGACCAAGCGAGGCGTTGTTGATGATTGTTGCCAGGCCAGTACCAAGGCAACAGCAATACAGTAGCGAAACAAGTCCAGTGAGGCAGACCTGGTTGCTTTCGTCTCGAGCCTGCTGTCCGAGAGAGCAAGCTAAAACTCGCACGGAGACAGGAAGCTTGAACCATGCACGCGCTCATGTGGAAGGTCAGCTTACTTGAATGCAACAGATGCGCAGAGTGAGGAATTGCAAATATGAGTCCGTGTTGAAATCCAAGGTTTCCCGCTGAGACGTGAGGAGCTCGAGACGAGCCAGGGCGAAAATGCCCTACACTTTGCTGCTGGCTGTGGCAGCCTTGAGGTCCGCTGCCAGCAGCATGCGGTGTTCCCGTGCATGCGTGGGAGAGCACGGCCGTGCACGGTTGAAGGTGTGCCATGCGCTGCTGGACCGCCATCCAGACCTGATCCTTCAGGAGATGTTTGCTTGGATGGGCTTGTGCTGGCATATTGCGCGAAGAGCTTCCGGTGCGAAGAGATTCCGTGCTCTTTTGAATTGCATGGGCAGGAGGATGCCAACGGCCACACGCCGCTGTTCTGGGCCGTGCGCCATGGATTAGCCGGCGCAACGCAACTGCTGATAAGGACAGGGTGGCCATCGAAGGGCTCACGAAAGTTGCCCTTCCAGTCCGTGCAGAAAAAGCCGATCTTGAACTGTATACTTTCTTGCGCTAGCTAGTGTCCTGCAGGAAGGGTGCTGCGTCTTGGCACACTGACAAGCGTGGGCTCACTGCCCTGCACTGGGCAGCTGCGCTGGGCTTTGCAAGGACTGAACTTGACAGAAAAACTTGTGCTTGTTTATCATTATCATGGTTGCTACGTTTGTCATGTTGGAGCATCTTGTTGGTGTACCTTCACTTCTTGTACTTGTTATGCGTCGTGCTATTCATCTGTTTGCTGCTGCTGCTGCTGCTGCTGCTGCTGCTGCTGCTGCTGCTGCTGCTGCTGCTGCTGCTGCTGCTGCTGCTGCTGCTGGTCGTCGTTGTCGTCGTGCTTCCCAAGGGCAACAAGTGTAGCAGTGTAGCATGCCAGAAGTTCAGCCTAAACAGCGGGCATGAGAAGCCATCAGAGAACCCATGCTCACGAAGACCTTTCGGAGTGGCTGGTGGAGTTAGTAGTACGGAACGCCCAACTGACGTACCTGCATCTTCTTACAGTTTCATTTTAATTTGCGAACGCAATTGAATTAGTCTGCTGTGCACCAAATGTGCTGTACTGTATTGGGCATTCAAAACATGCATGGCGCATGTCACCCCAAAGCAATCGTTCAAACAAGATTGTTGTCGCCACCTGACAACGATGGGGCAAAAATAATCATGAGACTTCACTAGACCACTTGATCGACCTCATGGGGCATGGGGGCCCTCAGAAAGCCCATGACCTCTCTGAGTGGCTGGTGAGACGAGTTGGGAACACGCCTGCATGTTATATCATCTTGTTAAGCATTCATCGTGTGCGCTGTTTAGGCTGCTGCACTGCTTTTGCTCGTACTGCATCTAACAAACCAAATCATACCTCAAAAAACAAAGATTTCAAATGTCATCGTCATCCCAAGTACAACAAAAGACAAAGGTGAGACTTTGCTGTGGGCCGTCGACTCTGAGGTATTTGTGTTGTCTGTTGTGTTGTGTTGGTTCTCTGCTGTTTGGTGTTTTTTCTCGTTGTCGAGGCATCGTTGTTGTTACTGTTGATATCAACGTGTTTTCGCAGGATGTCAAGCACCCAACACTCAACTACAGTCTCCCAGGGCTTCTGTGCAGGCTCTGCGGCATGCTGCTTGCTGTTCCGACAGCTGCAGCTCTCAAGAATCAGCGGTGCGGCAGGGGATGGACGCCACTACATTCCTCTTCGTATGGTCCGCCATTGCGAAAGTTGTATAAACTCGTTCATCGATTCAGCAGTTGCGACCTATGTTGTCTGAGCAGTGAATTGCCACAGGTGGCTCAGCCAAGTGCTGTGCGACGCTCCTCGAGGCCAAAGCAGAGGTCGGTCTCCGTACTCCGCAGGAGAACAGATGCACCACTTCTGGAGATTCTAGAGGACCGGGAATGTTTCGCTCAGCCCAGCTTGTCGAAGAAGGAGTGGACGGCGCTGCACGCGGCGGCCGTGAAAGGCCACACTGAAGTCTCTCGCTGCAAAGATAGTTCGAGCTCGGTTGCTCTGCCAAAGTGCTGTGCCACCTTCTTATGGCCATGCGTCATGTGTTGCAAGGTGCTCCAGACTTTGCTTCCTCATTGTTCCACCGAAGTGATCCTAGCGCTTGATCGCCATGGGTGCAGCGCCAGGGACCTTGCGAAGGATCTCACTTGATATGCAGTATCATTCCCTTGACCAAATGATACCGGCACAATGCAAATATGTATCGAGCCGCACCCCGAGCCAAGCTGGAGGGGATAAGAAAGATTGCCACCGCAGGAGGCTGGGCATGAGGAGGCGGCAGAGGTCCTGCTTCAACCTGAGGACACTCACCGTATCCGACTTGTACGGTTGCCTTGTAAAGCTTAACGTCATCTATTTGTTTCTATGAATTTCCTTTGGGTCTGTGAGGAGGTCGATCGGCACCTGGCGCGCTCATGCCACTGCTGTGTACCGAAACAGCCAGAGGTCAGATGATTCAACATGATTCAACCACTTCTCCTTTTGATGTGCGTGCTTGAAGAACAACAGGTCAAGCTTTCGGACTTGCTGGCAGCTGCACTACGCATCCAGGTGAGTTACCCAGCACGCCGTATGCCCCACTACTGCAAAAGCTAAAAAAGCACCAAGGCTCCGGTTCTCGAAAAAGTGGGCCATGACGCGGTGGAGCTCAGCTGCCACGTTGTGGATCTTCAGCCACTTATTTCACTTGGAGTACAGGTATTGCCCAGAGCTGCTGTGAATTCGCAGCTGCGTTGTAGAGTCTGTAGAGCAGCAAGCAAAGGTTCCGAGTGAGTGGCTATGTCGTGGAGGTTAAGCACTGTGGCGGCCCAGACGGGGCTGCGCCGGCCCGCGTCTACTATGCTCGGACAGTGGAGCAGCGTAAGGCACAGCCAGCCTAGAGCAATGTATTTGGGGGGGGGGGGGGGGGGTGCGTGCTGTCCCTTGCAACAGTAGGGCCCCCAAGACACTCAGGGAGAATCGGAGAACCTGCAATGCAATGCCACTCGCTCAAGAAAGAAAGAGGAGAGCATCTTAACATGTCGGAGGGACTTAGAGGGTTTTTTGGCCAAGAACTGTTGGCACTCATAATTTCCTGGAATGCTCCGGGAGCGTAGAAACCGCTGTAGAAGACATTCCTGCGGGGGCGTTTGTGAGTGAATAGGGGGGGAGGGGGAAACCAAAATCAAGGATGTCGGTTGTAGGAACCTGTTCCGAGCTTGTGATGTTCGTGAAAGAAGCCACCGCTGCGAGCAAGCATGGTCCTCAACTCCTGGCGTCTCCAGACGCATTCAATATCAGCGTTTACACCTGGAATGAAGACGAAATCAGCATAAGCATTCTCCCAAAACAGGCATCTGCTTCAGTCCGGTTGCGTTGAAGGGTGCGTGGAGGTTTCAGGGTGCCAGCCATGCAAGCCTGTTAGCTTGGAAAGCGACTTGAAGAAAGAAGGAGCTTCTTTCTCGGCTTGAGTTAGCACAGGTACACGATCCGTTTCGGTGTACGCTGCAACACACATGAACCAGCACCTCGCCGCTACTATTCGCTACTCATGTTGCAGGTGGAGTCTGTGGAGTTCCTGGTTCCGAGAATCCGGTCAAGCGGGCAGGCCGTGTGGCAGCGAGGCTGGCGAGGGCACCTGATGGTTGTCAAAGCGGTAAGAGATTCAATCGGATGAATGAGACCTGGATCCCAGGGGAGAGATACAAATTTCGCATACGCGGCTGCTGTGAACGGCGCTTGGCACCTGAACCTGGCGCACCCCGGCAGGCCGCGGTCATGAAAATCTTTATCGAGAATTGCCCTGAAAGGTCCAAGGTTGAACGGCGTCCCTAGATTGTCATCATCTATGCCAGATTCTGCTTGTTCTGTTGCATGCCATCCTCCTGTACACTGCCCACGCTTGGTTTGCTGAGTTACATGAGCTTTGCGAGAGGTGGTATCCGATTGGTCGATATCTGCATGTCTCACCCCTCAATGTCGACATAGAGCTTCCAGCGCTCGAGCCGCTCGAATTCGAAGGCTCAGCTCCTTCCCCAGCTTCCGAAGGATGTGATGCTAACGGCAGAGCAACACTCCATACTGCTCCCATACCGGATATTGAACACGGCATGTAGCCAGGCACATACTCATCCTTCAGGGAGCTGGCGCTAATGAGCTAATGTTCACATGGCAAAGGCAGGCAAGTTTCACTTCGCGCTCTGTCACGTTGCCGATACAAGCGAAGAGACGCTTCTGCTGTAACTACGTCAGGTGGCAGGTGCGTTGCAGCGAGCAAATCCGTTAGCAATCCCTTTGCTCGAGTCCAGATGGCCTGTGGCTGACAACGTGGAGCCACCATGGAGTTGTGGAGCTCAGCACAGAGTCACGACGCATGCCGCATGATGGAGTGGTTGTTTTGGCATAAATCACTATGCTGTGGTTCCTTTCCGGGCCCGCAAACGTAACGGGTGCTGCTCGTAAAATTGCGGTTCGGGTCCTGATTCCTGTATCATCGAACACGCTGGGAGACTATCATGAAAGCAAGCTCTAGCCGTCGCTGTGCATTTACAAGTAAATCCCCGGTGAGAAACTGCCAAGGCCCGATCCATCACGGATTCAAGGGCTCTCGGGGGCCCCTTTCTTAGGCCCCCCTCCAGTTATTTTTCTTTTGTCGTTACTTATATTGCACAACGCCATACCGTCAAAGGGGGCACTGCTTGAAAATTCAGAACAGTTAGTTTGTAAAGATGTGTAGCCCCATTTTCCCCTTGTTATCTCCGTTTTTGTAGGTGCCTATTGCCTATTTCTACAGATGTTATGACAAAAAACGTGGTATTGTACCCCTCCCCAAAGAAAACCCACAACGCAATCATATATGGCCGTACGACGAAGTGCGCGGTTCCTCGGGCAGACATTCTTGTGACGAAGTCAGTGGTGTCGGTTTAAGGGGTTACCGCGGAGAGGGTGGGTTTAACGCTTGTAATGGTTTGGTTTAACGGATTGAACGGGTTATCTCTTAGAGGGAAAAGGACTGGTTTAATGGTGCCACGGTTCAACACGTACGGGAACCGCTAGGACCGGAACAGCCATACGACATAAATGATGGTCTCGTAGAAGATTGAGCATATAGAGGTGTCCCCAAGCCCTTGACATGGCTGGCACCAAGGACCAAAGCCCAAGGAAGGTGATCTGTCGATGGTTCGGGCGTTCAGCCGTGTGAGAGAGCCAGGAGGCCGTGGTCCTTAGGCAGCATACAGGTGAGCATACTTTCAGATGGTTTCTTACATCGGGGAGCCAAGGAGTGCAAGCTGGGGGTGCCTACGTCTGCGAAGCTGCCACCGTGTTGGAATGGAGCAGACCAGTTCCGAGACGCCCAGAGAAAAAGTTCATGTGTATTTACATGTGCGAATGCTCGATACGGTGGCTTTTTCCATGCCGTGCCAATGTCCTGTTATGTCCACACCTGAGAGCCTGAGAGGCTTTGGATTCAGTGTTCGAGACGACGTCGCTACTGCCGGATGCAGTACGGATCCAAGCACACTGGGAAGCAAGTTCCAGATCCTCCATTCACCCACGCGCACATGTCGCAAGGTAAGGCTTCCTCAACGGCCCTAAATCGGATGCTTTTGTTCAACGACATTCAGATAGGGCCCTGTGATTATGGCTTGGGCCTGCATGGCTTGTTGGCGCACATCTCATATCATGAGTTCAGTGATAGGCCCACCATAATGGAGGTGGACAGTTTGCTGAGCTTCTGTTAATGCCGCAAGGCATTGGCAGACATCGTGGGCGCTCTGGGGCGCAACTTGAGGCCATCCGGGTTCGTGGTGATGCTCCATGCCTACTCTCATCATTAGGGATCTCATATCCCTTGATCTTGGTCTGCACGAAAGGACCGCGGACACAGAGGAAGGGACCTTGATTCTGCACCGCATGGCCCGGCATCCGAGTACCTGCATAGCACAATGTATGCACAAGTTGTGAGTTGATGTCCTTCACCTACACACCCTCTGGCAAGGTCGATCTGTGCAACTTCAACTTGGCACGGCTCTTTCTGGCTCGGCAGCAGTTGTGTGCAGTAATATCTCGAGGGCGATATGTCCAGGCACCACGTCTCTGTGCAGGTGTGGGACTCCATTCTCCGCACCATCACTGAGGCTGCTGCAATCTGTGGACACGCGAGCATGTAGCCGAATGGTCGTCAGCATGTTGAGGCACAAGAACTGCCACTTCAATATGTGCCAGTAGAACGGGTCATGGAAGGAGCATCGGAAGGCAACACGCGTTACCTATCCACGGTCAAGCCAAACACCTCGCTGTGAAGAGGTGTGTGCTTTGGACAAGCAGCACAGTAGCTGTTGCTAGTGGTGCGTAGTGATGCCCTTACGAGAGAAAGGTGTTTTCCTGTTTCCCGTCATGTCAGCTGTGCACCTGGCACCTTATCTTTCAGACCCTGACAAGTTTGGCCCCTGGGAGCCCTTCAAAGCACGGATGTTTTGGCTGTGTAAGGGGCCCGCTGATTTTATGTTCATGTCGCAGCCTAGTGTAGAATTTCTCTCAGCACTTGCGCAGTATTGCGCAACAACATGGTGGCCCGAACACGACGGAATTAACTAATTGACTCGTGTTGACACCTGTATGCCAGCTAATGGGGGCATGATCGACATGTGGCAGCATGCTCACTCTCATCTGCTGCTTCTGTCTGTGACGAAGTATGCTGCAACTGACTTGATCCAAAGCTCGCTGATCAGCTGTCAGGTTTGCACGGCAGCAGATGAGAGGCCCGAGCCAGGGCCCCAGTGAAAGCGAAAAGTTGAAAGTGTAGATAGTTGCAGTACGGCATGCCGTGAAGATATTTGCCAAGAGGACAAGCAAGGACTGTTTTCACTCATACTGCAGCATCGGTCAGGGCAATACGGGCTTTGATTGTTATCACGGAAGGCATGCAAGTAAAAGGCCACTCAAGACACTGAACCACTGTTTGTTCTCTTGCCACCTCCAGGCTCCGTGGCCAAGCTGCGACGACCCTGTGCCTGATACTTGGGCAGGTGCGATGTGGGAGAGCTTCCAGATGTCACATTTATTAGCAGAACACAGCTTCATCAAGCATCATAGCTGCAGATTCAAGTTTGCAAGATTTTGTCAGAGTTGTGCCAGGCACTGAGGAAAGGTGCACTTGCCTTGGCAGACCATCCGGAGGCAGAGCCTTTGTAAGTTGCCAAGGCAGAGGTCATAGGCACTTTGTGCCTTCCGACTTCGGAGCATAAAGCTGATCGGACCTCACGTTGCGAGGAAGCTCAAAACGAACTCCTCCGACACTTGGAGGCTCACAGCAGCTGTTGAACATTTTCATCATGTTTATGGGCCGAATCATGAAGCGCTGGTCAGACTAGCGGACTAGCTGGGCGAAAGGATGTAGCTTTGAGAGAGCTCTTGAAGACGTAACAAGCCACTCAGAATCTTTGCAGGTTCTTCTGCGAAGCCCACATGAGGACACCAGAGCTAGGATCTGCGAGGCTGGGGATGTCAAAGTGTCTTTGGTTTGTGTGTGTGTGGACAAGCACATTTTCAGAGTATTCAGTTGATCCAGTATGTGACATCATGTATCAAGTGCCTCTCAAAGCACCAGCAGTTGAGAGTGCTCTGACACAATGTTGTATAGGTTTGGGAGCCCTGAGTTCTGTGATGTGCTGAGTTGTAGCACCGGCTGCCAGGGACTCTTGAGCATCCTTCAGACTTCGGGACAGGAGCTCCACAAGACAGCAGGGAGCCATAGCCACCCTCAGAGCTCCACGCGAGCCCCACTCTCCTTTCAAGCCATGCAAAGAGCTAAACTTGCCAAATCGGTCAGTTTCCGCTCCCCTTGGCTTGGTTGCCAAGGCTTGGGGGACAATGCCGGCTGCTCACCACCCTTGCCAGTCCCATTATCGAGCAGTCAGTTGTTCTGGCACAGCAGATGACGAAGTGATAGGTGACGAAGGGATGTTTTTGTCCGATACTTCGTGCATCCAGAACTTTTCCGGTAAGCAAGCTGTCTGAACTAGGCAAGCATGTAACATATTCGTGTTTTCGAGACAAGGGAAGGCCCAAGTGCAGAAACAACCAGTTCGGGCTCAAGCGAAAGTGGACGTTTCAGAATCACCTTGATCACAGAGGACTCCCGTGATTCTGATGCTGGCTTACACTTCAGGCTTGCGAAATGACAGCATCACGGTATAATTAGTGCTCTTGAGGACCGCTTCATGGCAGACGGGGATGTGCCGATGACGGCTTTGCCCTTGGTCACGACTGGAAAATTCGCGAGGGAGCCGTGGTTGCAGACCTATGCCAAGAAGTTGCAGAAGACCTAGGTCGAGAGTTCGGCGGCACAATGTGGCCCGCAACTATACTCAGCATTGGTCTTGGAAGTGCTGAGTCGCAGGGACCTGAGGCAAGAGGCCGCCGCCGCACCGCACACCGCCGCACAACAGCTCTAAGAGAGTGCGCAGTGAACATGATGGCTGAGGCCTGGACCTTGTTGCTGCTCAATTGCACACATTGCTGCGGATCTGCACATGCAATTCACTAAGATGCATGCCAAGTACGATGAGGTGCCTGGTACGAGATTGCTTCGACCGGAGAAGCAGCTGTTGATCTACCACCATGCTGCGCAGCTTCATGATTTCAAAGATGCCATTCTGGCTCTCTGGCGAGAGGACAAGTGCTGTCATCTGTTAAATGCTGTCACACTTTTTGATGGCCGCAGAAACAGAGGGCCTACTTGTCTACTCCCCTGCTTTTTGTTTGCTCCCTTTTCGTTACTCGTATCTCCTCGTGTCATGGTCCTGGTCCTGCATTCCCTTTCGTGGTCCACTGGCAGCCTCCTCCTCCGGTCCCCCGAAACTTGCTTGCAAGAATATCGGGCCGTCAATGGACATTCCGTACGTTCCTTCAAAGCCCTAGATTGGTTGCTTTTTGAGGCCGCGCAAGCTTTGAAGTACATCGTGCCATGATGAAGAAGTTCCTTTGAAAAACGCACGAATCCTTTGGGTACGTGAGGTTCGTGTTTGCAAACGGGTGCCACCCCCCTTCCGATCATGCGAGCGTTGTCTTTGCAAGAAAGGAAAAGCGCAAGACAAAACGATACATGTGCAAGCATGATGTGATTATGTGCGCAAACGGGGCCCGTGCGGTAAAGGGAGGGGGGTCCGTTTTGAAAGCCACGGAAGGTGCCAAAACCCACAAAAAGAGCAAACACCTTTCAATCATGGGGAGATGCCAATACAAAACACACGACAGCATCAAGATAAGGTTTCTGACCAACTTGTTCATTACAGAGCTGGGTTTAGGGTGCAGGCCGTCCAAGCATGCGAATCCTTTGGAGCTCCTGGCATTCGAGAGTTCTGTTCGCAAATGGTGGGGCTGCCGAGCCCGTCGAAACCGAGGCTTCCTATTGAAAATGTAGAGGAAACAACGGCCTTCCAATGAGTACAGAGCCACTTACCCCTCGCAGAAACCAGCCAGGAGCTCTCCGATTCTGCCGCCCTCCCCGAACTTTATCGTGCGGGAGCAGAAGCTGCGAAGGCCAGAGACGCCTTGGCTTTAACATGTCTCCTTAGCGCTTCCCTTTGCTGGCATGATTCGTGTGAATCGTTTGGGTTTCCAGGTGCAGTTGCAGAGTAAAGGCGCATGGCCGGCAACCTCGGAACTGAAGGGCAAGAAGGCTTGAACAGATCGTATCTTGCTTGGCAGATCTGGTTCCGGATTGGAGCCACATGCTGTTGCCAAAGGGTGTGGCTTAGCGCATGTTTGTGCCATGCTGCGCCATGCCATGGATCCTTTGGGGGCACTGCCATCCAGCTACCGACACAGAGCAGAGATAGAAGAACAGCTTCAGGTAGATTTCGGGGCTGCTCAAAATGTGCTCGCTGTTTTCTTGACAGGCTCTGCGGCATGCAGCCACTATCAAGTCTTTTGGCTGCAGTTCGGCAGACACATGTGGACATGGTTGTCTTGATGGAAAATCGAGAACAGAGATTGCAATGAAACAGAAATCCAACTGTGGCATCTGGGAAAGTATCGTCCCAGTGGCTGTAAGTGCGCATCCCTGGAGGAATCGTAAAACTCTTTTGACTCGGGCCAGATGGTTTCACATTTTCGTGTGGCCTATGAAAAGGCTTCAGCAGTTTGTGAGGGCTCTTCAATGAATCTCCTGCGTAAGGTATCTGAAACTTTCCATCCTTGGCAACTCTGGAGCAGCCTGCGTGTTGCTCCAGCAGCGGCCGCGCGTCGCCAGTGTGGCCTGCGAAGAAACGCCGTGGACCTTTGCTGAAGGCACACCGCGAGTGCAGTGTTTTGCCAGATTCGCTACTGATGCAACCGGGACTGCCTTCGAACCGTCGAGTGGTTCAGTTTTTTGTTGACGAGTGTTTATTGCAGGCGGCGAGTGCTAGGGCGTTCTAGGTTCAGGTAGGATGCCTTCGGCAAGCGTGCATCACCAGGACATTTTGCAGACCCCATCATTGACTTGGAAGCCAACCGGTAGGGGTCCAGGCTTGCAACATGGAATACTGTGGAGCTTCAGATGTTCCTGAAAATTCTTTGGCGGCCAGCATCAGCTGCGACTGTGCTGAGGTCTGCTGCTGTCATGCACATGGACAACTTCATGAAAGGTGCTGTACTCCTTGCCAGCCCGATGTTGCGGAGACCTGCCTTTGCTCAGTTGCGCCTGTCATGTGCACTACTTGTGCACTGTCCAGAGTTGGTTGGACCTAGCCTGGCAAGGTGGCATACCATGTGCTCTCCTTTGCTTTCCCAAGCATTTCCTTGCCATTTTTGTTGGTCGCCACAAAAAAGGACGGGCCAGGGCTTGGACTCAGCCTCGGAGTCTTTGGCGCAGCTCGTGGCAAGTGAGGCAGAGGTTTGGAGGAGGCGGGTCTTGCCGTGCGGGTGGAGTAGGCACCACGGTATCCTGAAGTTAATCAAGTTTGGGTGCTCTGCTGGGTGGCGGGGGGGGGGGGTGGGGGGGTGGGGTGAGGCATGCACTACATTACACTATTGCGCAAGCAACATTGGCTGTAGCATGCGTAGCCCTGGACCCGATCAGGTTGCTGAAGACAGAGCCTTTTCTCAACTAATCTGACCCACAGCTCTCAGGACGTAGGCCCGTGGAGCCTAACGTCGAAGTTACCGCTGGTGCCTGACCAAGGAACACGACCTCTTCAGCCAAGCCACAGCGTTGCTCATACGTCAGGCTTGCTGTGGCACTATCAGCATCCATCAGCCACATTTCTGTAAAGAGCTCAAAGCAAATCAACAAGTAAAAAGAGACAGAGAGTCGGAGTCTAGAGTCTAGGGTTACAGAGCGGATTGGAAGGTGCTGAATCTTGGATCTGGTGCCGTAGCCACGCCCACAGCGACACCCAAGAAGCCGCGCAAAAGTGACGAGAAGACCTGCTTCGTCAACGCCGTCAGTTGATGCTGTGCAAAAACCTCGCTTTGTTGAGACGGCTTTGTTGCAGGACTGCCCCGGATGTGAGCATGGAAACGCCTGAGAAACATCCGAATCCAGCGAAGGAAGCAGGCTTGTCAGTCATGCGGGAGCAGGACACGCAAAAGACAGCCTGGAATACGACCTAGGTTCTATTTTTGCACGTGTGACTGAGAGGAGGAGCAGCGAGCTTATGGCAAGCTGCTGGATGCTATGCTGCAAGAGCTGGACTACTTCACCGAGCCGCTACTTGGCTGTGCTCGTCAGAATGTGTGGCTGCACATGGCTCATGTTCCAGCTGTGATCTTGCCTCATGCTGCCACTAGCAAGAAAAGCGGAGGTTTCAATCCTTGCGCTGGCTGGATAACAAGAAGCAACTTCTCGTGTACTACCATGCCGCGCAACTGAACGAGAAGCAAGAGAGCGTGTTCGCCGCGTTGCGCGGAGAGCATGAGGCCTCGCAAAGCTGCCGTCGGGCTTCGTGGATAGTGCTGCGGTAGTCTTGCAGCGCAAATGTCGTTTTCTGGTTGCAAGGTGGCAGGCCTCCTTCCAGAGTACCAGCGCACGGTGGCAAGGGCGTCTGACGATCTGAATGAGCTTCTTGATGGGCCAAAACTGCGGAAACTTTTCAGCCACTTGACCTGAGCCCACATCTGGTTTCGGAGCACTAGCTCTTGTGTCCAAGTCTGGCTCGACCATTGAAGGAAACTCGAACAGCTTGTGGCAGGTCATGACCACGTCATCCGCTTCCACAGCCTCAAAGGTGTCCCTGTTCCACGGACATGTTGTATCTTCTTACGCGAAAGACCTCAGTGCTCAAGCGATGTCTTGCGGAAAGCACCATCAATTTTCCGTGACTTGATCCGCATCTTTGCTGCAAATAGCTTACCAGACGTCCGCGACGGAGTTGTGTTCACCGGGAAATGCGCACCGCAATCTAGCAGTCCACTTGGACCTATGGCTTGCTGAATGGTCGCAGCACATGCTGGCTTGGTTATAGTACAAGTGACCAAGGCTACAGAAATCAAGGCAGTCCATTGATGGAGCTTGAGCATCATCAACTGGCTCTCGTGCTGACTGTACCTGAGTGCAAAAGTTATTGTTGTTGCCTGCTGCGCGGCATCAATGAAGATGCTCTCAAACGCGAGCTTTAGCAACCAAGCAGTCAAGGTCCACGACCGAAATCCTCGTGCGTTTGTGGTCATCAGTCCCCTCTTCGAGAAGCCTTCGCTCATTGAGGAGGTATGTGGGGGGACGTGGAGTGAGATCCAGGAAGCTTTGAAGGACAGGCACCGTACGGCACCGTTCATTTGGCATATTTAGGGTTTGTCAAGCAGCGGCAGCACAAGCACGTGTGAAGCAGGATGAGCTTGCCAGCCTTATCAGAAAAGAGTCTGATGCTTGGAGAGCCTTCATCCAAAGCCACGCCGACATGGTGAGCAAGGAGTCGCTCAAGATCATCCAGCGAGTGCTGAGACTTGGTTGCGGAGTTTTTTTATTTTGCATGGTGAAGCAAAATGGCACGGTTGCGTTTGCGAGCAACTCGGTTCTTGGTGCGGGGCAGAGAATGCAGGAAAACCTGTCAGCCGGGCTCTGGCCTCGGTGGGCGGCCTTAGCTTTTCGGCAGGAGGTCTCTCTTTGCACTTTCGCGCATGTGTTTCAGCAGCTTGGCAGCTGTTTCAAGGCGCATACACACTCCGGTTTGCAGAGGACGTGGAGGAGGCCAACCAGGCCAGTGAAGCATCGACATATGATATACTGATAACTGATATATATATATATGTGCCATGGACCTTTAGGTATAATGTGATGACTTGCTTTGGGTTTTACTTCAACAGTACTAACAGTTATCAAATGAGTACTTGCGTTTTATATGCTACTAGAAAGTAGGTGACATTTTATGGCTTTTGGGCTCATGGTCTAGGGTTGTGCATTCAACGGTTATAAAAGGATTGCGCGAACAGTCCAGGGTTTATCACCCCTTCCTGTTGTCGAGGAGAAAAGGGGTCGGATAACAGGAGAAGATCAAGGAACCATGGACTGTGTTACATTCAGTCACTATTCACTTTACACCCTCTCCTCTCTTCCCTTTCTTAGAAGAAAAGGAAAGTGGAAGGAATCATCAAAGAAAAAGTCCGTCTCACTACCTTCATCCACCGTCTCCTCTTTTTTTTTTTCTCTCTCTCTCTCTCTCACTCTCTCTCTCTCTCTCTCTCGCTCTCTCTCTCTCTCTCTCTCTCTCTCTCTCTCTCTTGGCTCTTCTTACCGAGGAGAATAATGGCTACATATAAAGCACACATGTCAATCTCAACCCATTCGTCCTCCCTCTTCTGGCTGCTCTCTCACTTCTAGCTTTTGTCTCTTCTTGTTTTGCTTATGGAGGAGAGAATGCATAACACTAGATGAGCAAAGCGCATGGACGGGAAGAGCGAGAAGCAAGTAGTTGTTTGTTGCATAGGGGAGGCCCACTCTCCCCTAGAGCAGGGACGAGTTCCCCCCTGTTCCCTTCCTTTGCCTTCTTTAGTCCCTCCTCTGCGCTCCAACTGTTCTGTTCCGTCTTTTACGGAGAAAGAAGGGGTAAAGAAGAAGGACGAAGACGGTTCCCCTGTCCAATTGTGCATGTTCATTTTATCTACAGGAGTTAGCAAGAGTGTTTAAGCAAGCTAGATAAAGAGAACAACAAGAACAAGGACGAGGAAACCACGGGCAGAATGTACAAGGAAAAACACGAGGAATGAAATCCCATCGCAAAGACAAGTGCCCACACTCAGTCTCACTGCATTCATCCTCTAATCCTCTCTTCTTTCCCTTCTGTGGTTCTCTTCTTGTCCTCCTTCTTCTCTCTGCTCTCTCCCTTCTAGCTTGTGTCTCTTCTTGATTTTCTTGTGCGAGAGAGAATGCATAACACTAGATGAGCGAAGCACATGGACGGGAAGCGGAGAGAGAAGCAAGTAGTTTTTTGTTGCATAAGGAGGCCCACTCTCCCCCTAGGGCAGAGATGAGTTCCCCTGTTCCCTTCCTCTTGCCTTCTTTAATCTCTCCCCTGCGTTCCAAGTTTTCCGTTCCTTCGTTTACGGAGACAGAAAGTTGTATATACAAGGACGAAGACGGTTCCCCTGTCCAGCATGTTTCTGATCTTCCCATTCAGCGAGAAAGGAACAGACAACAGGGGAAAGCACAAGGAACAAGAGAGTTTAAGCAAGCTAGATAACAACAAGGAAAAGAAAGAGGAAGCCACGAGCAGAATGTACAAGAAAAACACGAGGAAGGAATAAGTGGTGCTCTTCTTGCAGAATGGAGATTTAAGAACACAAGCCAATCTCAGTACATTGATCCTCCCTCTTCTCTCTGCTCTCTCCCTTCTAGCTTTTGTCTCTTCTTGTTTTGCTTGTGGAGGAGAGAATGCATAACGCTAGATGAGCGAAGCACATGGGTGGGAAGAGATAGAGAGGGCAAGTACTTGTTTGTTGCATAAGGGACCTAATTTTCCCCTAGAGCAGGGATGAGTTCCCGTGTTCCCTTCCTTTTGCGTTCTTTGATCCCTCCCCTGCGTTCCAACTTTTCTGTTCATTCTTCTAGGGAGAAAAAAGGAAGTAAACCAAAGGACGAAGACGGTTCCCTGTCCTCTTGCGCTTTTTCTTTTGAACTTAATTACCCATTCAACGAGATAAGAACAGACAACAAGAGGAAAACAACATACATGCGACAAACATTTTTTCAGGAGAAGGGAGTCGGATAACAGGTGAAGAACAAGGAAGACATCCATCCTCTCCTCTGCTCTCTTATCTTGCTCTCTTATCTCTCTTCTCTGGCTCTGTTCTTGCCGGAAAGAAAGATGAATGTCCAAGAACCCAAGATCATCTCGTTACCTTCGTCCTCGCTCTCCTCTCTTCTCGCTTTTTCTCTGCTCTGTGTTTTTCTTATGGAGGAGAGAATAGTAAACAGTCTCGCGAAGTCGGATTTGGGGCTGCGCGCGGGGATCTCCCCCCACAAACCCCTCGAAAGAACGAAAGAAAGCGGGCAGCTGTTCGTTGCAAGGCTCCCCCTAGAGACCTAGTGCAGGCCTGAGTTCCCTGGGCTCGTCTTCCCCTAGAGCGCAGTTGAGTTCCCTTATTCCTCAGTTTTGCCTTCATCCCTCCCCTGCGTTCCAAATTTTCTAAGCAGAACGCACAAGAAAACACGAGGAAGGAATAACAAATGACAAAGATAAGTGCCCACACCCAGTCTCACTGCATTCATCCTCTAATCCTTTCTTCTTTCTCTTCTGTGGTTCTCTTCTTGCAGAATGAAGATTTAAGAACACAAACCAATCTCACTACATTCATCCTCCCTCTTCCCTCTGCTCTCTCCCTTCTAGCTTTTGTCTTTTCTTGTTTGTCTTGTGGAAGAGAGAATGCATAACACTAGATGAGCGAAGCACATGGACGGGAAGAGAAAGAAGCAAGTACTTGTTTGTTCTGAGTTCCTCTGTTCCCTTCCTTTGCGTTCTTTAATCCTTCCCCTGCGTTCCAACTTTCTGTTCCTTCTTTCAAGGAGAAAGAAAAGGGTAAATACAAGGGCGAAGACGGTTCCCCTGTCCACTTGCGCATGTTCTTTTGGTCTACCCGTTCAGCTAGAAAGGAACAAACAACAGGGGAAACACAAGGAACTAACAAGAGTGCTTAAGCAAGCTAGATAACAACAAAAAAAAAGGAAGCCGCAAGCAGAATGTACAAGAAACACACAAGGAAGAAATAACAAATGATAAAGATAAGCGCCCTTACTCAGTCTCACTGCAATCATCCTCCATGTGGTTCTCTTGTTACAGAATGAAGATTTAGGAACAATCTCACCATTCATCCTCCCTCTTCTCTCTGCTCTCTCCCTTCTAGCTTTTGTCTCTTCTTGTTTTGCTTATGGAGGAGAGAATGCATAACACTAGATGAGCGAAGCACCTGGACGGGAAGAAAGAGAAGCAAGTACTTGTTTGTTGCGTAAGGCCCACTCTCCCCCTAGGGCAGGGATGAGTTCCCCTGTTCCCTTCCTTTTGCCTTCTTTAATCTCTCCCTTGCATTCCAACTTTTCGGTTCTTCGTTTAAGGAAAAAAAGGAAGGTATATACAAGGACGAAGACGGTTCCCCTGGTTCTTTTGATCTTCCCATTCAGCGAGAAAGGAACAGACAACAAGAGGAAAACAACAAACCTTTGACTAACGTGCGGTTCTTTCAGGAGAAGAAGGAGTCGGATAACAGGAGAAGAACAAGGAAGAGGTAAACATGAAAATATGTCACTCTTCTATTTACACACTCTCCTCATCTCTCCGCTCTTCCCTTTCTTGCCTGTTGGAGAAGAAATGAGGAAGAAAATAAACCAAAAAAAAGCAAGGGGGAGGCACCCTGATTCATTCTCACTGCCTTCATCCATCCTCTCCTCTGCTCTCTTATCTTGCTCTCTTATCTCTTCTCGGGCTCTGTTCTTGCCGGAAAGCAAGATGAATGTCCAAGAACCCAAGATCATCTCGTTACCTTCGTCCTCGCTCTCATCTCTTCTCGCTTTTTCTCTGCTCTTTGCTTTTCTTATGGAGGAGAGAATTGCAAACAGTCTCGCGAAGTCAGATTTGGGGCTGCACGCGTGCGCGTGGGGGTCTCCCACAAACCCCTCGAAAGAAAGAAAGAAAGAAAGCGGGCAGCTGTTCGTTGCGAAGGGGGTCTCGAGCCCTAGTGACCTAGTGCAGGCCTGAGTTCCCTGGGCTCGTTTTCCACTAGAGCGCGGTTGAGTTCCCTTATTCCTCAATTTTGCCTTCATCCCTCCCCAACTTTTCTGAGCAGAACGCACAAGAAAACACGAGGAGGGAATAACAGATGACAAAGATAAGTGCCCACACCCAGTCTCACTGCATTCATCCTCTAATCCTCTCTTCTTTCTCTTCTGTGGTTCTCTTCTTGCAGAATGAAGATTTAAGAACACAAACCAATTTCACTACATTCATCCTCCCTCTTCCCTCTGCTCTCTCCCTTCTAGCTTTTGTCTCTTCTTGTTTTTCTTGCCGAAGAGAGAATGCATAGCACTAGATGAGCGAAGCACATGGACGAGAAGAGAGAGAAGCAAGTACTTGTTTGTTCTGAGTTCCTCTGTTCCCTTCCTTTGCATTCTTTAATCCCTCCCTCCGTTCCAACTTTTCTGTTCCTTCTTTCAAGGAGAAAAAAGAAGGTAAATACAAGGACGAAGACGGTTCCCCTGTCCACTTGCGCATGTTCTTTTGGTCTACCCATTCAGCTAGAAAGGAACAGACAACAGGGGGAAACACAAGGAACTAACAAGAGTGTCTGGTGCTTGACCGCACCCTGGTCCCTTGCTCTCAAAGGGCTACTGTATACTTTGCACACAAACTCCAACATCGAACCTCAAGGCTTTAAGGCCTTTCTGACGCGGGCACATACGCATGAAACTTCTTCAGCTTCGGGAAGTTTACTCGCTTAACCAACTTCCCGTACTCACAGTACGCAGTTTGTCGAAGCAAAGGTGCTCGCAGGGGTATTTTCATCTTCGTATAGCCGTCCGCATCTTGCCACCCGGCCCGAGTCGCACGTGCGATGGTCTCCGCTGTTTGGTCAAGCCACCACAAACGCCACGCTTGTTGCAAAGGTCCAAAGCCGCCTGCCTGGCAGAGAAGTGTTCATCTTTGGTACCCTCGCAGAATTTCGTCATGCAGTTCGCAATGGCATCTTCCAACGCATCAAAAGATTGAAACTGACCACGTCGACAAAAGGACTCGGCAGCGCGAAGCACCCCAGGCAGATTAACAGTGGTGATCCCTGTTTGTCTGTACGCTTTAGATCTCCGCGAGCTCAAGATGATGTTCGTGAACTCCTTCTTGTCTTTGGCTTTCAGCAACTTCATTGCA